GCCGCTTTCAAAATAACTCTCGCGTGAAGGCCAACCCTGAATAAATTCGGGAAACTGGTTAGCCAACTTGAAGCTTTGAAATTGTAAAACCGTGAGGGTGTAAATTAAGGTGTTTCCAATTAACCTGTAAACTTGTTGCGAAATTGCCACCTGCGAACCCACACAACACCGAAAATTCCCTGAAAGTTGAAATTAACTTGACTGCAACCTTCGGGGTCTTTAGTTGCGAATATGAAACTTGAAGTTGTTCTTTAAATGCCCTATGTTCTTTCAATGTTTTATGTAAAAGATGACTGAACACTACATGAGAGTTTAAGAAATTTTAAACTTTCATGCAATGTTCAGACAACTTTCGCGTCAAACATTGAAAAACAGTCGAAATTTAATTAATTACTTCAACTTAATGAGCTTCGTAACTGAAGATTCCTAAAGATTGCAGTCAAGCTAATTTCAACCTTTTGAAAATTTTCGATTCTGTTTGGGGACTTGAGGCAAGCTTGTACGTTAATTAAGATTTATTCAAAAAAATTAAAGAACCAAAAAGGGAAATATTTTTCATACAAAACAAATAAAGATGATTTTTCCATACGCTTAAAGCTAACAAGTTTTAAATTAAAACAAAAATTTAGTTCTATATATATTTGATACACAATTTTATATACTAAAAATTTTATTAAAAAAATGGAAAACTAAATATTTTTTAAAAATTATAAAATTTCAACAAAATTTTAAGTTGATCCACATTGAGAAATATGTTTAGTCCGAAACAAGTAAAATTTAGTTGGTATCTAAGAAATCAAATTATTTGGTTGAATGGTTTTTGTTAGTATGTACAATAAAAATATTTTAATTTGGTTGAAGAAACGTAAATTTTCTTTTTTCCCACTGGGAAATATGTTCAAATACAAAATTTTGTTGACGTAACCAAACGATTGGTTGAGATCACTAAATAATTTTGCTTCGGTCATATAATTTGGTTGCAACTATTCCCGTATCCGTATTCACTTTGCGTTGGCCATAATTGGGTTTCCATTCTAGAATCTATTGTGCGTTGGCCATAAATCAGGGACGTCACTTTCCAATATGTCGAATTGTTGGAGGACAAGGAAAATAGCAGTTTTCTTTTAAATAACTGTTTGGAAATGAAAAAGCATTTAACCGTTCATACCCAGGCGGAAATTTCCAACCGGCGCGGATCCTAGCCCGTACTGACGCCGGTGTAACTGTACTGGCTCGGAACCGCCTGCCAACCGAATGTGAACGGGCATTCTACCGAATAGTGACTAGGCCAGGAGCGCGCTGGCAACCGGCTCGGAACTGGCATTCTACCGCCCGCTGACCGGCCGGGAGAAGCCGTTCCGTGTATAATTCAACCGGCTGGGACCTGGCACTCTACCGACCGTGGATTTTTCATTTAATAGCCAGCCGAGCGCTGGCATTCTACCGACTGACAACCGGATCGGATCCAAATGATAATTTCAACAAATATCAATAAAAAAATAATAATTAATTGCAAAAGATAAATACTGATGACAATTCATTGACAGTTCACTTTACACATTTTTTTTATTTTTTTATACACTTAAACGTAATTTGTTATTACATACACATTTGAAAAATCCTAACGCTTGGAGGTACGAACCTACGCCTAACCGAATATTTACGCACCGAAATCTCGCACGCTAACCACTATGCTACGCTCGCATGGGACTCTCAAATCTTAAATACTCTCAAGTGTCACAAGCTGAAATAAAACTTGTCGAATAACTACGCGTCAATGCTACAGCTATATTTTTATTATTATTTAATATATTAAATAATTGTATCTCAATATAATAATATTGAACATAATAATATTAATAATTTTAATTAATATCACAATAATAATAAATTTATTATTATTGAGATATTATTAATTAACATTAATATTATTGAGAATTAATAATAAATTATTAACATGAATATTAATATTTATTAATATTAATAATTTATTATTAATTCTCAATAATATTAATTAATAATATCTCAATAATAATAAATTTATATTAATAGTATAAATTTATTTATAATAATTATAAACTATAAGTGCACAACAAATTTTTTTAATTGCTTAATTTTGAAAAAACTCTTAATAAATAATTACTTAATATTTTGATTAAATTCATTTATTAATTAATCATTATTTTCTAAAATAATGCAATTAATTATTGTAATAATTATTTAGTTATGACACATTTATTGAAAATAAATTTATAATGTGATTTATAATGTGACAATAAATGACGACATCCGCAGTCGGATCCGGCCCAGCACCGAGCCAGTACAGACTAAACATATTCGTCATTCTTCCGACGCCGCAGAAGAATAAGATCCGCCGGCGGAAGAAATCCAGTACCGAGCCAGTACTGACAATAGTGGGAAGACGGTTCCGACAGTCGGAGCATAATCTGTACCGCGCCGGTTGCTTTTTCAGATCCGAATCGGTACAGACCGTCGGTACTTGCGGTCTGTACGGGCGCGGATCCCAGCCGGTTGTAAATTCCGACATTCGTCCGACTTTTCCGCCTGGGTACCACTATGAAATCTGTCCATATAATTATTTTATCGAAATTTAATATTAATCTTTGCACCAAACAATTTGATTTGCCGAATAAGTAAAATATTTTCCAATATAGCTGAAGAAAGATTGCTATGAAAGTGAGATGGCCTTAGCGTTGTCAAGGAAAAACTAAATTTTTTTTGAAAAACATGTTTTTCCTCTAACTTACTACATTATTTGACCTAATTACCAAAAAATTGGTATATTAGTGTATTTTTACAGGCTGATCACAAATAATTAATTTAAGAAGATTTTTGAAAAAAAAAATTTTTTTTAAATTAATTATTTACTTGTAATCAGCAAAGGTTCATCTACTTATCGCTTACAATATTAGACATATCATACTTCAATATTTCCTTTTTATTTATTTTTTTGAACCAAATAATTTTAATACATTGGTGTACGGAACCCGTCATTTTAGTTAGTCGAAGTGCTACCCCGCACTTGTCCAATTTTTAGTTCTACTCGCAGTTTTTTTATATTAAAAACCGAAAAAACGAAATTTAGGTTTTTAAATAAAGGGTTTTAAATTTTTATAATACGGATATCGTTTAACGTTTCCATATATGAAAGAATCAAATCTGATGTCTTGACTAAAAAAAAATATGAATGCTATACGCACTTATGGGGGCCGTCCATAAATTACGTAAGACATTTTTTTTTTTTGGAAAACTTGACCCCTTGTTAACTAATATTTTGTAACCAAATTTCTATCATTTAATTATTTTATAATAATTGTAAGCACTAAATTTATAATTAAAAAGTTGTATAATATCAACTTGAAATTTTATGAAACTGAAGTTACCAACGTTGATTCAACAAAATAATTTTATTTTAAATTTTCTCTAAAAAGTTCAGGATACAAATTCTATTGTTTATTTTTAACCCAAGTAAACCCTCCAAACCCTAAAATAAAAAAAAGTGGGGAAACAGAAGTTGTTATTTTTTTCTCACGGATTTTCCAAAAATCATGAAATTTCAACTAAATTAATAATTCCTCGACCCGATAGCATTTTTTTTCTTTTGATAATTACATATTCTAATGTCAGAAACTTTTTTAAAAAAATTGCAAAAGGTTCCAAGTCGAGGAAAACTGATTTTGAATTTTTTTTGTCACAGATTTTCCGAAAATCCGAGAATTTTATGGAAATGAATAATTCCTCGCCTCGCAGTAGTAATTTTTTTCTTTTGATAATTGTTTATTTTAATATTAGACTCTATTTAAAAAAATCCCAAGTGATTGCAATTCGGAAAAAGCAGTGATTTTTAATTTTTTGTGTCACGAATTTTCCAAAAATTTCGAAATTTCAACTTAATTACTGATTCCTCGATTCGGTAGCAATTTTTTTCTTTTGATAATTATTATTTATTTAAATGTCACAAGTCATTTAAAAAGAATTTCAAGTCAAGGAAATAATCAGTGATTTTAATTTTTTTGTCGTAGATCTTCCAAAAATATTGGAATTTCATTAAAAAAAATCAAAATCACTGCTTTCTCCGACTTAGAATTTTTTTTAATGGCTCGTGACATTAAAATAAATAATTATCAGAAGAAAAAAATTGCTACCGGGGCTAGAAATTATTAATTTAGTTGAAATTTCGAGATTTTTGGAAAATCCGTGAGAAAAAATATCAACTTTTTAGGAGTTTACTTGGGTTAAAAATAAACAAAAAAAAATTAGTATCCTGAACTTTTTAGAGAAAATTTTTTTCGTTGAATCATCGTTGGTAACTTCAGTTTCATAAATTTTTACGATTTAAATGCAAAAAATTAAATTTTTAGAATGAGACTTTATAAAATTCCCTGACAATTACAGGTTTCCCAGGTCTGTGGCATAACTTATAATTATGTTGTTTATCTGGAACTCTTTTTTGAATTATTTTAGCATAGATTAATATAGAAATGCATTTTAATAAAAATATAGTTGAATAAAATTTTTTTTTCTTTTTTGTACATATTGTTAAAAAAAATTTGTTGAGAATTTTCAAAATTCTACTGCCACAGATCGGTGAGCAATTTTATAAACTTTCATTTTAAAAATAATTTATTAAAAACGAATAATATTTGTAACCTCTAGACTGATTTGTCCACGACAACCAACTTTTGCCTCACTGTGCGCCAGACCCACCGGACCATCGCATTTACGAAATTTTAATAACAAAAGTGAGGTTATGTTAAATTCTCGGTAATATAACCGATTTCCCGATTTAAAACAACTTGTTGTCAGTTGCCTACGGTCGAGGCACAATGGATTCTTGAACGGGCACGAGAACACACGAGAAGCAATGAGTTAGAGGAGGAGAGGAGTATTCTCCTCCAACTCATGCTATGTTATGCGTTGGCCAGGCCTTACGCCGCTTCCCACGCACACAGTCGGAGTCACGATTGTATTCGCCTGCTGCACCACATGCTTACTCCCTTGGGCGTGTCAGTGTCTGTTGGAGTGTGTGATAGTTACCGCGGTGTAAACGTGTGTCAGGCAGGTTCAAAATTGTTCAATTCAAGTAAACATTTTCCCATTTCAGATTTTTTTCCAACCGAGAAAAGAGTTTCCTTTTATTTTTTGAAATGGTATTCAGTTGGTAATTCTATTTTGACAAAGTAAGTGAAAATAAGGTGAGAAAATGAAGGCGAGCCTGCGATTGGGAATATTAGTCATTGTTTGTTATGTATTGGGCGTTGTCGGTCAATTTGAATGGCAGGACAGAGATACGTACGATGAGATTCGAAATAAAATGGATCGAGTTACTGGGGAGAATTGTCAGATTCAGCACCTGGGCGATTTGTTTCTGCCCGGGGATTCAGTTTCGCATTTGCCCGACATAAAGGATTTGAACGTGAATCCAGTATTTCCCAACAGAACTGCACTGCTGCACCTGCACAACATGGCCCTGAGCAGGTCCTACTTCTGGAGTTATATCCTCCAGTCGAGGTTCATTCGACCGGCCATCAATGACACCTATGACCCTGGCATGATGTACTATTTACTGTCCACGGTGGCCGACGTCTCCGCCAATCCGTACATTAATGCTTCTGCTATTTATTTCGCTCCCAACTCCTCGTACTCGCCTTCTTTTCGCGGGTTCTTCAACAAAACAATGCCGAGATTCGCGCCCAGGACTTTCAGGGAGGACGACTTCAACGACCCTGTCCATTTGGAGAGACTCTCCACGAGGAACACCTTCAAAGTTCTAGATCTTGGAGTGTTTCCCGCTGATCGTAAAAGCTCTGACTATACCACAGATTATTACAGAATTAATGAATGGTAAATATCATTACACTAAAACACATACACATTACATATTACACTAAAAAAAAAATAAAACTATTCGTTATCATAGGGTTGCACAAAAATTTAATTTTGTTTTTCCCGATGATTTCCAGACAAAATTTTCACTCTTTCCCTGACCCTAAAGAATATTCTGATTCACTATAAAAATGATTAGATGCTCAAAAAATGTTCTGTTACATTTATTTACGTATTTCTTTAATTGTATAATTATATTCCAAAACATCAGTAACTTCTTTTTTAAATAAATATTTAATCATTATTTTTCTGTAGGAATTAAAATTCTTCAAAACATTCAAATTTAAACCATTTAAAATCCAATAATTAAAGATGACCGAGTGACAAAATTATTTTATATTATAAGAATATTGTTACTGTAACTTTTTCAAAATTATTTTCATCATTTTAATTCAATTAACATTTATGCTTTTATAATATTTTTAATATTCAATTATCACCTGGAATAGTAGGTAAAAGATTTTTTTTTACACGAATACATTCGGACAAGTGGTTTTTTAAATATAAAAATTACACCAACGGTTCGAATTCAATACGATTTCCACTTCAGGGAGTCTACAAAATAATACAGAAAACAAAAATAAAAATACGAAAAACACTAAGACGTTAAATAATAATTTAGAAACAATAAATAAAATAATAACAATACAGAAACCAATAATGAAAATACACGAAGACTAAATAATAATTTAAAAAAACATCAAATAATAAGTAATAAATAAAAATGCAGAAATAATGTAAACTGAGGATAAAACAGAATTAACTTAATACAATATTAAAATAAAAATGAATATAAAAATGACAAGAAAGAAAAAAGAAACAATAAAACATATATCTTACCAATAAATAAAAAAGTTTTACATTACATGTCGAAGGAATTAAAAATTGTAATATAACATTTGGAGTTAGTAACTGAAATATTAAAATACTAAATTACTAAAATGTGTTAATGAAGATAGAAAAATTAAGGTAATTAAAAAAATAAAATTGAAAAATAATAAAATTAAAATAAAAAATAAAATAAATAAATAAAATAGCATAAAAATAAACAAAATGAATAAACATACCAACAGAAAATATAATCCATTGTTAACAATAATTAGATAAATAAGAACAACACAAAATAAATAAATAATAAACAAACAACATTTTTAACAATTTACACTATTTACACTATAAAAACCAAGAAAATAAAATAAATTGAACATGTGTAAACTGTGAAGTCAAAATTGAAACTAAACTCTAAACATCAACGATTCCTTACAAAGGTGAATGAAAGAATAAAAAAAAAACAAAACAAAAATAAGAATAAGAAGTAGAGAAAGGCAAATGAGAATTTTCTTACGTTAAATTATTTGTAGAGAGGTTTAAAATCATTTCATACGATTTATCTAAATCACTTATTTTATTTAAACTATTTTTTCCTTCTTTTCTTATAAAAATCATTTCTGCAAAATAAGTCGTTTACTAAGATTAGGTTCAACATGTAAAATTTCAAATTATTTATAAAAATAATTAAATTCCTAACGAAAATGTTATTATTTAAAAAAAGAATTGAATTCCTAAAAAGAATTTAATTCTTTATGAAAATAATTGAATTTTTGTAAAGAATTTTAATAAACTTTTTAAGAATTACATTTTTGAGCAATTCATATCAATTATTATTTAAAATTTTAACTGAAAGTCATTTTTAAATCAATTTTTATTAGAAAATTCAATGTGAATTCAATTATTTAAATATAAAAATAAATAATTTAGATATTGAATATAATTAGTTTCTTAAAATTGAATCTTCATAAAGAATTTTATCAACATATTTTTAAGAATAATTATACATTTGATTAAAATTGAACGGGAAATAATTGAAATTCTACGAAGAAATGTATAAAAAATTTATAAATAATTGAATCAATGTGAAATTTTTTATTATTTATGAAAATAATTGTTTGCGTGGAACTTTGATAAAATTGTTTTTAAATAATTGAATTCTTTTGAAAAACTTTATTTAAATAATATAATTATTAAAAATCATTAAATTGAGAAAAATTTTTGAATATAATTAAATTTCTGCAATCATTTGTAACTTCGCTAAAATTAAATGTTTTTTAGTGTTTTAATTAAAATTCTCCTACGAATTTATTATTTTTAATAATTAATAAAATATATATTATACAAAATGTAACTAATTTCAAAAGACTATGAATTATTAAAATTTTTCAAAAATTTAATTTTTTAAAATTTTTTAATTAAATTTATTCCAAATTCAAATTTCATAAAATTTCAAATTAAAAACTTTTAAAGTTGATCTATTTATGAAAATTTTAAACGCAACTCTTTTAAAATTCAGTTCATTTTTATTTTGAAATGTTTAATAAAATTATTCAGTAAATAATTTATGAATAATAACTTTATGACAGTTCGTGTTTTTTTTGTTTGCCTCATAAATTATAAAATTACCACGAATTCTAAAAGAAAACTTTCAATTTTTTCTATTTCTGACATTAATTTATTTTATAACTTTATTCTTAAACAACTATACTATAAAATTATTTCTTGTAAATTATTTAATAATTTTACTTAAATATTTCAAAATTAATTAAATTTTTTTAAAAAAAAGTGCGTTTACAATTTTCATAAATAGATCAACTTCAAAAGGTTTCAGTTTGAAATTTTATAAAACTTCAATTTTTAATAAATTTCATTAAAAACTTATATTTTTGAAAAATTTTAATAAATCGAAATCTTCTAAAATTCGTTAGATTTTTTAATATATTTTAAAATAATTATTAAAAATAAAGGATTTATAATAAAGGATTTTACTTCAAAAAACCCGTTGCCAAATTAAAAGATGAATTTATTGTGTTTATCATTTCTTGAACCCTTTTTTTTCAATTATTCAAAAAATTGCTAATGAAATTCTTTATAAGAATTCAATTTTCAGAAACATTCAATTATTCAATAAATTATTTGCTTTTGTATTTAAATAATTGAATTTTCGTCGAATTTTCTACTAAAAATTGATTTTTTTAATTATTTGAAGTTTTTCTTTTCTAATAATTCGACGCCTCCCGTTCATATAATGCTTATTGAAAAACAAATGCAAGATCATTCTTATTCAGTTTTTAGTGCAAGACAATTCTTATTCGATTTTCCGTGCAATAAGATGCTTATTCAAAATTGTGTGCAAAACAATTGCCACTGACAGAACAATAAATGTAACCCTAAATCATCTTTTTAATATTAAATTGCAATTAAATATCTGAGAATTTCAGTGCGTATCTATTTTTATTAGAAAATTTAATACTTGATTATCTCTTACGTATTAAGAAATATTGTTTAAGCAATTGTAATTAAAAATTATATTCAATTGAAAATTTTATAAAACTCATAGTGTAAGCTAATTTCAGATTGTACTTTTTAGCATAGAATTTTGAATAAGCATTTTATTGCACGGAAAATCGAATAAGAATTGTCTTGCACTAAAAACTGAATAAGAATGATCTTGCATTTGTTTTTCAATAAGCATTATATGAACGGGAGGCGTCGAATTATATATATTTAATTGAAGAATATCCGAATAATCGAAATTTCGTATAATTGAATTGTAAACAAATGGATTTGAAAATTCTAACAGAACTTTTTCAAAAATTATTAAAAATAATTGATTTACAGAAGAATTTTAATTTAAAATTCTAGATAGTAATAAGTGAATTGATTTGATAAAAATAATTTTAAAACAATTACAGCATTGTTAACTTAATTGTTTCAAATTGCAATGAATTGATACCAAAAATGTGGATAAAATACAAAATTGATCCAAATTTTTGGCATTAGTTTGATCCACTTCAGTATCAATTTAATACTTTCAAGAAAACTGTGACTAACAATATTCTTGTAATATAAAATAATGATTTTATCACTCATCGGTCATTTTTAATTATATTATAAGTTGTTGAATTTCAAAAAGGTCAGAATTTGAAAATTTTGAAAATCTTAATTCCTATGGTAAAATAATAATGATTAAAATATTTATTTTACATTAAACTATTGATGTTTTCGAATAACTTTACATTTAAAGAAATTCGTATCTAAATAAATGTATCAGAACATTTTTTTGAGCATCTAATAATTTTTAGAGTGAATCAGAATATATTCTCTAGGGTCAGGGAAAAAGTTTAAAGTTTGTTTGGACAAGGAAAAGTCAGGGAAAAACAAAATTACATTTTTGTGGTAACCCTGTAAAACTAATTAAGATCTTTGAACCGCTTTAACTCATTAGAAACGAATGAGATCATTAACTAGGATGACTACTCGTACGGCAAATGTTTTTTTAATTCAAAGAAATTCCCCAGGAAGACTTATTAGACTATGCTAGAAAACTTCACTTTCATAATTTTCAAATTCAATATTATATCAAAATTCTTATTATATAATTACCACTTTACATATTATTTAGCAAATCTCACAAATGATTAAATTAAAAAAGTTATAAACAATTGAAATTTTATGCATTACAATTTAAAGAAGTTTGCAATTTTAGGAGGTTATATTAAATAATAATGCTAATGCCCCAATTTTATTTATAATTGATACTTTCTGATTAATTAATTAATTATTGTACTTTTGGTAATTCTAAAATTTTATCACAAAAATAGGAAAAAATAGAAATTTTAAATACAAAATTTATAAGTTCGAAAACTCTTACCCATAAAAAAATGAAAATATTGATAATTATATTTGAATCTATTTATTATTCCATAGAATAAGATATTTTTTGTTCATACTATTATTGGTTTTAAATAATATTAATATAATTTATTAATTTTAGGTTCAAAAGTTGGCTACCGGATCCGAATCTCATTAAAAAACGACATGACACGAAAACTACTTACCAGGTGGAAATAAGATACGCGAATAACACTAACGAAACTTATACTTTCCACGGACCACGAGGTAAATGAACTTTGATTTTTTAAATGAAATATAATAAAAGTACCAATGGAAGGGCTAAAGTTTGGCTAAAGAGCAAGTCCCCTGCGCAGCTGGAAGCTGAGTCCCACAGGGGACATACACGGAAAGAAAAAATCTAAAGAATATATTAATATTGTATTGAAAACTTGAACGAAAGGGGAAAATTTCAGTATATTTATTTAATTTTCTATAGTTAATTTTAAGATATCTAAGCAATTTTATTTTGTGCATATAAAAACATTTAAGACGAATTCAGAATATTGGGAATCATAATGCTTATTAGAGAATATAAAAGGAAGTTTTAAAAATATTAATTTACAAATGTTATATTTCTTAAATACTTATAAGAAAGTTTATTATAGACAGAGATTTAAGTCGAATTTAAGAAAATTATCCAGTTTAGGGGGAGGAGAGGGGGGGGGGGTTCAGTTTGTCCACAGGGGGTAGGGAGGGATCAGAGAAAAGTCAGGGATTTTTATCAGTTTAAAAAACATTGTTTTAAATAATTAGTTGCTAATATTTTTATTATTTACGAAAATAATTAAACTATTGCAAAAAATGTTATTAAAATGTTTAAAAAGAATTGAATTTCCGTGAAAAATTTTATTTATTTAAGTAATTGAATTCTTTATAAGAATTTTATAAACATTGTTTTAAATAATTAATTTTTTCGAAATATAATAAATATTATGAAAATTTTATTTTTAAACAATTGAATTCTTTTGTGAAATTTTATTTCTGAAAATAATTCAATTCTTGCTTTGAATTTTAACAAACATTTTTTTTTTAAATTGAATTTCCATAAAAAATGTTATTCTCAGTGAAAGTAATTGAATTATTGCAGGCTTCACAGTCTGTCCCCTATTTCCCTAAAAGTCCCCTTTTTTAATTTTGGCCCCTTAACGTACCCTATTTTCAAAATTTCCACTAAATTTCCACTATTTTTTTCTTTTATCTTTTAATCTTTAATGATAAATTCACACCAAATTTAGCAAAGTGCCGTTGAAACTTTCAATTGGAAACTTTTGTTTTGAAACTTATTTTCATAAATATTATTTAATTCGTCGCAGGAAATCAATTATTATTTTCAATAATTTTTAAATAATTCTGCAAAAGAATTCAATTATCTTGATAACCAACAAAATTCTCCCCATAAAATCAATTATTTTAAGGATTTTTAATGAAATTCTTTTCCAAAATTCAATTATTTTGATAAATATCAAAATTCGTCTCAAGAATTCAATTATTGTCAAAAATTGTAATTAAATTCTTGGCAAAATTTCAATTATTTAAACAAAATTTAATAAAATACTTTGCACGAATTCAATTACTTTTATAAATTTTAATGAATATCTCGTCAAGAATTCAATTATTTTTATAAATACCAAAATTTTTCGCCAAAAATTCAATTATTTTCAAAAATTTAAATAAATTCTTTGCAATTATTTCTTTCTTTCTCAATTATTTTCAAAAGTTTATCGCAATTCAACGAATTTCAATATTTACTATTTTCATAAAATTTATCAACAGATTTAATTATAGAAAAAACTTTTTGATACAATTCTACGAGAAGATTCAATTATTTTCATAAATAATAAAATTTCATTTACGAATTCAACTATTTTCATCGCAGAATTTCAAATATTTGTAATACAATTTTAAATAAATTCCTTGAAAAATGCAATTATTATTTAAAATTTTATTGAAACTTGAGGAAAGAATTCAATTTTAAAAAACATTCAATTATTCAATAAAACAATAAAATTCATTGCAATAATTCAAATATTTTCTTAAATAACATTTAATTCGCCGCAGAAAATCAATTATTTTCAAAAAATTTTAAGTAATTTTGCTGAAGAATTCAATTAGCTTGATAAACAACAAAATCGCATAAATTCTTCCCATAAAATCAATTATTCTGAGGAATTTTAATAAAATTCTTTTCCAAAATTCAATTATTTTGATAAATATCAAAATTCACCACAAGAATTCAATTCTTTTGAAAAGAAATAAAATGCTTTGCAGAAATTAAATTATTTTCTAAATTTTTTAAAAATTCTTGTCAAGAATTAAATTATCTTTGTAAATAGATAGGGAAATTCTTCTCAAGAATTAAATATTGTCAAAAATTTTTTTAAAAATTCTTCTGAAGTCAATTATTTTCAAAAATTTTAATAAAATTCTTCAAAAGTTTTCAATTATTTTCAAAAATTGTTATAAAATTCTTTAATATAATAAATTTTATTAAAATTTTAATTAAATTCCTTAAAAGAAATGAAATATTTACAAAAGTTGTTAATACAATTCTTCGCTAAAAATTCAATTATTTTCAAAAATTTAAATAAAATTCTTTGCAAAATTTCAATTATTTTCAAAAGTTTTTCGCAATTCAATGTTTTTAAATATTTACTATTGTCATAAAATTTATCAACAGATTTAATTATAGAAAAAACTTTTTGATACAATTCTAGGAAAAGATTCAATTATTTTCATAAACAATAACATTTCATTTACGAATTCAATTATTTTCATCGCAGAATTTCAAATATTTTTAATACAATTTTAAGTAAATTCCTTGAAAATGCAATTATTGTTAAAAATTTTATTGAAACTTGAGGAAAGAATTCAATTTTAAAAAACATTCAATCCTTATTAATAAAATCAGATGTCTGTCTGTACATTGCTTAAAACTTCAAAATGTTAACATGATTAGTTATTATGGACATCAGAGATTCCAAAAATGTTCTTAAAAAATTTAATGTATGTATGTATGTATGTATGTATGTATGTATGTTTGTCTGTCACAAAAACTTTGTACCCCAATCACACAAAAACATGTGAATCGATTTAAGTCCAACTTGGTAGGTTATTAGGTATTGACCCAAGGAAGGTTTATAAATTTACAGATTTAAAAAATATTAATTAGAACGGGAGATATTCAATTTTTTCAAAAAATTCAAAAAATCGAAAATTTCAAAATTTTTTATTTTTCATGGATTGCTTTTGAAGTTTATATACTTGAGTATTATATGTTATTTAGTCACATTATAGCATAACTTTGCAAAAAATAAAGTCCTATAACTAATATGTAAGTATAAAAATGTTTTCAAAAAATCGAAAATTTCAAAATTTTACATTTTTTTATGGATTGCTTTTAAACTTTCTATATTTGAGTATTACATGTTATTTGGTCACATTTTAGCATAATTTTTCAAAAAATACTATTCTACAACTAAGATGTAAATATAAAAATATTTTCAAAAACTTGAAAAATGGAAAATTTCCAAATTTCACAATTTTTAATGGATAGCTTTTAAACTTTCTAAAAATGAATATTATATGTTATTTAGTCAGATTTTATCATAATTTTGCAAAAAATACTATCCTACAAGAAATATAAAAAAATTTTCAATATATCAAAAAATCGATACTAATTACTATATGAAGTATAATTCAGTAGTATTTTTGGAGTCTCTGATTAATATTTTGATGTCAAAATAGTGCAATTCAAAATTATTTATCAAATCAATCTAATATTTTCAAGAAGTTGAGAAATATTGAAAATGGAAATTTTTTATGATTAAAATGATTTCGCAGGATGTCAAGAATTGTAAGTCACCTGTGATACAATACAAGCATATTATGCCACTAGGCAAAAACTTACATGTTAAAACGTTTTTTCATTTTAACTCTAGATTTAACTTTAAGAGATGTTTTGAGCAATGTAAAGACAAAAGTTAACACGGTGTCTATTTTTGTTTAACAAAATTCCCTGCTTTGTCCAAACTTTTCACGGTTTATCTCTTTTTTGTCAAATTTAAATTTACTTGATTTTATCCATAAATAAATCTACAAATGGCTATAAAAATTTACTTATTTTATGAAAATACTGTTTCTTAAGTTCATATAAATATAGATTGTATTACTTGCTGTCGTACAGTTTTCTGTTTATACTAATACATTTAACTGGGTATCTACCAAACGGGAAAAACTGTAAAAAGCTGGGAATATGCCGAACCGGGAATTTTCCTATCAAATTAAGAAAAAGTTTCATTATATTAATTCGCTTTTAAAAAATTGCTTTTTACTTCAATTTTTATTGATGTATAATATTTATGAAAACAGACCCGAGTCAAAATTTAAGCCCTACTTTCAGCCTAAAATTTAGGTCTTATGTTAGGTTTTAGCAGTCGTAACGTAGGGTCTACTTGCGATACAATTAGTTCCAATTAGACTCTACTATAACTCCAAAAACTGTATGGAAAATTTAATTTTTTTAATACATTAATTAAAGTACTACAAATTGATAAATATTCTTCTCTGCATTTGAATTGGTTAAAATAACTAATTTGATAACAAAAAGTCAATCACTGATTCAAATAGTAATATTTTCCTACTAAAATAGCTATAATGGTAACTAATTATTATTTTTTTCCGGTCAAATTAAATTCCCTAGCTATTTCCTGATTTTCCAGATTGGTAGAAACTTAAATGTATTGGTAGAAACTAAAACCCGTCGAAGACGGGTACGACAGCTAGTTATTCAATAAAACAATAAAATTCGTTGCAATAATTCAAATATTTTCTTAAATAACATTTAATTCGCCGCAGAAAATCAATTATTTTCAAAAAATTTTAAGTAATTTTGCTGAAGAATTCAATTAGCTTGATAAACAACAAAATCGCATAAATTCTTCCCATAAAATCAATTATTCTGAGGAATTTTAATAAAATTCTTTTCCAAAATTCAATTATTTTAATAAATATTAAAATTCATCACAAGAATTCAATTCTTTTGAAAAGTAATAAAATACTTTGCAGAAATTAAATTATTTTCTAAATTTTTTAAAAATTCTTGTCAAGAATTAAATTATCTTTGTAAATAGATAGGGAAATTCTTCTCAAGAATTAAATATTGTCAAAAATTTTTTTAAAAATTCTTCTGAAGTCAATTATTTTCAAAAATTTTAATAAAATTCTTTGCATGAATGCAATTATTTTCATAAATTATTATTTATATTTTTCTTATTAATTAAATTATTTAAAAAAATTTTAATAAAATTCTTCAAAAGTTTTCAATTATTTTCAAAATTTTTTTATAAAATTCTTTAATATAATAAATTTCATTAAAATTTTAATTAAATTCCTTAAAAGAAATGAAATATTTTCAAAAGTTATTAATACAATTCTTCGTAAAAATTAAATTTTAAGAAAGATTTAATATTATTTATTTTTGTATTTAAATATTTCGTACTTTTAACTAACAATTCTGAAGAATTAATTTTTTTTGAAAAATTTTAATTGAATAATAATAATTGATGTTATTAATTTAAAGTAGAATTTTAGTTAAAAATTCTAGAAAATGTTAATTGAATTGAAATGATACAAATAATTTTGAAGAAATTACAGTAACAATATTCTTATAATAATAAAATAATGATTTTGTCAGCCGGTCATCTTTATGTTTTATAATAATATTCTTTATGAGTTGTTCAATTTGAAAAGGTTTGAATTTGAAATTTTTGAACATCTTAATTCCAATGAAAAAAAATGATAAAATATTTATTTTAAATAAAACTATTGATGTTTTCGAATACGGGGTATTAAAATTTTCTGTAGATATTTTCTTTCCGTATACAAGTGTTGGTTCTTCGATTCGGTCCTTCAGTTATAAAATTAGATTATTGTAATTATCATTAAACTTTTTTAGTAAAACTTGAAAATCAAGTAAACGGCGAGAATGAAGTTATGTCCTGAAAAGTCGTAAATTAAATAAAATTATTTGAAAATATCGAGTCGCAAGTTGGGTATTGCAGTGGTCATTGCCTGAAATGAAAATAAAAAATAAAATTTGTATTCTTAGGCGCGGATGAAATCCCTGGACCTGTTCACTTCACAAGACCCTATTTCGACTGCGAGCGTTCTAATCGTTGGCTTGTAGCCGCAGTTGTTCCCATTGCTGATATCTACCCAAGGCACACAGGTTTCAGACACATCGAGTACCCCACGTAAGTAGTTGCATTGTTTATTATTCAATTCACGAAACAGGACATTAAGAAAAATGAAATTTTCCCCAATTCTCAATTGTGTTGTGTTCAATTGAAAGTGTTGTATGCTGAAATTTTTCGAAATTATTGCATTGAGCATTAAAGTTGGGTGCTGTGGGACGTTCACTTGCTTTTATTACTCTAATGTATTCAGGTTTACAACCCCCAAAGGTGTGTCCTCTCGGCTCTCGGCACTGGTTAGGCCACTATATTTTTTCACCTTGCTTATACTCCTGCACGTTCTGCACGTGTGAAGATCCGCTTCCCTTGGTGGTGTCGTCGGTAAAAATTCAAGTGTCGGTAAAAATCAATTATGAAGGGGGAAATTTATAAAATTTCGAGATTATCAGACCCCCAAAGAAAACAGGTTTCTCCCATACAAACACACATTCAAATTCATTTTTATCTCTTTTCATTCATCTATATTTCTCTTCCAATCATTTTTCATTTATTTCATATTCAAAGCGCATTGTTATTATTATTATTTTCATTATTCCCCTAATTCAAATTTCATAATTTTTATAAACTTTTACAGGCCTCAGGTATTATGAATTTTAAAAGGGTTGAGTTTACAATTTTCATAAATAGATTAACTTCAAAAGGTTTCAATTTAAAAATTTATAAAATTTCAATTTGGAATGAATTTAATTAGAAACTTTCAAAAAATTACATTTTTGAAAAATTTTAATAATTTAAATTCTTCTGCGAAATTCAATTATTATTTACAAAAATTTTAATAAAATTCTCTTCAAAATTTCAATTATTTTAAAAACATTTTCTCAGTTCAATGACTTTTAATATCTACTATTTTAATAAAAATTTCTAAAAGAATACAATTATTAAAAAAACTTTTTTGATCAAATTTTAACCAAACATTTAATTATTTTTATATAAATAATTAAAATTTCACAGAAATTAAATTATTAACAAATTTTTTTATAAATTTCTTTGCAATAATTCCATTATATTTATAAATAATATTTTTTTCAGAGATTCAATTATTAAAAAAAATAATATGTATAAATAATAAAATTATTTTTAGGAATTCAATTAGGTATTTTTATAAATAACAAAAATTCATCTCGGAATTTCAATTATTTGTAATACAATTTTAATCGAATTCCTCAAAAAAAGTATTTAACTATAATTATTCTTAAAAATTATATTAAAATTCGTCAAAAGAATTCAATTATTTAAAAAGTTGTTGATAAAATTCTTTATGAGAATTTAACTTTAAGAATCATTCAATTGAATTCTCGTAGAATTTTTTAATAAAAATTGATTTAAAAATTAATTATAGTTAAAATTTTAGATTATGTTCAAAATTTAAAAAAAATTCTCGTCAAAATTTCAATTATTTTTCTGAATAATAATATTCTTCTCTGAAATTCAATTATTTTCAAGAATTTTAATAAAATTCTTGACAAAATTTGAATTAATTATTTTTAAAAGTTTTCCTAAATTCATTGACTTTCAATTTTTACTATTTTATTAAAATTTTCCAAAAGAATTCAATTATCTAAATGAAATGTTGATAAATTCCTACTCAAACATTTAATTATTCAATAAATAATTTATTTTTGTAACTATTTTTAAATATAATTGAATTCTCGTAGACTTTTGTAATAAAAATTGATTTAAAAATTTTTTTTTAGTTAAAATTTGAGATAATAATTGAACATTAAAAGTATTAAAGCGTGAATTTATAGAAATAATTGTATTTTGAAAAGGTTTCCAATTTAAATCTTTGAAATTTTGAATTTTTCATTCTTTTAACTAAACATTTCTGTAGAAATAATTTTTTTTGAAAAAATTGAATCTTTTTTGTAATTATTTGAAATTTTTATTTTCTAATGTATATTTAATTGCAACATTTTCGAATAATCGAAATTTCATTAATTCTAAACAAATGATTTTAAAGATTCTCAATGAACTTTGCCAAAATTTATTAAAAATAATTTATTTAAAGAAGAATTTTAATTAAAAATTTTCCAAAATAATTATTGAATTGAAATTAAAATAATTTTGAAGAATTTTATCACTCGGTCATCTTTAATTATTATAAGTTGCTTAATTTCAAAAAGGTTTGAATTTTTAATTGTTGAAAATCTTAATTCCTGTGGAAAAATAATATCTAATGATTAAAGATTTATTTAAAAATGAAGTTATTTTACGTTTTCGAAGAATTTTACAATTAAAGAAATTCGCAAATAAATGTATTAGAAGTTAGAACATTTTTTTCCTACTTAATCATTTTTAGAGTGAATCAGAATATTCTTCAAGGCAAGAAATAAGTGAAAATTTTGTCTGTAATTCAGGGAAAAGTCAGGGAAAAAGAAAATTAAATTTTTGTGGCATTAGATAAATATGATAATGCAGAAAAGAAATATGAAAGTTTTATGTATTTGTAAAAATTTATTAGAGTTATTTAATTTATTTTTTAAAAAAATGTATTTTTAATTGTAAAATCAATAACTGTAATTTCTTCAAAATTATTTTCATTTCAATTCAATTATTCATTTCTAGAATTTTTAACTAAAAGTCTTCTTTAAATCAATTATTTTTAATAATTTTTGAAAAAGTTCTTCTTGGGGAATTTTTAAATCCATTTGTTTACAATTAAATTTTACCTAAAATTTCAATTATTTTGATATTCTTCAATGAAAAAAAATTAGAAATTAAAAACTTCAAATAATTAAAAAAAAATTCCATTAAACTTTTTGAGAAAAATTAATACTAAATTTCCTTAAAAGTCTTGTCAAAAATTTAATTATTTTTATAGATAATAAAATTATTAGCAAGAATACAATTATTCTCAAAAATTTGAATAACATTCTTCGAAATAATTCAATTACTTTTTAAAATTGACAAAATTCTTCGCAAGAATTCAATTATTTTCAAAAATGATAAAATTCTTCGTAAATATTCAATTATTTTCAATATTAATTTTTACGTAATTTTGATTATTCAGACTTTCTTCAATTAAATATATATTAGAAAAAAAACTTGAAGAATTAAAGAAAAATTCAATTAAACTTTTTTAAAAAAATTAATTCTAAAGAAATGTTAGTTAAAAGTATGAAAAGTTCTAATTTTCAAAGATTTTAATATGAAACCTTTTCAAAATTCAATTATTTCTATAAATTCACGCTTTAATACTTTTAATGTTCAATAATAATCTAAAATTTTAACTGAAATTCATTTTTAAATCAATATTTACTAAAAAAAAATCCATGAGAATTCAATTATTTAAATACAAAAATAAACATTTTATTAAATAATTGAATGTTTCTTGAAATTGAATTTTCATAAAGAATTTTATAAACAAATTTTTAAATAATTGAATTCTCTTGACAAATTTTAATAAAAATTTTAAGAATAAGTTCATTTTTCGGAAATTGGATTAAAATTTTAATTAAAAATAAATAATTTCTCCTAATAATTTTATAAGAATTTTGGAAATAATAATTGAAATTTTGCCAAGAATTTTATTAAAATTTAAGAAAATAATTAAATTTTGGAGAAAAATTCATATAGATTATTGAAATTTTGACGAGAATTTTTGTAAATTGTTGAACACAATTAAATTTCTGCAAAGAATTATATTAATTTTTGAAAATAATTGAATTCTTGAGACGAATTTTATTAAAATGTCTTTTTAAATAATTGAATACTTTTATGAAATTTTATTGAAATAGTAGACATTGAAAATAATTGAATTTTGGCAAATTTTTGAAATTATTAAAATTTCTACGAAGAATTTTATTATTAAAATTATTTTGAAAAAAAAAAATTGAATTATTACAAAGAATTTCATTAAAATTTTTGATAATAATTTAATTTTTTGAATAAATTTAATTGAAACTTTATAGAAAATAACACTTTAATCTTATTTAATAAATTGTAGCAAAGGTTTTTACAATAATTGAATTTTTTTGAGGAATTGTAATAAAAATTTTAAGAATAATTACATTTTTCGAGAAAGTTAATTAAAATTGTATTAAAAATAATTGAAAGTCTGCGATGAGTTTTATTATTTATGAAAATAATGAAATGTTAACGTAAAATTTTATTAAAATTGAATTGATAAAAGTTTTTGAAAATTATTGAAATTTTGACATGAATTTTATTAAAATTTTTGTAAATAATTGAATTTCTCAAAATAATGGAAAAGTCAAGGAATTTCAAATAAGCAAAATCGTGGGAACTCTGCAAATATGAATTTTAAAAATTTTTCATTAGAAATTCTGAATAAGTTAGTTTTCTGAAACACTTTTATTCACATTTTTTTGAAATGATTTATACTTTTAAAAAAATGTTAAATTAAAAAATTTTCAAATTATTCGAAATTTTATGATATTGTGTTGTAAACAAGTAAATTTTAGAAATATTTTAGTTTTAGGTGAACTTTTTTTGAAATAATTGAATTTTTAAGGAACTTTCTCAAAAAGGATTAAAAATAATTTAATTAGAAAAGAATTTGAGTTAAAATTTCTAGAAAATAATTGAATTGAAATTTTGAAAATAATTTTTGAGTGTTTTTCTGTATGATCGGGAATATTTTTTTGTGAAAAAGCAATTGTAGCTTCGATACCACCAATTTTCTTGTTTGCTAAATTCAAAATAGTGAATGTATGACGCATAAAAAAATTATTTATTGAGCAATTTTGATTTAATAATTTTAAATTTGACTTTTCGAAGATTAAATATTTTGACATAATATCTTATAAAAAACTAGTTGTTTGGAGGTTTTAGGGGATCCCAGCATTAGACTTGCAAAACTGTACCTTTGTTTCGTAAATAACGAATAGATATAAGAAATAAATTATTTGGAGATAAATAATAAGTGGAGTATTTATGTATTCAATGTTACAGATATACAGCAGTTTCAGTGATAGAAATGGATTTCGATAGGATAGACATAAATCAATGTCCCAAGGGAGATGGAAATGATGGTCCGAATAGGTTTGCGAATACATCAAGGTGTAAAACGGAGACGACGGAGGTAAGAATTTTATTACGTAAGATGTGTTTGAAGAATTTCTTTTTTAGTTTTGAAAAGTGTACATAAACTAAATGAAGAAAAAAAAATAAAAAAATAAAAGGTCACCATATTTAACAGGTTTTTATTTTGTAATCTAGTGTGAACCTTTACACGGATGGGGTTTTAGGAGAGGAGGATATCAGTGCAGATGTAAACCGGGTTTCAGATTACCCACGGTAGTCAGACGACCCTATCTCGGAGAAATAATTGAGAGGGCAACACAAGAAGAATATTACAACAGTTTTGAGTGCTCTAAAATAGGCTGTAAGTAATTAATCTTTTCTCTTATTTCTATTGAAAATTATCACCAAATTGGCTGTTTGAGTCGGAATGAATGTGCATGAATATCTTTGAATGCATAGTAAAAACTTTACTTAACAGAATATAACAGGCTTCGCACTCATCTACTAAAACCTACTATTTATGTTTTTTTCAGAATTTCCACTACTTTAAATTCCCTAATACTAGAAATAAAAAACCATTTTTTCATCTTTTTTTCAAAAAAATCATTAAAAATCTTTAAAAAAAAAATTATAATCAAATTTTTTAAAACGATTAAATTATTTTCAAATTCCTTAAAACGATTCAATTATTTTCAAAAAAATATTTGAAGTTCAATTATTTTCAATACCTACTATTTTAATAAAATTTTCCAAAAAAATCAATTATTAAAAAAAAACAATTGATAAAATTCAATTATTTTCATAAATAATAAAATTTCCGAAGGATTTCAATTAATTTTGAATAGCATTTTCAAAAAAATTTCGTAAAAATCAATTATTTAACAAAAATTTTATAAAATTCTTCAAAATAATTCAATTACTTTCACTAATAATAACATTTTTCATGAAAATTCAATTTTTTAAAAAAATTTTTAATAAAATTCCTTGAAAAATTCAATTATACTCACAAATAAAGTTTTCCACTAGAATTCAATTATTTAAAATAAAAATTTTCATATTTATTATATTTCGTAAACATTAATTACTTTAAACAATATTTGTGACGCGTCGCGAAGAAAAGCACTTAAGAAGCATATCGAAAATTTTACAGGTGGAGGAAAAAAGGAAAGAGAAAATCAACTCTTAGCACGAATTTCTGTTTTGTAAATCATTATTACGAAAGTATTTCAGATAAGTATTTGATAAAAATTAATTTTGAGTTCAGTTAAATAGTAATCTTTAATTTATCTGAAACAATCATAATCCGAAAATCGGTTTTTTGCTTCTTAGGTGCTTTTCTTCGCGACGCGTCACATTTATAAAATTCTTATGAAAAATTCAATTATTGAAAAGAACAAAATTTTTCACAGATATTCAATTCTTTTTAAACATTTTAATAACATTTTTTTACAATAATTCAATTATTTTCATAAATAATAAAATTCTTCGAAGGAATTCAATTATTTTCGTAAATAATAAAATTCATCGCAGGAATTCAATTATTTTCAAATATTTTAATAAAATTATTCGAATGAAATCAATTATTTTAAATACAATTTTAATTAAATTATTTTGAGATAATTCAATTATTCTTTTAGATTAGGTATAATAAAATTCTTTCCAAGAATTCAATTATTTACATAAATAATTCTTCGAAAGAATTCAATTATTAAAGATAAATAACAAAATTATTCCCGAAAATTCAATAATTTTGAGGCTTTTTAATAAAATTCTTTACAAAATTCGATTATTTTCATAAATAACAATATTCATCACAAGAATTTAATTATTTCTAAAAGTAATGACATTTTTTCTTGGAAATTTAATTATTTTAAAAAATTCTAATAAAATCGTTCGTAAGGATAAAATTATTTTTATAAATTTTTATATTCTTTCATAAATAGTAAAATTCGTTGCAGGAATTCAATTTATTATTTTAATTTATTTTTGTCAGATTTGTGAAGATTCTATAAAACGAGTTTTTTTGGTCTTCAAATTTAATTTTTCGATAGCTACTGTTTTACTACTTTTTTTAGTTTGAAATCTACTTTTTTAAAATTTATTATCGACTGCGAAGTCTGATATAAACTTAACATATTTTTATTTAATAGATTCTTCAATTGATTAAAGTTTTAATTAACATTCTTTCTACTTAAAAGGAATGTAATCTAATCGAATTCTTATTAAGAAAAAATATCAGTTATCAGAATTTGTAACTCCCCCAAGAAAGCAAATTTTGAATTTAAACTTACAGAATTTTATACTCATGGGTGGTAATATATGGAAATAATTTGAATGAAATACATAAGGGTGCAATTTTTGCATGTCTAACCCCCTGTCCATTCATTATTGAACCCGTCTTACCAAAGCAACCATTTTAATTCTTTAGAAAATAATAAAATAAAAAGAATTTCAGAGTAATTTTGCTTCCTTATAGAGGAAGGATTGTATTAGTGAAAATTTTCGATTGTGATTTTTTGATATAATTATTTCGATGTAATTTGACCTCAGGACTCTGAAAAACGTGTTTTTAAAAAATTTCCGTGTGTGCACTGACATTAGCCTCAATATCTCAGAAACAGAAAGAGCTACAGGCTTCAATTTTTTTTAATTTTAGGACTCTGTCGAATAGTAACCCAAATTATATTAACAAGAATTGAACAATCTCTGTGAAGTTGATTTTTATTTGATGACCTTTTTTCAAAAATACTATTTATCCAAACAGATAGTTGATAGATAGTTTGAAACAATAATGTTATTAATTAACTATATTAATTTGAATGTTCTTTCATTCTTTCATTCACTTTTTCTGTCCCTCACACTCTGAAGTTGTCTTTCGTTTATACTTTTGTTTTTTGTTAACTTTAGATAGAAAATAGAAATCATTAGAATTTTTTTACTTCTTTTCATTAAAAGACTAAAATTTTGCTAAATATTATGTTCTGTCAAATTGAAATTATTTTTGTTCTTTACTTCTAAAAAAAATTAGAAAATTATTAAACAACTGGTGATTAAGAAATAGAAAATTTATTTATTTTCCATTATTTTCTTTTTGAATCACAATTTTTTAAAGAAAATTATTATTTTGTTTTAGAAAAAGAAGAAAAATATTTGCACAATTTATATTTTAATCTTATCTTTGGAACAGGATTTTCCACAGGAATTAAGACATTCAAAAATTCAAAATTCAAACCTTTTTTAAATTAAACTACTTATAAAAGCATTGTTTATAAAAACATGAAGATATCAATTGCTCTGAGTCGAAGACTCGGAGTGATCGATTTCTTCATGTTTTCTAATAAATTAAAGATTACCGAGAGATAAAATCATTATTTTACATTATAAGAATATTGTTACTGTAACTTCATCAAATTTTTATCATTTTAATTAAATTATTATTTTCTAGAATTTTAAATTATTTTTTATGAAAATAATAATTGAATTTCTTAAAAAATTTTATTATTTATGAAAATAATTGAATTCCTTGTGAAATTTTAATTATTTTATGAATATAATTAAATGTTTGCGCAGAATTTCAATAAAATTTTTTATAATTGAATTCTTTTGAAAAATTTTAGTAGATATTATAAAAATCATTGAATTGAGGAAAATTTTTGAAAATAATTCAAATTTTTGCCGAGAATTTTTTCAAAATTTTTTTAAATAATTGAATTGATTCGAAGAATTTTATCAAACTTTTTTAAAATAATTGAATTTTTGCAACGAATTTTATTAAAATTTTCAAAAATAATTGAATTCTTATTTTCTAATTGCAAATCATTGAATTCTTGCAAAGAATTTTATCAAAAAATTTGATACTAATTGAATTTCTTCGAAGAATTTTATTGTTTATGAAAATAATTAAATTTAGGAAGAATTTTATTAAAATTTTACATAATCTTAATTAAATTCTTTTGAAGAATTTCTTTGAGTTTCTTTAAAATAATGGACTTTCTTTAATCATTTTAATTACAAGTTTTCAAAGTAATTGAATTCTATATGAATAATGTCTTTCAAGTTTTTATAATAATCCTCCTTCTTCATAATTGAAATTAAGCATTTAATTCTTGAATTTTATTTAAAATTTTTGGAAAATAATTGAATTTTTTTGAAAAATTTCTTTAATTTATTGAATACAATCGAATTTTTTAATAATTGTATTGAAAATAATTGAATACCTGAGAAGAATTTTATTATTTATGAAAAATACTTTAATTCTTGCGATGAATTTTAATAATATATTTCTTTTTAAATAATTGAATTCTTTTGTGAATTTTTATTGAAATAGTAGATATTAAAAATAATTGAATTTTGATATTATTGAAATTAATTTAATTCTACGAAGAATTTATTTCAAATTATTTTGGAAAAAATCGAATTGTTAAAAATTATTTCATTAAAATCTTTGAAAGTTAATTTTAATAAAAATTTTAAGAATAATTAAATTTTTCAAAAAATTCCATTAACATTGTACCAAAAATAATTGAAATTCTGCGATGATTTTTATTATTTATGAAAATAATTGAAAACCTACATACCTATAGAATTTTATTATTTATGAAAATAATTGAATTCCTGGTTAAAAAAAATGTTATTCTTCATGAAAATAATTGAATTATTGCGAAGAAATTTATAAAAAATTTGTAAATAATAGAATTCCTCTGAAATCTTTATTATTTAATTCATTCATTCAAAATTGTCATTTTCTAAAATTTCAAATTAAATTTTTTTTTAAATAATTGAATTCGTTTTGGGAAATATTTTATTAAAATCGTAGATATTGAAAATCATTAAAATTAGAAAATTTTCTGAAAATAATTGAACTTTGGAGAAGAATTTTGTTATTTATAAAGATAATTGGAATTTTGGCGAATTTCTCCAATCATTTGTAACTTGTAGTTAATAAGAAGAATTTCATTTTATTTTAAAGAATTTTTGCAATTATTTTTAAATTCTACAAAATTGAATTTTTTATAGTATTTTCAACAAAAATTTAAATTAGAAAATTTTCAAATTTTATTATTTTTAAAATTGCTAATTTTATTTAAAAAAGGTAGTAAGAAGTTAGCCGCGCGCTTTAGCGCACGATTTGTTGCTAGTTAGGAAATAAACGTAATGAATTTTGTATTTTTGAAGGGATTCACAAATTACCAGTACAGTGGGAACATATGCAACCGCACATTCGAGAACGATATTTGGATCGATATCGTGAGTACAAAGGTAACTCCACTTCCGGAGCAGGCAGCTTGGAGACTGAGAAAATGAACATTGACAATGTTCTCAAGTTCATTAATAGTGTCAACGATAAAACTTGCTTAAAGTAAGATCCAGTTTATTTTCAAATCCATTAGTTGATAATTGAAAAATTCTTTCATTGATGTTTATTTTAATTGAATTTTAATAATGAAATTAGATATACTCCGAAACAACTACAATTGCGAGGTGATATTGCTTTTGGAGCGGAGGAATATTACGAGAATCAAGCGAAAATGGCAACGAGATTGTCCAACTTTATCAGTGCATTCTTGCAAATGTCCGATCCCAAGGAGGTTTATTCGGGGAAAAGAGTAGCGGACAAACCGCTCACCGAAGATCAAATGATGGGTGAAACTTTGGCCCTAGTTCTCGGAGACACGAGAATTTGGTCAGCGGGAATGTACTGGGATCGTAACAAATTTACCAACAGAACTTTCTTTGCTCCTTTCGCCTATAAAGAACTTCTGAATACAAGAAAATTCAAACTAGAAGATTTGGCTAGGCTAAATGACACAGGTGAGATCATTTTCATTTTTTCCTTTCTGTCTTGAACTTATTACTAATTTGTTAAAATATTTAATTCTCTTAAATTATTATTTGAAATTAACTATTCAAATGTAAAACTTGTAATTTCTATAATTATTGAAAAATGAAAACTAATTCTAAATACGAAATTATTATATAAAAATTATTTTAATTATCTCTAGTAAAAGAATCTATAAAAATAATGAGTCTTTATTTTATAGATGATGTTTATACTAAAAAGCCTTGGTTCCAATTCTTGAAGCAAAGATGGGCAACAAATTACGACGAATTGGAAAAGTTCTATGTCAAAATAATGCTTAGGCATAACGAAACTGGCGATGAATTGCCCAAGAAATATGAACGATTTCCTGGTTTCTACAGGTATTACATTTTTTTCATAAATAATTCTGAATTATTTTCTATTATTTTTATTAAAAAACATTTAGATTTAAGGTTGATGATTTGATAACGAATCAGATTTTTATACACGGTGTCAAACTATTTTCGTTCAACAAAATTCCCGGTTCTTTCCAGGCTTTGCCCTAATTTTTCCCAGTTTATTTTCTCATCAAATTTCTCTAATTTTTTCTTTTATCTTTTAATGATGAATTTGCACTAAATTTAGCAAAGTGTCGTTGAAACTTTCAATTGGAAATTTTTGTTTTGAAAGTTTCAAATTTTCAAATTTATAATCGATGAAATTTTTCATGAAATTTATAAAATTTGTAAGATTAGTATTTTGGTGAAGTCAAGTCTCAATTATTTTTAGAAGTTTGTTGTTCTTTTAATATTATTTAATTATTACAAAAGTTTTAATGCAATTATCTTGATAAATAATAAAATTCTTCTCAGAAATTCAATAATTTTGAGGAATTTAAATAAAATTCTTTACAAAATTCAATTATTTTCATAAATTACAATATTCATCCCAAGAATTCAATTATTTTCAAAAGTTATAAAATTCTTCGAAGAAATTCAATTTTTTTTTAAAATTTACACGAATATCTCGTCAAGAATTCAATTATCTTTACAAATAGCAAAATTTTTCGCCAAAAATTCAATTATTTTCAAAAATTTATAAAAATCTTTGCAAAAGTTCAATTATTTTCAAAAGTTTTTTTGCAATTCAATAATTTTCAATATTTACTATGTTCATAAAATTTATCAACAGATTTAATTATAGAAAAAACTTTTTGATACAATTCCACGAAAAGATTCAATTATTTTCATAAATAATAAAATTTCATTTACGAATTCAATTATTTTCATCGCAGAATTTCCAATATTTTTAATACAATTTTAAATAAATTCCTTGAAAAATGCAATTATTATTAAAAATTCTATTAAAACTTGAGGAAAGAATTCAATTAAGAAACATTCAATTATTCAATAAAACAATAAAATTCGTTGCAATAATTTAAATATTTTCTTAAATAACATTTAATTCGCCGCAGAAAATCAATTATTTTCAAAAAATTTTAAGTAATTTTGCAAAAAAATTCAATTAGCTTGATAAACAACAAAATCGCATAAATTCTTTCCATAAAATCAATTATTCTGAGGAATTTTAATAAAATTCTTTTCCAAAATTCAATTATTTTGATAAATATCAAAATTCATCACAAGAATTCAATTCTTTTGAAAAGTAATAAAATACTTTGCAGAAATTAAATTATTTTCAAAATTTTTTAAAAATTCTCGTCAAGAATTAAATTATCTTTATTTAAACAGATAGGAAAATTCTTCTCAATAATTACATTATTGTCAAAATTTTTTTTAAAATTCTTCTCAATAATTACATTATTGTCAAAATTTTTTTTAAAATTCTTCTCAAGAAGTCAATTATTTTCAAAAATTTTAATAAAATTCTTCTCGTGAATTCAATTGTTTTCAAAAATTATTATTTAAATTCTTCTTAAGAATTCAATTATTTTTAAAAAATTTAATAAAATTCTTCAAAAAATTTTCAAAAATTGTTATAAAATTCTTTAATATAGTAAATTTTATTCAAATTTTAATTAAATTCCTTAAAAGAAATTAAATATTTTCAAAAGTTGTTAATATAATTCTTCGTAAAAATTAAATTTTAAGAAACATTCAATATTATTTATTTTTGTATATAAATAATTGATTTCTCGTTGAATTAAATTATTATTTTTCGTACTTTTAACTAACAATTCTGTAGAATTAATTTTTTTGAAAAAGTTTAATTGAATAATAATTAATAATTGATGTTATTGATTTAAAGTAGAATTTTAGTTAAAAAATCTAGAAAATGTTTATTGAATTGAAATGATACAAATAATTTTGAAGAAATTACAGTAACAATATTCTTATAATAATGAAATAATGATTTTGTCAGTCGGTCATCTTTGTTTTACAATAATATTCTTGAGTTGTTCAATTTGAAAAGGTTTGAATTTGAAATTTTTGAACATCTTAATTCCAATGAAAAAACATTGATTAAAAATGTTTAAACATAATCGAATTTCTGCAAAGAATTTTATTACTTTTGAAAATAATTGAATTGCTTTTTAAAATTTTATGGAAATTTATGAAAATAATTGAATTCTTGTGAAGAATTTTTGTTTAAAATAATATTCAAAAGAATTTATTAAATTTGAAGAATTTTGCTATTTATGGAAATAATTGAATTCTTGAGAAGAATTTTTTTACAGTTTCTAGAAATAATTGAATTCTTTCGACGAATTTTAATAAAAGTTTTAAGATCAATTACATTTTTCGAAGAATTTGATTAAATTTGATTAAATTTGATTAAAATTGTATTAAAAATAATTTAAATTCTGCAATGAGTTTTACTATTTTTGAAAATAATTGAATACATTGCGAAGAAAATTTAAAAAAAAAATTATAATTACGATGACTAAATTCCCTTGATTATTTTCGAAAAATTTAAATGAAATTCTTTAAAATAATTTAATTATTTTTAATAGAATGTAAAGAAATTTCAATTATTTCAAAAGTTTTCAATTATTTGTTTATAAAAATTCAATTAGGTATCTTGAAACAACAGAATTGAAAAATTTTAAAAATCTCATTTTTCAGAATTTGCAAAAAAGCTTTGCAAATATTAAATTTTATTAAAAAAAATTTGAAGTGTGTATTTCTTTTTAAATTAACTAATAAAAATTTTAATTATTAATTTTCGCACTAAGAAACATGAATACATTAGAATGTTACTCTTTATAGAATTAAATTATTTATCAATTATTAAATTAAAATACTCCGAAAATTCGATTTGTTAAAAAGTTTTTAATGAAATTCTCTAACAAATTTAATTATTTTCAGTTGAATTTCACAAAATTTCTATCAATTCGATAATTTTTTTCAATTTATTTACTAACTAGGTATATTTGAATCAGTGACTGATTTTTATTTTTTTTTGTTCACCATATTGAATCTGAAATTTTTATTTTCAAAAATCTGGCATCAAGTTTGTAATCAGCGATCTCGAAAATCATAGGTAGTGAATAGATTTTCATAAATTTTTGCCTTTCAGAAATTTCTTGACATTTTAAGACATTTTTTATTTTAATATAGGATTTAAAAACATTTCTTACATAAATAAATTTTTCTGATAATCTTTTAATTTTTTAAAAATAAACCAGATTTTTCGAAATTAAAGATTTCGTTTCACAATTACACGTGGAATTATTTTGAGAAAGAGGAATGAAAGGGTCAAAAGTAGGTGTACCTCAAATTCAAGTTTTATAATCTTTCCCCTATTTTTCTATTCCTTTATTTTCTCCCCTTCCTCCCCTGCTTTAGGAAATCTGACCCCATATTTACCCTTTCTCGTCACTTTGCAATTCGATATTTTTTATTTTTATTTTAAATAAATTTAATTTACTGAAATAATTATTTACGTTTTTACAAAAACAAATTATCAAAAAATTCAAATAATTATCTTATCAAAAGAAAATGAAAACAAAACGTTTCACAATTCATTTTATTTCGTGTTTAGAAAACGAAAATATTTAATAAATCGCAAAATGACAAAAGAACAGTGTCATTTATAGTAAAATATGTTAAATGTCTGTAAAAGAATAGGGTTGCCAGAAACATTTAATTTTGTTTTTTCCTGATTTTCAGACAAAATTTAGACTTTTTCCCTGACCCTAAAGAATATTCTAATTCACTCTAAAAATGACTAGACACGGGAAAAAGTTTTATTATTTGAGTAAATAATTGAATTATTTCTTCTTATATCGGTTTCTCAAAAATTTCATTTTTTTTGGTTATAGGTTTCGGTTTTTCGGTTGTTTTCCCCTGACAATATATATATGAATGAAAATATTTTAATTATAGCATTTTAATTGCATTTTAGTTATTTCTGGTTTTCAGTTTTTTCGGTTATCGGTTTCGGTTAGCCATCCCTGAAAAATAAAAAAAAATTGTTAATAAATTGAAGAAAATAATTAGATTAAATGACTATTAGGTGACTATTAGGTGACTATTTGGTAATGATTTGAAGAAGAAACTATAAGAAATATGTATTTTAATACTTGGGAATTTGTGGGGTGTTTGCGTAGCGCAGCAAACCTGAATCACGGCCACTGGACAACTCCTTACTTTGATTGTAACGGCAAAGTGAAGAAATGGGTAATTACCTATGCATCCCCATTTTTTGGCTTCTTGGGCAGCTCGAAAAAGAACTTGGAATTCAAGTGAGTATTCTTGTGTTGGTAAATCGAGTGTGAGATAGTTCCGAAGGGGAACCAGTTTCATAATAAAGGAGGAAGGAAGAGAAGATCATATTTAACATTAAGACACTTACAGGGGTGTCGTTGCTGTTACCATGCATTTGAATGATCTGGATGTCAACCAGTGTGATAATAAATATTATGTACCGAACGCTTTTAAAGGAACGCACAAGTGCGACAAGAAGACGTCCTATGTAAGTACTTTTCATTTTCCTTTCTTTTCCTTTCTTTTCTTTTCTTCACAACAATTAATTATTTCTTCTTCTTCTTCAGTGCGTTCCAATATTGGGCAGACATTTTGAAACTGGAGGTTATAAATGCGAATGTAAGCAGGGATTCGAGTATCCGTTTGAGGATCCAATAACATATTTCGATGGCCAATTGGTTGAATCGGAGTTTACGAATCTCGTTCAAGACAGAGAAACTAGGTACACATTTTTCTTTTATTCTTTACAATATTTTATACATTATTTATTTCTTAATTTTCATTAACTACAATTACAAAGTTTTCGGTAATCAAAGGTGGCCACCAAAACTCGTGAATAAAATTCACGTCTATTTCCCGGGTTTTTCAAGGTTTTTAGGAAATTTTCAAGGTCAATTATTTAAAAAAAAATTGATAAAATTCGTTGTAAGAATTCCATTATTTTCATAAATTATAAAATTTTTCTGAGGATTTCAATTATTTATAATACAATTTAAAGTAAATTCCTAGAAAAATGGAATTATTCTCTTAATTTTTTTGTAAGAAAATTTAATTGCATTTCACGAATATAATGAAATTCTTCGTTGAAATTCAAATATTTTCACAATCTACTTTTTTAATAAAAGTTCTCAAAAGAATTCAATTATTTAAAAAAATGTAATAAAATTCGATGCAGGAATTCAATTTTCATAAATAATAAGATTTTTTACATTATTTCAATTATTTAAAAAAAAATTTGAAAAAATTCATTGCAAGAATTCAATTACTTTCATAAATTAATAAAATTCTTCACAGGATTTCAATTATTTTTAATACAATTTAAGGTAAATTCTTCGAAAAATGTCACTATTTTCAAAAATTTTGTTAAAATTCTTCGAAAGAATTCAATTATGTTTTATGTATTTTATCAATTATGTATTTTTAAAAATTTATGCTATAATGTATTTAATATTCAATTATTATCTAAAATTTTAACTAATATTCATTTTCAAATCAATTTTTATTGGAAAATTCTACAAGAATTTAATTATTTAAATACAAAAATAAATAATTTATTGAATAAATGAATGTTTTTCGAAACTAAATTTCTAAATTTCAATAATTTCAGGATTTCAATTATTTTTAATGCAATTTTAAGGAAATTATTCGAAAAATATAATTATTTTCCAAATTTCTATTAAAATTCGTCGAAAGAATTCAATAATCAATTATTTTTAATCATTTTTGCAAAAATTCCTTGAGAATTTTTAAATCTATTTATTTACAATTCAATTTTACAAAAATTCCAATTATTCGAAAATTCTTCAATTGCATATTTAGAAAATAAAAACTGAAAAATAATTTCAAAAAAATTAATTGAACTCAATTGTCAGTTAAAAGTATGAAAAATTCAAATTTTCAAAGATTTTAATTTGAAACCTGCGTCAATTTAATGATTTAAATACAAAAAGAAATAATTTATTGAATAAAGGAATGTTTCTCAATATTGAATTCTCATAAAGAATTCTATCAACAAATTTTTAAATAATTCAATTTTCTCAACGAATTTGAATAAAATTTTCAAAAATAATTACATTTTTCGAACAATTCGATTAAAATTGTATTATAAATAATTGAAATTCTATGATTATTTATGAAACTAATTAAATGCTTGCTTTGAATTTTATCAACATTTTTTAAAAATAATTGAATTCGTGTGAAAATTTTTATTATAATAGAAGATATTGAAAATCATTGAATTGAGAAAATTTTTTGAAAATAATTGAAATTTTGACATGAATTTTATTAAAATTTTTGAAAATAATTGAATTTTTTGAAAGAAACTTTAAACTCATTCAAGAAATTTATTTAAAATTTTACTCAAAATAATCGAATTCTTTTCAAGAATTTTATCAAAATTTTGAAAATATTAAAATTTTTTCGAGGAAATTTCATTAAAATCGTAATTAAATTCCTGCGAAAAATTGTATTAAAATGTCTAAAAATAATGGAATTTTATCAAAACTTCGAAAATAATTGAATTATTTCAAAGAAATTAAAACAAAATTTTTTTAATAATTAAATTTTTTCGATGAATTTTATTGAAATTGTAATTAAATTCCTGTGAATAATGTTATTTTATTTATGAAAATTGTATTTTTGCAAAGAATTTTACTAAAATTTCTGTAAATAATTTAATTCTTTTGTTAAAATTTAACTGAAAGTAATTGAATTTTGTCAAGGAATTTTATTGAATTTATTTAAAAAAATTCAAACTAGCAACAATTAGCGCACTAAAGCGCGCGGCTAACTTTTTGCTTCATTTTTTTATTTAAAATTAGCAATTTTAAAAATAATAGAATTTAAAAATTTTTAATTCAAATTTTTGTTGAAAACACTAAAAAAATAATATTCAAATAATTGCAGAAATTCAATTATTTTCAAAAGTAATAAAATTTTTTCCTTTATTTTCAAAAAATTCAAAAATTTTTCAGTTTCATTTTCAATTTAATTTTCTAATTGACAAATATAATTTACAAACATTTTTTTCATTTTTTTAAAAAAAAGCTTTGAATTTTTTAAAAATTATAAATAAAAATTATAAATTATATATTTTTTAAATAATTAAAAAACTTTTTTTTGAATTTTATTAAAACAATTGAAATTAAGAAACACAATTGATGCAAATTATTTCCTTACAAAAATTGAGAATTTTCTACTAAAATTCTATTTTTACAAAATATTAAGAAACGGGAATATCTAATGTTTTTCTTCGCAAAAGAAAAAAATGAGTTTATAAACAATATTGTTATTGGAAAATAACAATTATGCATAAAATAGTATAATTCCTACTTCTTAATCAGAATTTTTTAAAAATTAACAATTTTCTAGTATTTTTTGTAAATAAAAAGGAGAATAATTTGCATAATAATTTAAATCAGTTAAACGAAATTTGTTATAGAAAAAAGCATATAACAAACAAAATGGGTTTATTTTTCATTTGTTAATCATAATTTTTTAAAAATTTTCTAATTTGTAATATTATTTTATTATAAATCATGAAAAATACCTGCATATTTGAAAGTTGTAAATTGTCTATAAAAATGTTAATTAAAAGAAACCATAAAAATCCTTACTTTTTTATTTTAACTAACTGCCCTTTCAGAGACGTTTATCATGTTGCATTTTTAATTTACAGTACTTCAAATTTTTCTGACATTTTCTGGTTTAGTGACATTTAAATTTTTAGTAAACAGAAAAATTTCTAAATAAACACTATTTTTCTTAGTGCATGAATTAACTTGAAATGAATTTTTTCAAATGCAGAAAGAAGAAACAACAAATCATTTTTCTCTCGAATTACAATGTTTAATTTTAATAAATTTATTTAAGAACCGTTTTTTAATAATATTGATAATAGTATTTAGAGACCTGTTACGCTTACGGTTAAAGATGTTCGTTGATAAGAATTAAAGAAATTGATAGAAATTTTAAGATGTTTTAATTTTGTGTTTTTTGGCCAAATTATAAATTAATAAATTTATTTAAGAACCGTTTTTTAATAATATTGATAATAGTATTTAGAGGCCTTTTACGGTTAAAGATGTTTACCGTAACATCTTTAACCGTAAAAGGCCTCTAAATACTATTATCAATGTTTAATTTTGTTTTCAAAAATATTAAATTATTTTAGATGAGATATCTGATATTAGTAATCTTGACTGAATTAATATTTTTCAGGTATGACATGTTCAAATGTCGAGTAGCCGGTGCATCGTCGATAGAGGCCAGCTACTTGCTTCTAACGTTAATCATAGCCGCTCTCTATTCTTTTCAATGGAGGTAAAATTAATGCAATTTTCTCTCATCATGTTGAGAATTCAAGACGTTTTTCAAGATCTTTGAGATATATTTTTAAGATCTCGTCACTGTATTGACCAAAAAGAAAATGCCGTCCAAACATTTAGTTTAAGACCTTGTTTAAGGCAAGCAGCGCTATAATTTTCAAAAACATTTTCTGAAATTTAAACTTTGACTACAAACAATGTATTTCAGTTCGATTAGTTGAATAGAATTTACATTAAAATTTCTATGAGTTGAAAAATGCGTTTGAAAAGGCAGTTTTAGAAAAAATTCTACACAAAATCTGAGACTATAAGCATTTAAAATGCATGACAAAAATTGTATTTCTTCAGTCTCCAAAACCTCTCTTTTGAATGGGTTATAAAAATATAAAAATTTTTAATTTCTAAATAAAAAAATTAGGAATACCTTTTTAAGAAAATGTTCTATCAGCAGAGGCCGTGGCGTTGATTGTCTTGTGCCTAGTCTTAATAGAGAAAGAGTGATTAAACTTAAAAAAAAATTCAAATGTAAAACACAAATACCGTCCAGAATGTGTTAAATGAAAAATTAATGTTTATAATTCGTAAGGAAGCTTTTAAATATTTTATACATTGACTTTATATAAATTAATGCCATGTCAGTTCAAGTCCCGTCCGATTAGAAAATAGGCGTTATTAAACCAAGCAAAATTTCTAAAATGTTCTGGTCTAAAAATACCAAAAATATTTGGTATTTGAATCTGAGTAATAATGAATATATTTTATCAAAATTTTTAACTAAATTATATTCGTATTTTTTTATCGAAACATTTTAGAAAATTTGTTTTTATAAATTTTAATATTTAGTCCAAATGTTCAAAGTATTAAATAATGTTCATACCATTAATGTAATAATGTCTCCGTAACAAATTTCTAATACATATCATTTTTATGATAATAATAATAAAAAAATTTATTAAATTTTGTACAAAGAAATACTATTAGGTATTTTGCGCAGAGAATTTTATATATTAAAAAGAATTGATCGATCTGTTAACTTATACTCACTGAAAAAATGAATCTCAAATTTTAAAAAACATTTTAAGAAAATGTTATACAATTTAATGATTACCTTTGCATACTAGAATAGTGTTTTTAGTCTAACGATATTGTTTTAAAAAGAACAAAAATTGAATGACACTGTAAGAAGAGTGTTGAGATTTGTTTTATATAAAATTTGTATTTTAAATTTTAATACAGTTGTAATTTTAGATTTTAACATTTTAATGTGTAAAGACTGGAATTATTGAAATGTACAATTAATTAAACAGTCTAGTATGTTTGTTGATGAGAAACAAACATAATATTCCGTCCTATACAACTAGAAAAATTTGTGCCTTTACATTGTACGTTGAAAAACGAGAAAATTGAAAATTTTTTAAATTGTTTTATCTACAATGTAAGAAACGGAAATTCCACTGCAAAAACTATTTTAATTTTTATACACTTTTTTTCTATGTATTTTGTATATTATACATGAATAAAATATTAAAATTTTTTTAATAATAAAACTTGGATTTTTTATTTTGCGTCAATTTCATGATTTATCATTATTATATTAATTATTTAATTAATGAATTTTTGTCTACAAATAATAAATTAAGGGTTCACAAATAAAATAAATAAACTCAATTTGTTTATTACATATTTTTTCTATAACAAATTTCGTTTGACTATTATGCAAATTTTTCTCCTACTTATTTATAAAAAATAGAAAATTGTTAGTTGTTAAAAAATTATGATTAAGAAATAGGAAATATACGCATTTTAAGCATAATTTTTATTTCTCATTAACAATATTGTTCACAAATTCATTCTTTTTTTGGGGGGGAAATTAAAGAAGAATATTACATATTCCCGTTCCTTAATATTTTTGTATAGAAAATTCTCAATTTTCATTAGGAAATTAATAAATTGCATTCAATTTGTTTCTTAATTACAATTTTTTTTAATAAAGTTCAAAGTTTTTTAAAAATAAAAGAAAAAAATGCTTATAAATTCTATTTGTCAATTAAAAATTTTAATTAAAAGTAAAATTGAAAATTTTTGAATTTTTAGAAAATAAAAGAAATAGTTTTATTTAAAAAAATTTTCTGTTAGATTTATTTACGAATTTCTTTAATTGTAAAATTATTCGAAAATATCAATAACTTCTTTTTCAAAATATAAATATTTAATTATTATTATTTTTCCACAGGAACTAAGACATTCAAAAATTTCCAATTCCAACCTTTTTGAAATTAAAAAACTTATAAAAGTATTTTTTGTTATAAAACATGAAGATATCTATTGCTCCGAGTCTACTACTCGGAGTGATCGATTTCTTCATGTTTTATAATGATTTATAATAATTAAAAATTTATAAAAATAATTTTGGGAAAAAATTTTGTTATTTACAAAGATAATTGAGATTTTCACGATAATTTTTTTTAAATTTTGATCATAATTGAATTTTATGAGAAGAATTTTATTACTTTTGAAAATAATTGAATTTCTGAAATTATTTGTACATTAAATTTTTAGTGTTTTCAACAAAAATTTGAATTAAAAATATTTAAATTCTATTATTTTTAAAATTGCTAATTTTAAATTAAAAAATAAAGTAAAAAGTTAGCCGAGCGCTTTAGCGCACGAGTTGTTGCTAGTTACAATTATTTTTAATAAATTTAATAAAATTCCTTGACAAAATTCAATTATTTTCAGTTAAATTTTAACAAAAGAATTAAATTATTTACAGAAATTTTAGTAAAATTCTTTGCAAAAATACAATTTTCATAAATAAAATAACATTATTCACAGGAATTTAATTACAATTTCAATAAAATTCATCGAAAAAATTTATTATTAGACAATTTTTATTTTAATTTCTTCGTAATAATTTAATTATTTTCAAAATTTTGATGAAATTTTTTAGAAGAATTCGATTATTTTCCGTAAAATTTTAAATTAAATTTCTTGAATAAATTTAAAGTTTCTTCTCCAAAATTGAATTATTTTCAAAAATCTTAATAAAATTCATGGCAAAATTTCAATTATTTTCAAAAAATTTCCTCAATTCAATGATTTTCAATATCAACTATTTTAATAAAAATTTTCAAAAGAATTCAATTATTTTTAAAAAATGTTGATAAAATTCAAAGCATACATTTAATTATTTTCAGAAATAATCATAGAATTTCAATTTAATCGAATTGCTCGAAAAATGTAATTATTTTTGAAAATTTTATTCAAATTCGTCGAAAAAATTCAATTACTTAAAAATTTGTTGATAGAATTCTTTATGAAAATTCAATATTGAGAAACATTCCTTTATTCAATAAATTATTTCTTTTTGTATTTAAATCATTAAATTGTCGCAGGTTTCAAATTAAAATCTTTGAAGCTTTGAATTTTTCATACTTTTAACTGACAATTGAGTTCAATTAATTTTTTTAAAATTATTTCATGTTTTTATTTTCTAAATAAGCAATTGAAGAATTTCCGAATAATTGGAATTTTTGTAAAATTGAATTGTAAATAAATGGATTTGGAAATTCTCAAGAAACTTTTGCAAAAATTTTTAAAAATAATTGATTATTGAATTCTTTCGACGAATTTTAATAGAAATTATTATTATTATTAATTAATATTAATAATAATAAAAATAATAAATAGAAACATTTAAATATTAAATTTTTCTAAAAATTCACGTTACAATGATTTTAATATTCAATATTATTATCTAAAATTTTAACAGAAATTTATTTATAAATCAATTTTTATTAGAAAATTCTACGAAAATTATTTGAATTATTGAATAATTAAATGTTTCTTAAAATTTAATTCTTATAAAGAATTTTATCAACAAATTTTTAAATAATTGAATTCTTTCGATGAGTTTTAATAAAATTTTTAAAAAATAATTAAAGTTCTCCGATGACTTTTTATTATTTATAGAAATTAATTAAATTCCTAAAAAGAATTTTATTATTTATTAAAATAATTGAATTTCTAAAAAGAATTTTATTTATTTAAGAAAATAATTGAATTCCTATGAAATTTTTATTATTTTTGAAAATACATAATTGGATTTTTGCGAAGAATTTTATCAAAATTTTTTTTAAATAATTGGATTTCTTTGGAAAGTTTTATTAAAATAGTAGAAATTAAAAATCATTAAATTGAGAAAATTTTTCGAAAATCATTGAAATTTTGACAAGAATTTTATTAAAATTTTTGAAAATAATTGAATTTTGGAGAAGAATTTTATTACTTTTGAAATACATTCAATTTCTGCAATTTTCCAAAAATCTAAGTTGTTTAAAATTTCTAATTAAAATCATTCGAAATTGAAATTTTATATATGTAAAACCTCAAATTGAACCCTTTTCAAGTAGATCTATTTATGAAAATTTTAAACGTGACCTTTTTTAAAAATTCAATAATTTTGAAATGTGTATGTTAAATTATTTATTAAATAATTTATACGTGATAATTTCATGATAGTTCTTTAAGAATTAAGTTATTTAAAAAGATAAATTAGTTGACGATACAATAACGAAATGTGGAGAATTCAGGAACTTTGTGAAATTTGCCAACATTTCTAAATACGTGTAAAATATTTTTGTATGGTTATGTAGAAATTATTAGATACATTGCGGAGAGGAAAGATTTATTATTTACACTTACAAAGCAGCTGATCTTTTCTAATACTTGGAGATAGTCATTTTTAAACGTCAATTTTCATTCAGATGATATTTTACATAGAAAAGAATTACAACTGTTATTGAATACAAAACAAGAAACACACTGACATAAATGTATAAAAATATTTTCAAACGTGGATTCATGAATTACGGCCAATTTTAAATGTAGCACTATTTTTACTTCTTTATTTATTTTTTAATATAGAAAGTAAATAGCAATATTTCCTCTCAACTGAAATTTACAATTGACACACACCGATTAAACTTGTTTGTTGAATTTATTTATGTTTACATTATTTTTGTAATAAAGCAAATGTGAACGTGAAGGGATGAGCTCTTATTTTTCCACTTGGAAAAAATATTAGGTTAACATTTTTCTGCAATATTACGATTAGTTTTCATAAGTATATCATTTTCAAATAAAATAAAAAATATTTTCCATTTTAATGAGAGAAGTTTAAATTTATATTATGATAAGTTATTTAAAGATACGCTTCTGATTGAAAATTCATTAACCCTTTAATGCCCAAATGTACAAAATTTTGGCATGAAGTTTGAGGATTTATTTCGGTACTTAAAAATAAATAGAATAATTCATCAATCATCGTTTCTTATGTCTTCATAATATGCGTTCTATCGAATGGTGTTATAAAAAAATAAAAAATTTATAAACAAAAAAGTTATTAATGTTAAAAGATTCATAATCAGCGACCTCAAAAACCCCCGAGTAACAAGTTTCAAGTGAATCTAATAAGTTTTTAGAAAACTGTCCGCCATTTTGAATTTTGAAAATTGGACTTCAGGTTCGTAATCAGCGACCTCTAAAACCCCCGAGTAACATAAGTTTCAAGCTAATCTAAACATTTTTAACGATTTCGTACTTTCAGGTGAAATTTTGCAAAAAAAAATTGAACTTCAGACTCCATTTTTGAGCCGCCATTTTAATTTTTAATTTTCTCTATAGACCTATCTTGTAGCTTATATATTTTTGTCACTTTAATTGTAACATATTTGGAATTATTTTTCTGCGAGGCCCTGTCAAGTTTCAGGAAATCTTCGGTGCTGTATATGGTCAAAATTTGAAAATAGGTTAATCATTAAATCTAGTGAAAAATATTTAACAAAAATCAGATTAATATAATGTAAAGAAATTTCAAGGCCATCGATGTAACAAACTATTTTAATTTTCAATATATACTTTTTTATGTTATCTCCATCGTAGAAACGTGATATAGCTATATTCTAAATTTCTAAATATTATAAACTTTACTTTTATTAGTAGTTCATTTTCTCAAAAAACTGTAATTTATTCCACATGTCCCGATGATATTATTAAACTATCATTTCCTAAAATCTTTATAGAAGCAAACATTTTTTCACGATAAATATGTGAAATAAAATAAGATATATGACAAAGGTTTTAAAGTTGTAGCGCAGTTTAAACAGAAATTATTCAGTCATCACATAGTAAACACAAGAAAAAAATTGAATTATAGAATTGTCCAGTCCGAATTTATAGGTAAATTTATTCTATATTTTTATGTAATTATATATATCTTGTATATCTATTGCCCTTTGAGGTCCACTTGGACATAAGTGACCGCGTCTGAGAAAAAGGGCCTTATGACCAAAAAAATCGATTTTTAGATTTAGACGTTTTTTTACACTTTAAGGTCCTTAAAATGAAATGTAATTAGTCCCGGGTTTAACAATTTTTTTGGTCATAAGATCTCTTCTCAGACGCGGTCACATATGTGTCCCAGAAACGTAATAAAACATTCATCCGATAACAATTAAAATATTTTAGTTCTCTTTTTTTTCTCTTTTTTTTAGCTGGGATTAAAATTTTATGACTTAAAAATATTTTTATTTGAACAATGAAAGTTTAAAATTATAAAATTTAGAATCTGTAATGTTTCATGGTTACAAATATCTCAAATTTATTGTGGAATAATTTTATTTGAAAAAAGTTATAAACTATCTTGAAAAGCATGACTGTTATACGTAAAAATGGATATCATTTTTGAATTATTTACATTCCCAAACTTTTATTGAATTCGTGATAAGAACAAAAATGTATTAATTTCACGAAAAATAAGTAGAATATTGAAATAAATATAAAATATTATTTTAAACATTTCTATAGTTGTCCCTGAATTTTATGAAGATTGATCATAAACCAAGGAAGAAAAATGTTGGTGATCTTTAAAAAAAACCCGACTTTTTTTATTTATTTGTTTATATACCCATCTTAAAAGCTTATCTAGCTATATAGGTGTTTCTACATAGTATTCTTCTTTTACAATTTTCTTTCAATAGAACCTTGTTATAAATTTTTGCAATTATATAGATCGACTTGAAAATAGGAGTATTCGCATTTGCCTGGATCACCCATAAATGGGTTTCCACGCCAGAGGGAAGGGAAACTGTTGAAAACCTCCTCCTCTCGGAATCTTTAGTTACGAAGCTCATGAAACTTATATGAAGTTGTTCTGTAAATGGCCGATGTTATTCAATGTTCAGACAACTTTCGCATAAAATATTGAAAAACAGTCGAAATTTAAAGAATTACTTCAACTTTAATGAGCTTCGTAACTAAAGATTCCTAAGATTGCAGTCAAACTAATTTCAACCTTTAGAAAAGTTTCGATGCTGTGTGGGACATTATGATAATAATCAGTATTGTAGGACCATCGAATTTTACAGAATAAATTTTTTCTTGAATATTTATCAACTATAGTTTATTCCTAAAAAGCCCATCTTTAGATAAAATATGTGGTTTTTTTTATTTTTAATTATTCAAAATTTTATGCTTCTTTTTTTAAAATTTGATTTGAATTTTTTCTTATTTTCACTTTGATAAGTTATTTAAAAAGTCCAGATACTTTTTCATAAAAAGGGGCTTTTAGGAATAAACTGTAGTCAATAGAAATTGTAAAAAATATTAATTTCTAATAATATTAGTGTTTCTACGAGCGTCAATATGAATTCGTGTTTTATAAAACAATACAAGTAAACAATCACGACTGATGACATAGAATATGGCGGTCTGTAAAAGGTTGCTCAGGTTGCCTGCTGAAAGGGATAACGCCATATATGGTTCAGTAGCTGAAATTTCTAAAAGGGTTTTAGTCGATAAGTGAGAATTATTTTTTGAATTACTTTTCTTGATTGTAATAAATCACGTAATATTAGTAATATTACAAAAAATTTTAAATGTTCTACTCTAGTAAATAATTAATTAATCTTGATATTTTAAACAATTTTTATTTTTAAAAAGTATTTAAAAATATTAAAAACATCAAAAAATAATTTTTTGGTATTTAAATTTTTTGACAAAATTTATGTTTAATAACAATGATTACTTTTAATAGTGTTACTGCTCGATGTATATCCCTACTGCACCATGTCGTTAACCCTTTCAGCAGGCAACCTGAGCAACCTTACAAGATAATCTTTTCCCGCACGCACTGTGCGCACATGGGCAAATCTACAAAACTTGTCGATTTTCACTAGTGAAAATATAAATTTTCAAATTGTAAGCACACCTTTTATTTATAGTTAATTTTCTTCAAAATTTATTCCAAAACAATTATCTCTTTACGTGATTCATTTTATTTTAATGCCGTTCAAGTTAGAAGCCGAAAACTGAAATATGAGCTTATATCTTCATAAAATATAATCGTAAGAATGTGTATTTCTTTCTTCTTTTCTTTATTCACTATTTTTGTAATATGTACAAAACACAAAACATTTTGCATTACAAAATGTTATTAATTATAATTATTGACAAGACAGCCATTATTAATAAATATAATAATTAATATAATAATTAATATAAATAATTTCCTTTTAGCATGTATATGATTCTAATTCTGTAATTTAAATTATTTCAAACATGAAACGGATATTACGTACGTAACCCCAGAGTAGTCATTTGTACAAAATTGTAAATATCCAAAATATTTCAGGACAAATATTAAAATTGACATTATGCAATATTGCACCAAGGCGGTCATAATAAATATTGCTTCAAATTTAACTCAAAATCGTTAGGAATTACGTATCGTAAAATTTCCCTTAAATGTGATATTTTAGGAAGAACAAATGATACATTTTGAGTTTAAAGTGAAACACTTTTGTATTTTTTAATTAGTACATATTTTAATTAGATAATGTACAATAGTTTGTGTTTATTGTTCAATCCAACTTTAACGATTAGGAATACAGAAAACATAATTTATATTCTAGAGATTGACTGGACAATTAATTGCAACGATTTCATAAGAATACCACGTCGCTACTGTCTTAATTATATACAAACATTTACAAAAATGATGGCATATCATTCTCTGTGCAATTACTTCGTTATTTTCTTCATTCTAACAATATGGATTGATACTGTTGTCATTTGTATGGATGAAGTGCCAGATAGGGGTAAGTTAAAATCCAAATTTTTGTAATATTATGTGCAAATAAATCTGTGAAGTATAATACTAACATTGCACAACAGATTTCCGTAAAGTTATTTTCGTTGAATTATAGTCAAACAATAATTTTTTTCAAATTAATATTATTTTACAATTAGTGTAATGAGTAGATATTACTTACTTTTGAATTTGAAAACCAAGTAATTAGCAGCACTGAAAACTTATCAGATATGTAAATTAATAAATTTACATATCTAATAAGTATAATAAGTATACTTATCGTTGCCAATTTTCGAAGCTAACTTTTAGACTATACCTTCCTCTAGTATTTCCAAAATATTCCGACCCAAACTGCTCTTTTCTTTTTAAATAAGAAGTAATTGTTAAACCATATTTTCTCCCACATGCCCTTAAAAACTTTATTTTATTCAATATATTACAATGTTTTCTGAGAAGTATATTAAAAAGAATGAACAAAACTTGTTTTTTAAACGAAATTTACATAATTTTCTTGTTTTCTTACTTCTGTTTAATATATTCTTTTTTGAATAACAGAGAGTTTATTTTTTAACTGGCTTTAAAAATTTTAGGTTTTCGGCAGTTAGATGACGAAGTCACTACAACTTCTCCAAAGGTTACTATATTCTTAATTTTTATAATATAATAGTGTCACTAATACACAATTAAAATATTTTTTATGCCACTGGCAATCAAATGCAAATTTACATTAAACAAGTTGTAAATCTAGATGTTCATTATGAGATCATTTTGCTTTCTCATATAAAAGAAGCATTAATATTGAAAGAACAATTTATTAACTAATTCATGATGCAAAGCATGAGATCTTATTATGTAGTAACATAATACCGAATAATGAAAATTTTTTTTGATAAAAGTTAAAAATGTTGTTTCTGATGATTTTTAAAAATGTTATAAATTAAAGGACTACAAAGCTTCCTCCATGAAGAAGCAAAGATATATAATCTATTAGCATTCATGTTTTGACAATTTTGAGATGAAAAGACAATCGAATAGAAATTGAGTAGAAAAATATAAATTTATTCATTACCTATTTTTAATAACCTTAAATGGGGGACAACAGGCAGTACAGTCATTTGCTTGTCACTTTTTCTTGAAAGTAATGACGCATGATTCCATGCGGGTTTCTGCTCAAGGAAAAATTGGACTGGTTGCTGAAGCATTCTAAATGATTTTCGTGTCTAAAAATATAAAGTATTCTGAAATATCACTGTCTTATTGACTTTTGTTCTTCGTAAATTTACCGTTACCGACAAACATGCTATTAAGACCCTTTAAATCGCTCACATCATAAGGGAAATTTTTTTTATCAACAATATCTTAGCTACAATAGTACAATAGGGAAAAATCTCTGCAGGCGTCAGGTTTTTTGGTAGTGTACTCCAGAACGATTTGATGTCCTAGGAATATTCTAATTTCTCTCGCTATCCTGAACATCAGAGTATGATGAGTATGATGCTATCAGAGTAAATATTAATATCTTACTCGTGACTAAAAAAGAGTTACCAGACGAAACGTCTCAATATGAGATATCTTATATTGTAGTATAGGTATATGTAATTTTCTATAATTATTTAATTTTCTTCGATTCTTGGGTTAAACTGCTACAGAAATGGGATACTGATGTCAGCATCGAAAAGTTAATTCGCATCACAAATCTGCGTGTTACTGATCCAAAAATATTGGCAAAAGAAGTAATGAGAATAATCTTAGGTGAAAATATGTTACAATATTTGACAATCCAGCATGAAAGGAATTCTGATGCAGTGTATAGTCTTATACCTGAGAAAGTTAAAAAGTTTGTCTTCGGTAAGTTTTTCATAATAAAAATCACGAATAATTATTATTCTATTAATGTTGCATTTAAGATAAATAATTCTATTTCAGAGTATGTAAACGAACGTTCCCATTTACAAATTGACGAGTCAACATTTAAAGACGCAGTAAATCAGTTATTCAATGAAATCAATGAAGTAATGTCAATTGACTCAAGTTCGTCGGAAGAAGGAAATAATGTTCAAAGTCTGACAGGTATGCTACAGTTTTTTCACATGTATTATTTTTATTTTTTAATAGTTTGAAATCTCTTCTTTAATGCGCAAAAAATTTAAAGTAGATAAAATAAATTTTTTAATTTAAAAAAATATTTCATAAAAGTCATAATATATTATACTGACATACAAAGCAAGTCCAAATATATTGTATTTATTTTAAGAGTAAAAAGCAGTAGTAGAATTATATTCTAGTAAACACATTCTTCATATACTGCATAACATAATAGTGACAGTGTTACTGTTTTCATTCTATTACAGACAACATGGACGTGATTGATGACGGTATACATAAATAAAAATATTCTTTTTAATAATATATTCATTCTTGGTTACGTTGTTTATTAGACCTAAACAATATTTGAATTTTGTTGCAGAAGAGAATACTGAAGAAGGTAATTATGTACATACATTAGGTAATCAAATTTTATAAACCGAACGAGTAATATTTCAGTAAACACATTCTTATCATATGTTACATAAAATAATAGTGTCAGTGTTACAGTTTTTATTCTATTACAGATATCAAGGACGTGATTTATGACGGTAAATGCATTTAATAAAATTGTTCTCTACGATGTTATTAATTCTATTTTATAAATACGTAGATTTTCTATAAACACTTTTTGAACATTTCAGCATAATAAAGAACAATAAATTATTTTGTTACAGACTCACCTTTAAGATCTTACCTTCAAGGCAAGTCCAATATTTCTTACTGTCAGTATAATATAACAAATTTTGAAAATATGTCCCATTTTTCAATCATTCTCATCACTTCATTTATGAAGCATAATATTTATCCATTTTTTTGGTTGCACTGTTAACCCGGCAAGCGTACGGTTCAGCTTTGTAACACCGAGCTTATGGCAGGGTGTTTTTACCCTGCAATGATTTTCTATTTGCGTATTTAATAAAAACCTTGAAATCATGGAAATTTTTACTATAATTGTTTTATGTTGCCTAGTAATCTAATTCATTAATGTTACGATAAATTTTCCATTTGTTTAAAGAATTTATTATTGATTATTTATAGGATTTTCAAGTAAAGCTAGGTTTCAACAAATTTCTATAAAGAAATAAACTTTTTAGAAGAACAGGTCTTTAAAACAGGTTGTTCGAAAACAGTTTCCCCTAATAAAATATAGTATATAAAGTTTTATAAAATAAGATTTTTAAAAGTTGTGTTATTATGTTATTACAGATTTCATGGACAGTATTGATGAAGGTATACACACTTAATATGTTTTTATATAACCATCTGGGCACGGAAACGTCTTTGTTCTAGAAACGTTCCTAAAACGTTTCTCCACACAACGTCTTAAGAACGTTTTATGTTCTAGAAACGGTTTTAGAACATAAAACGTTCTAAAAACGTTTTAGAAACGTTTCTAGAACAAAGACGTTTCCGTACCCACAGGGAACATTATTGAATTATTTAATAAATTAATTTTTTCGATTTTATTGATTTTAAAATAGTGACCTGATGATGGTGACGAACCAGACCACCGAAACGTCGTCTATTTCATAACAAAGTAAAAGAGTGTTTTTCTTTTACCTTTTATACTTCTTCCAAAAATCGAAAAAATTAATTTTATAATAATTGTGGAAGAATTTACTAAATATTGAATTATATATATATATATAGTAATATATGATATAAGTATAATCATTCTAAGAAAGAATTACTTTGTAGAAATTTTTTAAACTAGTATTTAAAAAAATCGATGGATGGCAGTTTACTTTATATAGAATAGCTTACAGAACGTATTTTTCAAAATTCACCTTTCTTATAATTTTGCAATCAATAAATATATATATATATATTTAAAAACATATTGATTGACCTGCATACAAAGTTTTCATAATAAACTCGAACAGCATTTCGTTTTTCAAAAACAGGTTTCTACAAATACTCTTTTCCAATACGAAAAAAAGTACAAGTCAAAAGAACAACAAAATGTTGTGATTCTTACAGAATACTAGATCTTTATGATTTCTAAAAAAGGTTTATATATTTGAAATTATTTAAATGCATTGATTAATAAACACAATATATTGAATAAAAATTAGGCTCCGCTCTATGTAGACTATACAAAACTTACCTCAACATTACGTAGGGTGGCCTATTACTTTCCTATTACTTTCCTATTACTTTCCTATGTACGAATACTTATGTAGATCCTAAATAAATTTAATATATATGGGCCTACATAGAAAGACCTACCCAAATATTACCTAAATACTATGTTGGACGACCTATATCTGTCAGACATAGGAATGTTGATGTAGATCCTACATAGATTTAGAAATTGCAGGCCTACATAGATAAGTCTACACAAAACATATGTAGACACTACATTGTAAGGCCTACATCAATTGACTATAGAAAGGCCTACGTATATCCTACATAGATACTACATCTATGATGGCCTATAGGCCATCATAGGAATATCTACGTACACTCTACATAGAATGTACATAACTTGGCCTACATAGAAGGCTGATTTTAAGGCTACATAAATACTACGTAGTATTTACATTGTCCGTGTTATATTTTTATTCGGGTATTGTATACTTTAAAACCCTAATACAGAAAATTATATCTTCCTTATATTTCCTCTTTTTATTTAACAATAATTGATTCGTTTTTATTTATTCTACACCAAAAAAAATCTCGATGGTATTATTAACTATGACCCTATAGTTAATCTTAATCTAGTAAAAGTAATAAGGATTCCTAATCATTATGGTTAGGATCGCTAGGTTGATTCAACAAATTCAAGCCTGGGAAAAACAACCCTGCAGATCCTAGTCAAATTGACTAGGATTTTAGTAATCACCCTATGGATTTCCATGTGGTATTCTATATGGTAAACCAAATGATTTTCCATATGGTAAATCATATGGTTTCTAATGTAATTTCCTATGTTTCCATGTGGTAATTTTTAATAGGGATACGAGAGTAAAAAGGATAGTGAAGCTAAATTTCTCTTTCTATACATAAATTTAATTTAAAGTTTATGTAATATTCTTTAAGTATAAAAATGATTTTTATAGAAAATCTGTAATAAACAATTTAAAAAATTAAATTACGAGCAATTTTGTCTATTGAATAATATAAAAATAAGGCGCCGAAAATAAATTGGCACACAGGCGCAAAATACCCTGAAAACGGCCCTGTATACATATATGTTCTTGATGGACATTTTACAAAGTATATTAATACTTTTTATACAAGAAGACTTTTAAAAGTTGTGTTTTTAATCTATTACAGATCTTACAGACATAGTTAAAGAAGGTATACACAATTAATATGCCTTTTCTACAACATCATTGAATCTGCTTTACATACATATATAGTTTGTTGACAGATATATTACAAACAATCCAGTATAAGATTAAACAATAAATCAATTTATTTGTCACAATATTACAAAATTTTTTGAAAATATTTCATACTTTTAAATTATTTTCATCCTTCCATTCGTAAAACATAAGACTTATCTTCATTCTTGGTTTCGTTGTTAATAATACCTGAACAATAATTTGATTTTGTTGCAGGAGAGAATGGTGAAGAAGGTATGTATATACATTATGTAATCAAATGTTACATCTTGAACGAGTAAGCAGCAGTAGTAGAATTATTTTCCAGTAAACACGTTCTACATATATATTATGTAGCAAAATAGTGACAGTGTAATTTAAGGAATAATTCAGAAGAAAACAGCTGCACTTTTATACTGGAATTAAATATTTAATTACACTGAAACCTCACTTATTCAAAGACTCGTTTACTTAAAGTCGCATTTATCTGAACCCGATTTCGCTTCAGTTACTTTCAGATAGGATCAGCCCTAAACCCACTTGTCTTAGCTTATGCGCAGTATGCGACCAATGGAAAGATACTTACATTCCCATTGGTTGAGTTCAAACAAATTTAGCCAATCATGTAAATTTATCGAATTACGTCACCAACATAAGTTATGCCTACCAAAGTACAAATAAACGCGACACTTCGTGTCGAATTGCGTGAGTCATGTTCAAATAAGTGAGGTTTTAGTGTATACTAAAATTATATGTGTACATTTAAGGGGTTACGCCACCCTGAACGCATTTAAATTGGACGGTTTTTAATCATTTTTTTTGAAGAAAATATTTAAGATAAACATTTTTATTGTTTTGTTAATACATATTGTAAGCTATGTAAATACGAAATAGTTTTTTTAAAAATGGTGGAGATACACGCATTCCAATGCAGCAGTAAATTTCTTGATGGTGGGCATGATTGCCCATGTGGAAGAGTTGCGGAAAATTTCCGGAAATTGATTTTTTTAACGTTAATTTTTTGCGACAGATGCTTCTGGAAGTCGATTTTTCTTCCAGAAATTTTCCGGAAACCACTTCGGAAACTTTCCGAAAAAACGATTTTTTTAACGTTAATTTTTTTCTGGAAGTCGATTTTTCTTCCGGAAATTACTTCGGAAATTTTCCGGAAATTGATTTTTTATGGACGTTAATTTTTTTCTAGACGTCGATTTTTCTTTCGGAAATTTTTCGGAAATCACTTTTGATCTAAAACAAGTAAAAAAACATTTTTTCTAAAAAGTGATATATTTTGAACAGAGTAAAGTGCTCCCATTCACATAAAAAAATTTTTTACAAAACGGCTACGTCACTCTGTTAAAAATTTATCACTTTTTAGAAAAAATGTTTTTTTGACTCAAATATTGTTTTAATGTTATTTCTTATGTTATTTGGCTAAATCGTTAATACTTTCAAAATTAATCTATTTTTACATAAATATTTTTGCCCTAAAGATATTCTTACAGATATAAGTTCGTCATTAACGCAGAAAAATCCTACAACACCTAGTGGAAGAAACGTAAATAAGAATTTTTTTCAATGTAAATGCTATTTAGAATTTCCTTTACTTTAAGTAAAGCAAACTTTTTAAAACTAATTTCTGGATATAAGGTTATTTTAAATTTTAAATGCTTCATCTTATGCAAAGGAGGGAAGACCGGGACGTATTCGATCATTTAAATTTATTTACAAGCGTTAATTTTAAATAAAGTTGCTTTTTTTAAGTTAATGTGCTTGATCTCCTGCAAGTTTGTCCTATGCTTCATTGATACTTATTTAATATTGTAAAAAATATCACAAGTAATTTAGGTACATTTGACGCTTCAATGTAACTCTTTACAATTCTCAATTTCTTGTTACTGCTTCTTTAAAAATAGTTTAGAAAACGAAATATATCCAATTTTGAGCATTACACAGTAGATTTTTTATTTGTATGTTTAATTAGTTTGTTATTGTTTCATAGTGACTTATTAGGTAACGCAAAGTATTTTATGTTAAGGTTGTTAAAAATCAGCCTTACTTAATTAATGAACAGCCCCTTAGCTTATGCTTAACTTTACAACACCTGAAGTATAAAGGTTTCCTACAGATTTGTAATCATTCACGTAGTTGTTGTTAAGTCACTTATGACAACTTATAACATTAATTCTAGTATTATCCTATATGGCCATTAACAACATTGATAATATTTGAATTTTCCCAGAACGAAACATTGATAATGATATTAAATTTTGAAAATTATTTAATTATTATTATACGAGAAAAGCTTATTAAAAAATCCTAAATTTCAATAGAAAAAGATAAGCTTATATCTTTGACGCTACAAGTTTTTTTAGTTTAAGGGTCGCATTAAAGTTTTCGTAAAATAAAAATCTATAGAATTAAAAATGCAAAATATTTATTTTGCAGAAACCTTCATATCCATATCAAGATGATGGAAACAATAAGGTAAATTTGTTAGTAGAAGTGTGCAAAAAGGTCGAACAACCGAGCTGAACCGAAATTTTTTCGAGCCGGGTTCGATGTATCGAGTACTTGAATAGTTCGAGTATTCAATATGATTTGTTTTTTAAATAACTAAAAAACTATTAATAAGTAGAATATTTCGAATTTATGAGGTGCACTGAATCAACAAAATAAGTAAGTCTTCAATTTCAAAATGTATTTCAATTGACTAATTATAACATAAACAACGAGTATTTGACTTATACAGGTCGTCTCGGCTCGAAAAACGAAAAGCTTGAAGATACACTCGATCGAGCTTCGAGCTTTTTCCACAACTCTATTGGTTAGTTAATTCATTAATTGTAAATTTACAACAAATTTCACAGCTTATTATATCTTCTAGGTTGAATTATTAGAAGGATCAAAAATTTGGCTAACTGAAAAGGAATTTGAATCATATAAGAAAGATTTAAAACATAATCCAAATCAAGTGATAGAAAGTTTATTAGAAAGCTTACTTGGAAAAAACAATTTAAAATACTTCTCTCTCTATGGACTAGACGGTTATAAACCCATACCCATGAATGTCAGAGAAGCTATCTTTGGTTAGTATAACAGACGTTATAATATCCTTTTCATGGTCCAACTCTTCATAAAATGGTTATGGGTTAGATTTTCTCAAGTGGACTTTAAATTTTCAAAAGTTGAAATTTATCAGTGTAAATTTGCAAAAAGATAGTTCTATTAGAGTTACGAATAACCTGTAAATTTTATTTAAAAATATTCAATTGTTTTTTTTTATAAACAATTGAAATTTTATGCATAACATTTTTAAAAAATGCATAACTTTGACGAAAATTGACGAAACTTGATGATTCTTTTTGCAAATTAACTATGAAATTACAAACTTTATAAAAATAATGTTTACTCCATCGAAGCTCTTAATTTGTTATAAAAAATAATTATTTATCATAAACAAATTAAAAATAAAACGTGTTCTGGATAACCATATTCAATTTTATAAATAAGAACTTTAAGAGAATTTATTAAGGATTGCATATCAAAAAGAAAAAATTGTTTCAAGCAAATATTTTATTAATTATGAATTTTTTTGTAAGCGCGCGCAAGCTCCGTGATGTGGGCTCCCGCGTCTGACGAATGTCGTGTGCCCCGATTTGCACGCTTTAACTTGTTTATTTTGGAAGGTTTTCTTTCATAATTTTTTTCAAATTTGGTTTGTATGTTTTGATCTAAAATTCAATTGGAATACTTGTTTATAATAAAAATAGTAATACATTATTTTATTTATATTATTTATTTATAATTTCTATTTTAAGTTTATTCACTGAAAAAAAATATTCTTCTTTTGAGAGGAAAATTCCTCTTGAATCAAGAATATTACACTTAATGGAAGAGTATTTTGCTCTTAAGATAAGAGGATTATTTTTGAGCCATATTCAAGAGGAAAATATGCATTAAAAAAAAGGAATCCGCTTAAAACAAAACTATTCTTTTGTTATTTAATTGTTTTCAGTTGAATATTTCTCGCTTCGAAAAAAACATGTTTTAACTGATTTTTCTTAATTCTATAATTTTATATATTTACTTGTAAACTTTTGTACCTATTAAAAATAAAAAGTAGTAATACAATATATTTTACTACTAAACAGACTACAATTTTTTATGAGGGTTTTAACGCAATTTCCTCGGTAAGCATAATGTGGTAAAATTTTGTTCAAAATTACGTGAAAGTCAAAAAAAATTTTACTCAAACTGAAAGAACTTTTAAAAAATTTATATTACAATATTATCTTTTTACAAATAAAATTTTGCAAAATCCTCAAACTGAAAGGATTTTTAAAAAACTTATTTTATACTATATAAATTACAATATAATTTTTTTATGAAATAAATTTTATAAAAATCCTTTCAGTTTGAGTAAAATTTTTTTTACCTTCACGTAATTTTGAACAAAATTTTACCACATTAGCTTACCGAGCAGATTGCATTAAAACACTCATAAAAATTTTAATCTGTTTAGTAGTAAAATATATTGTATTACTACTTTTTAATTTTAATAGGTACGGAAGTTTACAAGTAAATTAAAAATATTTTTAAATTATATAATACAAAAAAATTAGTTAAAACTTGTTTTTCTGGAAGCAAGAAATATTCAACTGAAAACAATTAAACAATAAACTTAAAATAGATTACATTAATAAATATAAATAAAATAATATATTACTAATTTTATTATAAACAAGTATTCCAATCGAATTTTAGTTCAAAACATACAAACCAAATTTGAAAAAAATTATGAAAGAAAACCTTCCAAAATAAACAAGTTAAAGCGTGCAAAGCGGGGCACACAACGTTCGTCAGACGCGGGAGCCCACATCACGGAGCTTGCGCGCGATTACAAAAAAATTCATAATTAATAAAATATTTGCTTGAAACAATTTTTTCTTTTTGATATGCAATCCTTAATAAACTCTCTTAAAGTTCTTATTTATAAAATTAAATATGGTTATCCAGAACACGTTTTATTTTTAATTTGTTTATAATAAATAATTATTTTTTATAACAAATTAAGAGCTTTGATGGAGTAAACATTATTTTTATAAAGTTTGTAATTTCATAGTTAATTTGCAAAAAGAATCATCAAGTTTCGTCTTATTTTTGTCAAAGTTATGCATTTTTTAAAAATGTTATGCATAAAATTTCAATTGTTTATAAAAAATAAACAATTGAATATTTTTTAATAAAATTTATAGGTTATTCGTAACTCTAATAGAACTATCTTTTTGCACATTTACAGTGATAAATTTCAACTTTTGAAAATTTAAGGTCCACCTGAGAAAATCTAACCCTTATCGAATACTTATATTTTCGGGACAGACATCGCATGTTGACAGATAGCACATTACGCTTGCAGTTTAATATATTTAAAAACAAAATTTTCTACAAACTTAGTGCTTACATTGTTCATTGCACAACGATTAAAATAAGTCAAAGAAAGTTAATAAATGTTAATTAGCTTTGGAGAGATCGAAAGATTAAAAAAAGCATAGAAATCAATATTGTTCTATATCTCACAGAATATATAACGTAATCTCTTCTATTAAATGTCATCTTTTTAATAAATTTAGTAGCTTTTATGCAAAAATAGAGAAAATTTTAAATTTCTTCTTTTCACCACATGTTTTTTACACTCAATTATGGACGGTACTACAAAATTATATAAAACATGCAAAATTTCTTTTTTCAGAATTTGTAAAGAAGAATTTAAAGAAAAGTCATGAAGAGACAAATGCAATTCTAAGCGAAACAATAATTCGATTCTTAGGAGAGTTACACTCTAAATCAAATGAAGGTAATGTTCTATTTACTTTAAATAAAATGTATGTAGTTAAATTATTATACATACATATATAAAAAACCAAAAATGACAAATTCATAAAAAAATAATTAAAATTTATAGAAGAGTTAATGTTAACAGTTGATAATCATTGCTAACTTCAGAGAAGCGTCAGTAGTGTATTTTACAGTGCTTCAAAAAGAGATAATAATGAACTTTTTGACACTTTAATCTCTTTTTTTATGGAACTGACGGAATAACATTCTTTTTGTCATGTACTTATTCAGTCACACCTAAAGTTTCAATACACAAAAATTTTTAAGTAATCACTACATCAAGATTTTTTTGTAACAGTGTTTCCAGTGCTATAATTCAGAATCATTAAAATACTTTTCTTGAAAAAATTGGAATTTGTTGTTCAAATGTTACAGAATATATGACAAAAATTTTAAAGTTCTAAGTTTTTATACGGTAAAATAGAAATGTTTAAGAATATTACATACAGAGAAGAAAATCAGCTTAATATTTATTTAATATTTTAATATTTCTATTTAATAATGCCTTACAGTTCTGACACAATGTATTTAATTTAGTAAATGTCGAATTCACTGATTAATAATCAATCAATAGTATTTATATTTAATCTCTAAAAAACACAAATTTACCTATACTATAAGTGTTACAATTTTTATTTTATTGCAGATATCATAGACGAGATTACTGACGGTAAATACAATTAATAACATTATTTTAATCTTTTTTACACACATCTAGATTATTAAGAGACATTTTCAAAACCATCTATAGTATAATAAAGAATAATAAATAATCTTGTTACAGACGTTCCTTCCGGATCTAACATGCAAGGCATGTCCCAATGTTTATTATTATCACTAGTATACCAATTTTTTAAAATATGTCACATATTCAAATCTTTTTCATTTATAAAACATAATAATTATCGTCTTTCTTTTCACATTGTTAAATAGACCTAAACAATATTTGAATATTGTTGCAGGAGAGAATACTGAAGAAGGTAAGTATACCCTATGTTAAATAACAGAATAGTGACAGTGTTACATACAGTTTTTATTCTATTACAGATATCATGGACGAGATTAATGACGGTAAATTCAATCAAAAACCTTCTTTTCTAATGACATTATTTAATCTCTTTTATACACATCGAGATTATTAATAGACTTTTCTTAAACCATCTAGTAAAATAAAAAGCAATAAATAATCTTGTTACAGACGTTCCTTCCGGATCTAACATGCAAGGCATGTCTCAGTATTTATTATTGTCACTAGTATACCAATTTTTTAAAATGATAAAATCTTTTTCATCACTCCCTTTAAAAAACACAATAATTATCTTCTTTCATGGTCATATTCTTTAATAGACCTAATCAATATTTGAATATTGTTGCAGGAGAGAATAGAGCAGAAGGTAGTATACCTTATAATACTTACATAAAAGAATAGTGACAGTGTTACAGTTTTTATTCTATTACAGATATCATGAACGAGAGTACTGACGGTAAATACAATTAATAACATTCCTTTCTAGAATATTATTTAATCTCTTTCACACACATCTAGATTATTAACAGACATTTTTAAAAACAAGTCCCACACAGCACCGAAGATTTTCTGAAACTCGACAGGACCTCGTTCAGCGAGGTTAAGACATTGAGTGTCAATGTTCATGAGAGATTGTGTGGATGTTCAAATGTCCACATAAACAGAATATTAAATATCAACCATCAGCAAAAATCAAACTCCAAATATTGACTTGGGATGTTTGATTCAGACAATATTGGGTTATACACGTGTATAATTATCAAACGAAATTTTTATAACTATGCGAAAATAGCATTCAATATTGATACAATATTGACTGAACATCGCAAGTCTACATTTAAAGTTTAATTTTTGATGAAGGTTGATATTTAATATTCTGTTTATGTGGACATTTGAACATCCACACAATTTCCCATGAACATCACCACTCAATATTTCTAACCTCGCTAAACGAGGTCCGGTCGAGTTTCAGGAAATTTTCAGTGCTGTGTGGGGTAGTATAATACAGAACAATAAATTTTCTTGCTACAGACGTTCCTTCCATATCTAACATACAAGGCAAGTCAAAATATTTATTACTGTCAGTAGTATAACAATTTTTTAAAATCTGTCGCATATTTTAATATTCTTCATCAGTCTATTAAAAACAAAAAATAATTTTTCTTTCTTGGTCACATTGTTCAATAGACCTGAACAATATTTTAATATAGTTGCAGGAGAGAATAGAGCAGAAGGTAGTATACCTTATATTACATAACCGAATAGTGTCAGTGTTACAGTTTTCATTCTATTACAGATATCATGAACGAGAGTACTGACGGTAAATACAATTAATAACATTCCTTTCTAGAATATTATTTAATCTCTTTTACACGCCTCTAGATTATTAATAGACATTTTTTAAACCATCGAGTATAATAAAGAACAATAATTTATCTTGTTACAGACGGTCCTTCCGCATCTAAGAAACGAAGCAAGTCCCAATATTTATTTTTGTCACTAGTATAACAATTTTTTTAAAATATGTCGCATATTCAAATCTTTTTCATCACTGAATTTACAAAACATAATAATTATCTTCTTGTTTGATCACATTGTTAAAATATACCTAAATAATGTTCGAATGTTATTATTGCAGGAGAGGATAGAGCAGAAAGTAAGTATACGTTATGTAAACATTGTTACATTCAGAACGGAAAAGAAGATTATTATGAATTTATTACTGTCTAAAGAATGAAATCCCCTTTAACTATTATTTCATATTTCGAACCTCGTACAAAGGTTTCAAACTTTGATAATAGAAAAAGTTGCATAAATTGAAATATTATTTTCTAATTTAACTTGGGCTTATGAACTGCTAAAAAGTTATTTAAATTGTTTTATGTTATTTTATTTCATTGACAAGTAAGATCGTACATTTTTTAGAGCTTTTATCTGCCTTCAACGGCTGAGGTATTTAAGGCACAATGTTTCGAGGCTAAGGTATCTGAATTCGATCTCAGCTTCGTAGGAATGTTTTCATTATTTCTGTTTAATTTTAAAAAATATAGCATTGACTTTAAATTACTTTAATGCAATATTACTATGTTTTAACTTAAAAAATATTGTAAGGGAAATGTCTATTTTACAAGATTTGAGAGAATTTGAAAAGGATGTTCACAAGACGTTCCTTTTATGCGTCTTTCAGACGTTCAAAAGACGTCTTTAAGACGTATTACAGACGTCCTTTCGGACGTTTTTTGTACATCTTTTGGACCTATTTTTAAAAAATATTCTTGCTACATTGAATTCTTCATATTTAATATTAAAATTAATTCCATATCTCAAGTCAGATTATTATATTTTAACCCGATTTGACCAACGAATGCACGCTACTTGAAATTGATCCTTATCGTTGCAGTCAAAAATAAATTTATTGTTTAGTACCAATTTGAAGGCAAAAGGCATTTATAGATTATAGGAAATGTACATGTACAGCTACAACTACTACTTATAATTGCCTCTATTATTTGCCTAAATCATAAATACAAATTTCAAATTCTTTTATTTTTACATAACAATTTTTCTCCTTAAAATATGCTTACAGATATAAGTGCGCCTTTAAAGAAGAAACGTCCTACAAGACGGAAAGGAATATACGAAAAAAAGAAATTTTTCAAGGTAAACGACACTTACAATTCCCTTTAATTTAAGGAAAGCAACATATTTAATGAATTTTTGAATGCTTAGAAAATAAGCGAATGTTTTAATTATTCTACAGAAACCAAACTCTTATCCTTATGAAGAAGAAAGGGAGGGAAAGGTAATGTTACCTTATTTACTTTTAGAAGACATATAGGTTCAAATTATAATCAGTTAGCTTATAGTTAAATTTTCATCACCTTAAGCATAAAGATTTAAATATTATGACATCTTATAACCTTAATTCTCCTCTAGCTTAACCACTTTTTTCTGAATGGTGACTACACTAATGAGCTCTACTCTACCATCTTTAGGCCCAAAGACCTAATATATAGAAAAATAGAATACGTCACACACACACAGCCATCGTAGTCGCGTTCAGCGTAAAAGGACCCCCACAGCACCGAAACCTCGCGACACAATCTTCTGCATGTACATATAATAAATAAATTGCTGTTTAAAAAAAAATCGTCAGTTCGTCTACCGACATGGCTCGAGGTGCTCTTCGGGCCTAAGAGGTACGAACTTACTTTCGGCATTAGATTCAGACAGAGGTGCTCTTCTGATGAGTAAAATGCTTTCAATGGAAAGGTACGTTCTACCCAGGTGCTCTTAGGTCGAACGAACTTTCTTTTTAGTACAAGGCAACTAACCAGGGGTGCTCTCGTGGAAAGTTGACAAGTACGCCTAGTTTGATTTAATTTCCATCCTTTAGATTCATATTCACTCGTTACCACATCGCACAGTGTATGATTTGGTAATTTTTCTTGTTAAAACCTTATATCTCTTGAACAAATGGACCAAATTTCGTGATCCTTAGATCTAAATAAAACCTAATAAATGAAGAACAGAGAGAAATTATAGAGTTTACTTGATAGCATTTTTTGGATTTAGAACCTTCAATAAAGTTAGATAAAAGCGTTATTTTTGTTCACGTTTTGCTACATTCTCATTTTCCTACCTCACCCACACATAAAATATTAGAACATGAATATGTATTTAATGTAATTATAAACAAACAAAATAATGTTTGCTTTTTAGAAAGCTATGTAATAATTTAGAAATAGTATTAAACTTACTGGAATTTCTAATTCTTATTATTTGTTCAAGGTGGAATTATTAAATGAATCCAAAATTTGGATAGATAAGGACGAACTTTTTTATCTTAAAAAATATTACAAAAAAGTACCGAATCAAATTATAAGACAGTTACTAGGACAATTACTTGGTGAGGAGAATTTGCCGTTTATGACCTTTGATAGAGATAAAAATAGAACCATTCCTGCGGAAGTGAAAAGTTCTATTTATGGTAAGCAATAACTTTCCGTTATTTTTTATTAACCTAAAGTCATGAAGTATTACTTCATGTCTAAAGTTTATTTAGCGATTGTCAATTATTCTCAAAATTTGACATTAAGAAAAAAGGTATTTCAATAGATTTTATGAATAAAACTGTGAATGCTGGTTATGAAATGGACTACGATGCTTACAAAAATTCAACATTGAAAATTCTAAAAAACATCAAATTTTCATTTAATAAAGGTAATAATACAAACAGTAGATCTTTGATTCCGGAACAATATTTTGCATCTTCGCATGAAAAATAAATATTTATACAAGTTTTAAAGTGCCTCATTTGTACTATATGTATAAGATTCTTTGCTTTAAGAGTTTTATTAAAGTAAATAAAAAATGTATTTTTGAGGATTATAGTAAACAAGATAAGCAAATTTCGTTCAATATAATTTTCTTACATAGAAATTTTTTAAAAATAATATCATTAAAATTTATAAAGGAATTAAAAAAATTATTGCAGGAGAAAATAAAACAGACATTCAAAAATTAAAGGTACATAACACTTCTAATATTTTTAACCTTTAAGAGTTGCACTTATTTTTAAATATACTGAGAATTAAAAGAACGATATTTATTTTATAGACATCAAAATATCCATATCGAACTAAGGGAGAGAATAAGGTAACAATCTTTTTGTTTCTGTTAAAAAGACGAGGTTCAATAACTTGATTTCTTTAATCAAACATTTGGTTTGATCGTTAAAATTAAAAATAAGATTATTGATTTATTTAATTAGAATAAAGTAATTGTAAGCGCATAATTTATTAATGTAACGTGGGATATTTTGTAGCTTAAGTTTTTTGAAGTGGGCAAAAACATTATAAATTGTAAATAAGTTATGTACAGAAGAAAAGTAGGTTTGAAATTTATTAATCAGACAACAATATAAATGTCACATTAAAAAAAATAATGATTTTATTTAAAAACTAAAGAAAATGTTATTTAAAGTGATAATAATTGAATTGCAAATTAAATAAAAGACTATTTACATTAAATTTATAATTATTAACTTATATGAATTTTAATTCAAAATGTCAGGCACAGATTTTGTCAAAATATATATAAGTAAAATTTTAATAGTGAACAAATAAATAAGTATATGCAAATAATATTACTAGTTAAAGTATTAAGAAATTGTGGATACTTATATTTAATAATAATACTAAATTATCAAGATTTTCTAATTTTTATTATACAACAAAGGTGGAATTATTCAATGAATCCAAAATTTTTATTGACAAAAATAAACTCGAATGGATTAAAAATAATTTCAAAGATGATGCAAAAACCATGATAAAGGTGTTATTAGAGAATTTACTTGGCAAAAAGAATATACCTTTCTTCGGTTGGATTGAAATAAGTGGATATAAAGCTATTCCTCAGGAAGTGAAGGAATCTATTTTTCGTGAGCGATAACTTTCTTTTACTTTTTTATTTAACCCCCGGAGCACACACCTCTTTTTTAAACAAGAAGCACACTCATAGTCACTGTGACCCAGCTGAAAAATCTTGTACAAGATCGTGTACACGATGTTGCACAAGACCATGTACAGGAACATTGACCCGAGCCTACACAAGATTAGCAAGTGAACTTGTAAAAGAAATTGGAACAAAGAACATGAACGTGTACAAGAACATGCACGTGTACATTCTTGATTGACTTTTGAGTTCGAGATCATCCAGGTGAACATGCACATGTTCATGCACAAGTTCGTGTGTGTATAACTTTGACTAGTTCGTTTACTACAACTCATTTAGAGTCCTGTTCTTCTCCAAAAGTCCAGTATCTCCTCTATCGATAAGTTTCTCACCTGCTCAGGGTCAATAAATGCTTGAACCCAGCAGGAAGCCTGATCCTTATCTGAATGCCTATTGTTGGCTAGGATCAGGATTCCTGCTGGGTTCAAGCATTTATTGACCCTGAGCAGGTGAGCAACTTGTCTACCTATTTTGAGCTGATGGTTATTCAATAGTCCATGATCCGTAAGCAAACGAATTACGGTCTAAATTTTATCGAGCTTCAGGAGATCGTACGCTCACCTCCTGTCGAGTACTAGCCAAAACAGAGTCTTCGTTTGCCTTCCTACCTTAAGTCCTGCCCAATATGTTCCATGTTCCCTATTTCACCCCATCTTCCTATGGCTCCTTTAACCAAGCACGGCATTATTGACACTGCTGGTTGAGGACCTATCAATGCCGTCTCGGAACCAGTTTTTGCCAAGGTGTCTACTCTTTCATTTCCTTTGATTCCCGAGTGACCCGGTACCCAAATCTATTGCAGGATTTTTCAGGGCCCCTAAGGACGCCTGACTATCCACATAGGGTAACGGGTACAGTGACCGACACCCATTCAGTGAACGACACCCCCAATTAAAAATCACAACAAATATAAAACAAAACATTGTTAATGTATATTTTAAAAATATTAATATTATAAAATACAATATTGGGATCTGAAATCACGTGAAACTGACCCACCCCTTAGCCTTTTTGTGGTAACCATCTTGGATTTTATCTTTTTCTTGAACGTATATCAAAAAGAGACGAAACGAAAGATGGCTACCACAACAAGGCTCTCACTAGATGGCGTATCGTAGTATTTCAGTGTGGGGATTGGCCAATAGATCTCGCATCTACGCCAATTTCCCATATAGATCTCTCACAAGTGCAATACGGGCTAGTCTTGTAGCATATATACAAGTTCCGAATTTGCTTCCCCCGTCTAGGGCAGGTCTCCCACTACGTAGCCTTACTGATGAGTCCAAGTAGTGGGGACCGGGACGAAACGATATAAAGTGGCTTTCATACCACTCTATGGATGATATATTTTTTAAATCTCCATATCAGATCCCAATATGGAAGCTATTAAAGTAGTAGCAATATTTAATTTATTTTTATTTTTCACAGCATTTTACTTTCCGTGAAGATAACCTCAAAAAGTGAATTTTGAGGTTATCTCCATGAAACTTGAAATTTTATCCAAAATATAAACGAAATTAATATTGCTGGTATTTTAATAGCTTCCAAAAATTGCACTTTATAATATTAACATTTCTCAAATATACATTAATAATGTTTTGTTTTATATTTATTGTGATTTGTACATGATTTTTAATTGGGGGGTGTCGTTCACTGAATGGGTGTTGGTCACTGCACCCGTTACCCTAAATGCCTATCACTTTCCCCTTTGTTCCTTTTCGAATGGACATTTGGGATCAAGTTAAAATCGCACAGACCTCGGCCTGCCAGACCGTGGCATATTGTCCCAGTGAATCAGCCACTCTAATGCAGCCAGGTTTTCGATAAATTCCGAAACCTACACAGCAGTCCATCTTGGAGTCGCCCGTATACTAGACTTCGTCCCCTAGTAAAAAACCCTTCTTCCAGTCCATTCTTAAAGATATAATCATCTTAAAGCGGAGTTTAAATTTCACCCTCTTGATCATTCTATCTTGCACCATACATAATTCTAGAATTAGTTTGGTGTGTTTACCACCAGACTTTCACTTTCCCTGTGCGATTAGCCTGATCATGACAACTAACTGTAGCATTATATTCGGGGAGCATTGGAACGTGTCAGTAGAACCTAAAACAATTATGTACTTTTATTTCACAGACCTCTGATCATTAATTTTTTTTAAGAAATTTAAGTTTAAACTAAAAGACAGGGTCCTACAGACCCTGTATCTGCTCCGAGGATTAACTTAAGTTTAATTTTGAAAAAAATTAATTTGTTACTTAAAAGTATTAGATTAATAGTATATAACAATCGCAAGTTTATTGTTTGGCAATTATCTACAAATTTTATATAAAAAAAATTTATTTTTACAGAATTTATAAATAAAAATGTGATTCCTGAAGAAATAAAAACATATGAAACTTACAAATCTACAGTAATATACCTTTTAAAAAAAAAAGGAAAAAAATTTCAACAAGGTAGTATTACAAAAAGCATATTTTTAATTCAGCCTTCCATTTCTGTAACTCACCTGAGGCTTGAAGGCACGCGCTAATACCAGTCAGGTATCAGTAAGGGCCTTAGGGCCAGACACTGCTATCCGACTGGTATTAGAGCATGCGTCGGGCGAGTTATAGAATTGGTAAGCTCAATTCTTGAACACTCTTTGTTTTCTCTTGAAAAAATCAAATCACTTTAATTTCATGTGATCTTATTAAGATTTGCATAATTTTACCACTCAGAAAATTTAAAAAATTGTAAATTAGTCATTAAAATGTATAAAGAAATTAAAAACAAATTTTATTGCAGAAAATCTTAAAACAGATGGACAGAAAAACAAGGTACAAGATGCATAAAGTTTTTGTAAACTTTAAGGGCCATATTTAATTTTTCATATGCTAAAAAACTATAACATTTAAAATACACAATATTTATTTTGCAGAAAATAAAATATCCATATAAAGAAAATATAGAGAATAAGGTAACGTAACTTTTTGTTTTTTTAGAAAGACGACCTCTAATAATTAGTTTTCTCTAATCAAACATTTGGATTCGTATGTGCTGATAATTGGTTGGTTAATTAATTTAGTTAATTATAAATTTACTAGAATTTTTAAATCTCATTATACCTTCTAGGTTGAATTACTGAATAATTCAAATATTTGGATAACTGAAAAAGAACGTGAATCATATGTGAAAGATATAAAAAAAAATCCCAAAAAATCGTTAAGAAAGTTATTAGTAAGCTTAATTGGAGAAAACAATTTAAAATACTTCTCCTTAAAAGGAAAACATGGTTATAAAACCTTACCTTACAATGTCAACAGAGCTATCTTAGGTGAGTATAATAGAAGTCGCAATATCATTAACATGACCCAACTTTTAATAAAGTGGTAACGGAATACGTGTTTCTGATACAGACCTCTACAAGATCGCTCATTGCTTGTGCAGTTTTGTATATTTAACCGAATTAGCACAAAAATTTAAACACCGAATTTTGTATAAATGTGGTGCATAAATATTACACTTTAGTTGACAAAATTTTTATTTACGGTACCGTCTATAACTAAATGAACACCCCTTTTTCAAAATACTGCAAAGAGTGTTAAGCGTAGTTAAGAAAAAGGATAAACAATTTCTAAGAGAAGAGATAACGTCCATTTTTCTGTTGGAAACATAAAAATAAGTTATTCATTTCATGAATATTTGTAGCTTTCTCAATATAATAAACAAAATTTCTTCTTAAAAAAGCAAAAAAATTCCATGAGACGAATATAATTTTCAAATTGTTTTTCAATCATTGGTGAAATTAAAACTGAGGCTTTGGATCGAATAACTCGCCTGGCGCTCTGAGGAACGCGCAACTGACAGTCAGTGAGCAGTGAGCGCCTCTGGGCCACTCACTGCTACCCGACTGGTACTAGCGCGTGCCTTCGAGCGTTGGGCGAGTTATTCGATCCAAGGCCTCAACTTTATATATGCCAATTCCTTCATTTTTTATTATAGAATAAATGTTAAGAAAATATTTCAAAAAATACAGAATTTTTTTTCAAAATAAAAATACAGTCAACTCTACCAATAGTGACACTTCTTCTCTTTTTCGCTCGAGCTCTATCTCCACTTTTACGACTCTATAGCTCAGCTTCGGATTTTTGAGTTACCCTAAGATAAGAAATATACTTAATTTTATGGACGGTAGGGGAGACTGGGGCAAAAAGTTAAATTTTGCATAAATGATTTTTTAAGACAATATAATCCACTTAGATGTAAATATTTATACATCAGTATTGTAGGGCAACTTGTCCCCTACAACTTTCAATAAAAAAGTTTCTGATATTTTCGCATACAATACATGTTTTGTCCTTTTTTGAAAATTTTGTTTTTTTGAACTTTTCGCCCCATGCTGGGGCGAAAAGTTAAATGGCTGGAGCAAAAAGTTAAATTCTATTTTTAGCCTACTAAAACTATTTTCTGATAGGTGTTAAGTAGTAGATAATTTAAAGTATACGTAAACAAGTAATTTAGTTAATAAAAGATCTTTGTTTACTTAACAAAAGCTTTAGAATAGTTATAAATAGAGGTGTGCATTTAATCGAGTCGAATCGAAAATTATATTCGACTCGACAACAGAAAATTCGAATCGAAAGTAAATTCGAAGTTTCGAATTTCGAATTGGCCGATTCGAATCGAAAGAAAATTCGAATCGAAATACCAATTCGAAGTTTCGAATTGGCCGATTCGAAAATCGGAGTTTCGAATTGTACAACTCAACTCGGTTATTTTATTCGCATAATTATTTTGACAGAAATCCTAATTCTTAAAGAATTTTAATTGAAAATTTTTGAAATTTTATTAAAATTGTATTAAAAATAATTAAATTTTTGCAAAGATTTTATAACAAAATGAGAAAAAAATTGAAATCATTCTTGAAATTTTTTTGAAAATAATTGAATTTTTGCAAAGATTAAAATCTATTTCTATTTAAAAAATAATTAAATTGTTTTGAAGTATTTATTAAAATTTTAGAAAATAATTGTATTTATTCGTAAAATTTTATTAAAATTTTGTTTAAAAATAATTTAATTTTTACGAAGATCGTTATTATTTATGAAAATAATTGAATTCTTGCAAAGAATTAAATTATTTTCAATATTAGATATTTCCGAAAATTCAAATACATACACAAACTATTTAAGAATTTTAAATTAAAACAATTAAAATTTTTAAGAATTATAATCATACCTATTTATAAATTAAAATTCCACAAAAAATAATTTTTTCAAATTATACAAAAATTCTTCAATTTTTCTTGAAACATTAAATTACAATTTTTATATAAAAAAATAATTCTTAGAATTGGAAATTGTATTTATTAACCGTAACTATTGGTTACTAAATGAAATTAAATTTTGAGTGGTCTCAAAACTTTTTTGGTTAAAAATTCGCTGAGTTACGGAATTTCAAAGTTCAGAACGCCAAAAACCTCATTTCGAGAAAAACGGAATTAAAGATTGCGATACCAACCAATTGTTGTATCTCTGGTTCTTCTTGGAAGTTATTCAGTTAAGCATTGTTTCCAGTTCAGGGCACCTTCAAGATAAAAAACCAACAGGTTTTAAATTTTTAAAACCACCCCCCCCCTTAATTAACTAATTAATTTAAAAACCGACAATATGAGCCCTTTTCTAAAAAGGACAGTTTTTCTATTAAAAAACCATTTTTTTACAAGATTAATGATTAGGTACAATTTTATTGTGTCATTTGAAGAAAAAGAATATATATTAAACTTATTAAAAAATTGTTTACAGTCTCTATTATGAAAAAATTGAAGCAATATCCAAATTTTCATTTCGACAATTACGAAAAAAAAGACTCTAACATCAATATCTCTGGTTCTTTTGGGAAGTTATTCAGATAAGAATTGTTTTCAGTTCAGGACACCTTAGAGATGAAAAATCAAGAGGTTTTAAATTTTTCCGCAGCTCCATTTTTAAAATACGGATTACCTTTGCAAATGACTGACAAAATGGGCCCTTTTCATTTTTCTAAAGAACCAATGTAATTAACATAGGCGTAGCTAGGTAGGGGCCAAGGGGGCACGGCCCCCCGAAATTTCTCCGGGCCCCCCTGAAGAAATGACATATACATTAATAAAAAATAATACATTTAACGTATAGGGCTAAATTTTAGTTAAATTTAGTGCCTAGAAAAACATTTTTCGAAAATTTAACATTAGCCCCCTTGTCCCCCATAAAGATATACCTATCAGAATATGCGCACCGGGGCCGGGCCCCCCCTAGCCAAAAGTTCTAGCTACGCCTATGGAAATCAAATAGTTAAATTATCGATAAATTAATGAAAACCGCTTGATTCGACTTGCCAAAGCATGTAGATTAATAATAAAAAATTTTAAAAAATTAAGATTTTGCTCCAAAATTACTAAATTGCGATTATCTCGAAAAACTAGAACCGACAATATGGGCCCTTTTCATGTGGACGTCCACATATCAAAGTACTTTATGATTTTCTTTTGGATTTTTAATTTTGCAAAAAAACGTTTTTTGCCCATAACTTTAAAAAAATGTTAGGACACCTATAAATGTTTTTCTTTAGTTTTGTAGAGTTTTTTTAGATGCATCTTTTAGTCCCTAATTGAACATTTTTCGTCCATATTAACCGGAGACTTTTTTGAAAATTTTGTTGAAAAACGTAGAAGTAATTTTAGAATTATCGTTACCAAATTGTAGAGCATTAAAAAACGATTCGATTGACCTATTTTTGAACCTTATTCGATAATAAATTTCGAAATCATTGGTATTTTAAAAACCAAAAATTTTGGAAAATGACATTTTCTCAACTTTTGTGTTTAAAAATTTTTGTTTAACTATTAAATTATTGTAAATATCTTGTAGGGTATTTAAAAATACATTGATTGATCCAAAATCCAATCACTTTTACCATATTTATAAAAAGTAATTAATATATTTCTATTATTTTTATCTCTATGAGGAAGTACAGTGTTCATGAAATGAGTACCAAAATTATAAAAAAATATACAACTTAGCAGCGGTTTTTAATTATATATTAGCTATTAAATTGTTAAAATAAATGAAAATTTATTTTAAAAATTGAGCAAAAAAATTTGTAAAATAATTTTTTTTCCTTATCCCTCCGTCACACACATGGGAAAAAATTACGACTTTACACACGTTTAGAGGGAATCCCTCACCACATTGTAAAATAAGCAACATTACAACATAAACAAAGGAATCAACAAAAATTTAGTTTTAACACAAACTTACAAATATGTAGTAAATTATAAAATTAATCAAATTAATTTTCGGTCTCAAAAATAAAAATTTATTACACGAATGCACATCTTCGAAGGAATTCCACTTGACATGTAAAAATAATGTAACATTAACAAATAAGCAAAAAAATCATTAAACAATTAATTTTAATTATATTTATAATATAATTTTGTCATTAACCAACAGTGGAACAAAAAATGTTTTGAAAACTTGATTTTTTTATTTAACATAACCTCACTTTTTCGAGTTTTTTCTGGCTTTGAAGCTTCATAATTAAATATTAATTATGTTTAAACTAAATGTTTTTTTAGAAATGTGTTGAGGAGTAAATTGTCGAAAGGTATAGAAACTGATTTTATTTTGCAATGAGGAAAACAAAAGTTATTTAAAAAATACTGAAACCGTAGAGGGAATCCCTCCCTAGGTGTGTGACGGAGGGTTAGATGTACTACAAACAATAAGCGAAATATTTTCTTCACTTTCAACAAATTATTGGTATTTGTATGTTATTTATATATTAAAATTATAGATTAATTAATTGTGCGAATAAAGTAATCGAGTTGAGTTGTACAATTCGAAACTCCAATTTTCGAATTGGCTAGTTCGATTCGAATTTACTGTCGATTCGAATCGGCCAATTCGAAACTCGAAATTCGAATTGGTATTTCGATTCGAATTTTGCACATTCGGAATTCGAAACTTCGAATTTCGAATTGGTAGTTCGATTCGAATCGGCCAATTTGAAACTCGAAATTCGAAACTTCGAATTGGTATTTCGATTCGAATTTTCTTTCGATTCGAATTTTGCACACCTCTAGTTATAAAGTTAATAAATTGAAATTTAAAAAAAAAAAATTTTGGTTTATTTCACGTGAGCGGTCTTGTTTTTTGATAGAGTACTTGCCTAATGTCAAATAAATCATTTTTAAACAAATAAACCCCAAAAAAACGAAAAATTAAAAAAAAATTTTTAATAACATGTAAAAATACATTTAACTTTTCGCCCCACCCATTATTTAACTTTTCGCCCCAGGGTGCGTTTTTGGCTTTAACAACAAATATAAAAAATGTGACTGAAGATATTTAGCAAATACCTTTAGGTATCTCTTCAGGGGACCCAAATAATGAAGTAAAAAAATCGCGGAGAGAATAAATGCAAAAAATATACTTAAAAGTTGATATTTTCTTTTACGAAAAAATTTTCAAAAGTAGGGTGAAAAAAAATTTAAATATGGACACCACAAAAATTAGCAGAATTGCACATAACTCCGGACATTTATTTAGGGTGATAAGACCCTTCCATAATTAAAATTGCAATGCTCTAACTATTTCCGTTCGAAAGATAATGAATTTCAACTGTTTTCACAATTTAACTTTTCGCCCCAGTCTCCCCTACTGTATCATTTTTATTATTTGATATTTAGCGTTATTAAGAACTCTACAGAATTGTATAAAATATGTCCAATTTCTTTTTACAGAATTTGTAAATCAAAATGTAAAACGAAATCTTAAAGTGACAAATGAAACATTCAGCAGAATAATAAATAGATTGCTTCCGAGAATACACTCTAAATCAAATAAAGGTAATATAATACTCCCGCATCCCACAGGGTTATCTATACAGATAGGCACTCAACACACTAGATGACTAGACCGAAAAATTTCTTGCAGTAATAAGTCGAAATAAAAAAGAATAATTCTATCAGTCTAAACGATACCATTATCTATTTAGTAAATTTAATAATTTTGAAGGTGAAACCATATAAAGTCATATTTTAGATCATTTAAGAGACATAATTTTCAGCCGTGACTTTACGACTCTCCATACAAGAACAGGTGAAACAGACCAACAATAAACTGGATTTAATGGATTCAAGCTTGCAAGACATTAAACGAGACAACAATACTTTAAAAGCAGAACTAAGTACCTGTAAAAGGAAGTGTAACAGTTTATTGGAAGAAAATAAATTTTTAACTGAAAGAGTAAAGGAATGCGAAAGGAAAGTGGATTTTATTTCGTATAAAGAGAGAAGTAAGAACGTGATATTGTATAAAGTCCCGGACACAGAGAATGAAAATAAAAATCTGCTCAACACAGTCAAAGAGATAATTCATAGAGTAAACACAAACCTACCAACCGATACTATAACCGATGTGAAACGACTGGGTAAACAAGAAGGGTCACGGCCAATTTTGATTTCCTTCAATAATTCGAATTGCAAATCATTTTTATTCCAAAACAGAAAGGCTCTTTCTAATATGAATATTGCTATAGCCAATGACCTTTCAAAAGAGGAAAGAGAAAAAAGAAAAAATAATTACCTAATTCTACTCAAATATAAAGAGATATTACAACAAAAAGGAAAAACTGCAATAATTAAAGGCCCGAAAATTATTGTAGACGAAGAAATGTTAAATGTTGAAGATGTCGAAAAACAATTGAAAAAAATGGAACACTCAGAAGTGGAAAGAGAATCCGAGTATTACTCTGATAGTGAGGAATCGACTACATCTAAGGCTTCTACAGCGAGCGGAACCAAGAGAGGAAGATCGCATGGCTCCAAGAACAAAATAAAGAAAAAGATAAAAACATCGTCAGATAAAATGACTGCTAACCCTCTTAAAGCATTCTTAATTCCACAAAATCGAAATGCAGCATCCAACGAAGAAGCGAAGAAACTCCCTGTCAATAAATCATAGCTATATACGAAGGAAAAAAACCCTAGAATAATCTTCTGGAATATTAATGGATGGTCCAACTGGAAGGATTTGTCTCCTCTTCTCAATGATATCGACATTGTTTGTATCTCTGAAACTTGGATGATGTCAACGCCGCACTCCTGTTCTCCCCACAATTTCGACTTGATAAGCAGCCCGGCAGTAAGATCAGCAAAGAGAGGAAGAGCAAGCGGTGGTCTAATTATTGCTCTAAAGTCAAGTATTTATAAACATAATATTATAAAAATTACAGAGCAATGTATATTTGTAAAAATCGTATCTAGTAAGACAAAGTTTATCCTAGGAGTAGTTTACGTAAAACCAGATTTTAATTTTGATCATTTTTGCTTAGAATTTAATGAAATAATTACATTAATTAATAATAAATATTCTGATTTTCCATTGATCGTGGGTGGGGACTTTAACGCCAGAATAGGGGAATTAAATCAATTAAATGAAAATATATTGTCGGTGAACTCTAATATTTACTTCGTAAGATCTAACACAGATAAGACAATAAATAAAAGAGGGAGGCAGTTGGTGCGCTGTATGGAGGATAGTGGGTGCATTGTACTAAACGGTAGAACATTGGGAGACTGTTCGGGTCAATTAACTTACGTATTAAAAAATAGAAAATCTACAAATGACTTAGCATGGGTGAATTTGACAGCTATCTCAGAAATAAAAAATTTTGAAGTTATGCAAATGATAACAGGTTCGGATCATTTTCCTATCTCCATTACCTTAGAAAAAAAAGAAAAAATAATAAATCCAATAAGCAAATTAAAATGGAGGAATGAGTTATTTGAAAATTTTTTTGAAGCAATGAATGATCTTCCATGCAGCGCTCCGACTGATCTCCACAGCGTTGACTCGATGGCCGAACATTTGACAGATGCCATAAAATCTAAAGCGAAGTTAGTTGGAATGGTTTCTAAAACAAAAAATAAAAGTGGAGAATCCAAACCATGGTACGACTCCGAATGTTTTTTATTGAAAAAATTTGTAAAGAAATCTTTGAAAAAATGTAAAAATGAAAACTTTGAGAACCAAAAATCTGTTGAACAATATAATAATAATAAAAAATGGTATCTTAATGTACAAAAGTTAAAAAAGAAGATTTACAAAGATTCAACTCTCGATAAATTATCACATTGTAAAGAATCAAAAAGTTTTTGGAGTATAATAAATGGTTTCCGAAGTAAAAGTAATAATAAAAATAATATTGACTTTGACACATGGTATAAATTTTTTTCAGATTTTTTTCAGATTAAAGAGACATTTCCAGAACAAATATTGTTAGCTGAATTAATGGACAAAAATAGTAACACTGAATTGGAACTCCCTATTACTAAATATGAAGTAATTTCTGCTCTAAATAAATGTAAAAAAAACAAATCACCAGGGGCGGACCAAATTACTTTTGAATTTTTAAAAAACCTACCTGAGAAATGGATCGATTATGTAAATCTTCTTTTTAATAAAATTTTAACTGAAGAAAAAGTACCAAAAAACTGGTCAAATATAAATTTAAGAATGTTACATAAGAAAGGTGATATAAACGACCCAGGAAATTTCCGGCCTATAGCTTTAGTTAACTGTATAACGAAAGTTTTCACAAATGTATTGACAAATAGAATCGCGCACTGGGTTGAACAAGAAAACTTACTTCCAGAATTTCAATCTGGTTTTAGAAAACAAAGAAGTTGCGTTGATAATATATTTGTTTTAAATGCCCTAGTTCAAAATCGGTTAAGCTTAAAGGGAGGAAAAGTATACGCCTTATTTGTCGATTTTAGCAACGCCTTTCCGTCAGTGTCACATAATTTACTTTGGAGCAAATTGTATAAATTAGGAATGGGATATAAATTAACTAAAATATTAAAAGATTTTTATACAAAGGCAACAGTATCCGTTCAAAATAATGGAAGCGTATCAACACCAGTAGGTGTAACGAAAGGGGTACTTCAGGGAGAAGTTAGCAGCCCCTTGTTGTTTTCACTTTTTGTAGCGGACTTGGAGGAATTCCTAAAATCGGAAGGAATACGAGGTATTTCCATGGGTCACGATAATGAGATTATATTGCTTGCTTATGCGGACGATATTGTATTAATGGCGGAGTCTTTATCAGGTTTAAATAAAATATTAAAAGCCCTTCATAAATACTGCACTATTAACCATCTAGAAGTAAATGAAAAGAAAACGAAAATTATTATTTATAGAAAAGGTGGACACGCGCAAAATAAAAAGTTGAAATTTACTTATGGTGACTCAGTAATTGAAATAGTAAAAAATTATATATATTTGGGAATTCCTCAAAGTCAATCTGCGTCCTCCGAAGAAGCGTCAAAGAATGCGATAACCTCTGCGAAAATAGCTACGAGCTCAACAATTTCGCTCATAAATAAAATGGACTTGAACACTTGGAAACCAATACCAAAATTGTTTGATAGTTTGGTCGCTAGTACTCTTTTCTACGCTATTCAAGTTTGGGGGTTAAAATATCTTGAGGAAATTGAAATAATACAAATGAATTTTTTTAAAAAACTTCTTTTACTCCCTCAAAATACTCCAAACTACGCGTTAAGATTGGAAATTGGTGCTGTCAAATTATTGAGTAGAGTATTTAAATTAACCCTCAATCTAATTGAAAAAATTTTAAGTATGAAAAATAATAGATATCCTAAAATTTGTTTATTAAGACTTATTAATTTATCAAAACTAGCGAAAACCACATGTAAATATAACTGGTGTCTGCAAGTAGAAAAAATATTCGAATTTATTGGAGAAAAGATTATATGGAATGCTGAATTTGTAAAGAATAATAAAGAAAAATTAATTAAAACATATGAAAACTTTCTGCGAGCTGAAGATGTAAATTCGGTATCTAACTCTCGATCTCTGCAAATTTATCCGCATCTTACTTTGAGAGAAGGAATACAAAATTATTTGAAATTAAAATTTCCACTCATCTTCCTTAAAATTCTTGCACAAATTCGCTTATTAAATAATTACAATACTAGAGTTATTTTTAGAAATAAATTTTATAAATTCGACATCGAATATTGTTGTGGGTATCGAGAGTTGAAAGGCAGAGAATTGTACCACGTACTAATAGAGTGTGATTTGCATAGCAACATTAGGAAAAAATATATCTGTACAAGCGACGAACAATCAATTATACTGAACACTTGGTTTGACCTTCTAAATTTCCCAGATAATAATAATGTAAATTCAATAATAGTTTATATAAGAAATGCGTTAAAAATATAGATTTAGATTTAATAAGGTTTGTAATCGAAACGATTGTATTCTGTTCAAAGCAACTCTTTTGTATGAACTTGATGTTCGAAACAAATAAATGATATATATCATTAGGATGTCCTGATATATCTTACATCACTCCGAGTCAGTCTGACTGACTCGGAGTGATCGATCAAGCCATCAATATTATTAAATACCACCGAGTAATAAATTCAAATCAATATTAAAAATTATTTAAGAGCCAGTTCCACAACTTACTCTTCTTAAATTCTGGTTAATACAGTTACGTAGGACTGGCCCTAAGTAAGATTAAAAAAACTTTAAGCTCAAATATCTACAATATGATTATTTCCAAGCTTTATTAAAAAGATCTACATAGGGAATTTGCAAAAAAATGTACTTTTTAAAAAAGTTACCGTTGTCAAAAATTATTACTTTTGCAGCCACCAGAAAAATATCCATATCAAAGTAGAGGAGCAGAAAAGGTAACAACTCTTGTTTTTTAAAGAACTAAAAATTTAAAATAAATATTTCAGAAATATTTTTAATCAAAATATTATTAAACATGGGATAGATATTCTTGATAAACGATTTAAAAAAAACCCAAGTAAGAAAATTTGTTGAATTTCCGCGAATATTTATGTGATAAAACGTTGCATACATTGTGATGCATTTTTATAACCCACTTTAAACATCAGCCATTTTGAAAATTTTGAAAATTAAATTTTTGTAAAAGATTCGAAAGTTGCATTTTAACGAACACTCTATTACACATGTGCACCTGTTTTTATTTTTAACAGGCATTATTGTTAATTATTTATTGATACTGAGAGTTAAGAATTTGATTTAAAAATTTTATTTTTATTTGTACGCTAAAGGTGGAATTAACAAATGGATCAAATATTTGGATAGATGAGGAAAAACTTGAAAGATTCACAACTGTATATAAAAACAATCCATTAGAGTTAATAAAATCTTTGTTGAAAAATTTATTTGGTTTAGAGAATTTACCGCATTTTACATGGCGTAATACGAGTAGAAATTATAAGCTGATACCCGACGATGTTAAAATTGCTATCATGGGTAAGTTTCACAGTAAAAAATCCTTATTTTAATTAGAATTGTAAATGTGTTTCTTCAATTGTATATTAACACAAAGATAAATTAGAGTATGGTAAAAGTTAACTGTATCGAAACTTATAAAATACCTATGTTATATATAGAAGAATCCATAGAACAGGTCGATTTCATGTTACTGACAAATCTTCCCATTTTAAAAGTATTCACTTAATTATTATCATATTTTTACTACTTTAGAAAATGTCTAATAACCTTTAGAACTAAAAAAATTTTAAAAAGCAGAATTGGTGGTGAATTTCATCCAATACGTTTTCAAATGAAAACCGTATTGGGGGATACGGTCAATTCTGTCCTCTTAATACACTTTATATAAATTTAACATTTCTATTTACAGCATATGTGAATAAAAATGTGGAACCAAGTGACGAAAAGGATATAAAAGAAATCGTTCCAAAATTAATAAGATTCATGGAAAATTTCCATCGTGCATCTGAACCAGGTAAAAGTAAATCTAATTCCTATGATTATACTTTTCCTATCAATCTTATATTTATCAACAAAATTTATCACAAAAGTACAGTTGTGTATTTAGATATTAATAAAAAAGAAATATGTATAAAATTAATCTGAATAATAATATTTTAGAAATATCTTATTGTCAATTTTTTTGCAACCCTACTGGAGAATCCTTTATAGGTTCCTAAAAAGAATCATATAAGGATCCCATGTAAATTATTATAGGATTCTTGATAGAAACCTATGTAAGTTAATATCAAGAAATTTTCTGCAAAAATAGGGTAAGTCCGGGGGAGATGGCCATAGTTTTTTTAAAGTAGTGTAAAATTTATAAAAAATCTTTTTTTGTCTAAACTTTTATTGATAATAATTAAACATTGAACACTTAACTTGAAAATAAAGAAACATAAAATAAAATATTTTCATTGCAACAATCTTAAAATTTACATTTTCGAAAAAGTGCATTTGGCCATTTCTCTGGAATGTCCGGGTGAGATGGCCACTACCTATAATTTTTGGCTTTTATCTTAAATTTAATTTTTAATCGTTCACATCACTTTCCTCTTTTTCTGGTCGCATTTTGAAAATTTTTCATGGGGTTCAGAGCAGTTTTCATGTAGCCACAAGTGTCAAATTCTGCATTGAATTCAATCTTCAATTAATGTCGTTCGGTTGTAACTTTTAGCACAACCTACAAATAAATCTCCATCTCTGGTGTCAATTAGATCAATTATTTTGTTCTCAGGCATTTTTAATTTGCTTTTCTTTAATATTTCTCAAGTATCTAACATTAACATAAAAAAATTTTAAAAAAAAGTCATTAATGGCCATCTTACCCAAAAATTCATGATAAAAGTAAACATCAAAATATTAAATAAATAAAATAATTTTTCCTTTCATTTTTCGTTTATATCGAAGCGTGGGTTCGTGGGTTATACACTACTCAATAAAACTTAAATTTAAAAATTATGTTAACAAATAACAATATAGCAACAAGAAATCTGAAATTTTCAAATTATTTTGGACCCATGCAAAAAAATAAACAAGGATTACACTTACAGCTTCATTATTTTTCATCAAATTATTGTTTAGATTTATTATTAATCACAAAAGGTTGAAGAATAACCCATAAAAAGTGATATTTCTTTACAAATTCTGTAAAATATTCGAACTGGCCATCTCTCCCATATGGCCATCTCCCCCGGACTTACCCCAATATTCATTCCTATAGGATCCTAAATAGGTCATAAATAAAATTTTTTAAAGAATTTATAGAATTTATTCAAAACAATTTATTGTAACTTAGAATTCTATAGAAATCTTAACATTTCAGAGAAAACTTTGAAAATAAATTTGGTTTGACGGGAATTCGAACCTGAGATCGACGAACGCAGTTTATTTCTCTGAAATGTTAAGATTTCTATATAATTCTAAGTTACAATAAATTGTTTAGAATAAATTCTATAAATTTTTTAAAACATTTATTGTCTAACCTATATAGGATCCTATAGGAAAGTATATATGAATTATTGTAGGTTATTCTTATCGGAATCCACATAAGATCCCATATAGAAAACTATAGGTTATCCTATTACTTTACCATAGAAGCCTCAAAGGAATCTATAAAGAACCCTATAGGAAAACATGTTTTTCTTGCAGGTTTCTTTATAGAAACTTACATAGGTTCCTATAAAGAATCCTATAATAATTTACAAGTGATCCTTTTCGCATTCCTTGTAGGAACCTATATAGGATTTTCCAGCAGGGAATACATCGAAGATTTATAATTATAAAAATCAAGATTATAATAATATAACTAGATTATAATTTAAACATTTTCAAAGACATAAATGTTTAGGTATTATTCGAGGGACGAAAAGAAAATTTGACATAGAAAGCTACTTATATGAGGTACATGACAATAATGTTTAAAATAAAATTTGTAAACATCAAGTACAGTAATATGTTTAAAATCGTTTATTTGTTAAACATTTCCAGAAACCAGAAAAATTCCCTTATCAAGAAGGAGGAAATGGGAAGGTAACTACTTTTTTTCCATTCTTATGTAAATAGAAATATTTGTCAACAATGATCTATAATAACAATCCTATTAAAAAATTATTAATACAACGAAATTTCAATTTTTATAACTCTTATAATTATCAATAATATGATGGTAAATTTAATATAAGTATCATTATAATTAAAAACGCTTATTGTATGAACATCTTAAAATATTTATATCTTATAGATTGAATTAGTGCCTGAATCAAATATTTGGATAAAAGAAGAGGAATTTCAAAAGTTGAATGAAAGTTCTCCTATTACTTTAGAGACTTTGATTCAAGACTTATTGAAAAATTTACTTGGTGAAGAGAATACAAAATTCTTTTCTGAAATGGGTTCAGATCAATTTGAAGAAGTACCAAAAGATCTCAACAATGCTATCTGCAGTGAGTTCCTCAGAAAGATATTCAAACTTTTTGTATTCAATTGTTTAACAATAATTCTTTTAAAATAACTACAACCAATAAAATACTCATCTTATATATCTAGGGTGATGTGAAGTGATGTGAAACATGGGGGGATGTGCAACACCGCCGATTTCTGATCTACAGTTCGATATTGAACAGAGCCAAGTATTGACATTTGTTTGTGTCCTCACCCGTGTGGAAAAAGCCACGTTCGAGCCCCACAGCTCCGAGGCCCCCGTCGGGGGCCCATGTGGAAGATCCATGAGGAGAAATCCACGAGGGCACCAGCAGGGGCCCAGTTCTTTACCCTTACGGTTGCCCTGCTCAAAAATTTATCTAAGTTTCAAAAAAAAAAATTTTTTATTAAAAAACTTTAGTTCAGATTGCATTAAATTACATTTCAAAGCCCTGCTCGACAATTTTTCTAAGTCAAAACAACGAATATTTTTTACAACAAAAAATTATTGTTTACAATCATTTTAAACAATGAAAAACACGTTTTTAACACAAATGTTTTGACATTTTTTTTTTTTTGAAATGATAAAAATATTAATTCATGAATATTTATGGTCTACTATTATATTATTAATATTATTATTATTAAACTATTTAATTATTTGTCATGGTGTATTAGTGTTAATCAATAATTTATTGAATCATCAAAAGCAAGTCAGCAAGTCACCTACAATAAAGCAATAATTCTCAAGTAGGTCCCGTAGCATAGTGTTAAGAGTGTTGACTGGTAGTTAATAGGTCGTAGGCTCAATTCCCGCGTGCGTCAGATTTTTTTTTTTTGGTCACGATTTAATTAAAAAAAGTAAAAACTGTTAAATAAGAATGTTATTTATCAATAATTGGACTAATTTGTTATTAATAAATAATTAATTTATTAATTTAATTGAAAATAAAGTTGAGGGCATTTTATGAAATCCACGAGGGCACCGCGTGGAAAATCCATATGGAATCCATGAGGATTTTCCTCGAGGGCACCCATGAGGGAAAGCATGTCACGCCTTCGAGGGCTCCGCGTGGATTGCCCCTACGGATTCCACATAGCAAGAGGGCAATCCACGAGGGCCCCGCCGGGGGCCCTCACCATTTTTCTGCACGGGCAGTAGCTTGTTTTTTATATAAAACTCACGAGACAGCTCACAGCTAGGTACAAATCATTTTTCGCAAAATATCATATTTGGGGTGATGTGCAACACGTTTTTTTGGGGTGGACGTAACTATACTTTTTACGTGCCATAACTGCGATTCACATGATGAATAAAAAATTCTTAGTTATTTTCCTCATTCAGTTATGAATAAATAAAAAATTAAACAACAAAAAATTTTTTTTTCTTTGGTGAAATCTCCACTTTTCAGAGGTCAACTATACCTTAGTAATTTTTTTTGGCAGATTTCGATTAGTTTGCATTGAAAAAGACTAAAATTAATAATTAAAGAGATTTTCATCGATATTTATGCATTACATACCTGAATTTTACTGGTGTTGCACATCACCCCAACTTTTTTGGAAAATGCAAAAACAGACGTTTTTGAAAAAGCGAAAAATTTGTAGGAAAAATTTAAAATTCTGAAAATCTAATAATGCAGAAATATTCTATTATAATGCCTCTAAGTCATTCAATTTTAAAATATTTAAAAATTTAATTATTTGACATGTTTTTCGTCCAACGAAAAAAAACGTTGCACATCACCCCACATTACCCTATTTATAAAAATGTGTATCAAAAAATGGATAATGCCTAATATTTTAGATTTTTCAAGAAAAGTATGTTGCAAACTGTTTTTAATTTCAGCGTCTGTTAATATTACATTTTTTAAATAGAATATAAAATTTGATTCTTTACAGAATTTGTAAATCATAAACTACAAGTGGCGAAACGTATTACAGCAAGTAAATGCTTAGATAAAATTGGAACACAATTAATAAAACTGAGAAAAAAATTAAAAAGCAGGTAAAAGTATAAAAAAAACCCATTAATATCTATCAGGACGCAAAATTGAAATTAATTTCTCGGTTTATACCAATTTTTAAAAACTTTTTAAAAAATTCAAAAATTAAGGTTTGTTAAAAACGGCACAATCGATTTTTTCATTTTAGGCCCAAAATTATCAAGAGGCATCTTAAAAACAAAATAGAAAAAGAACCGAGGTGGGCATGCACTTTTAGGTGGAAGTTAGTTGAGACCCATCGTGCATAGACTAATTTTGAGTCCAAGACACCCAGTGGTTACAGGGACGTCTAGGAAACGTCTTAAAGACGTCCCTTTTGGTCCGCGGATATTCGGGGACAATGATGGTAATGTCTTGGAGTCTAAAAAAACAACTAAAAGACATTCTTTCTCTGGCCCCTTCAGATCTTAAATAGACATTTTTTTAAAAATATTTTCTAAGTTGAAACACAGTAATATTGAATTAAATTTATTTTAAGTTTAATTTTATTTTTTCTAAAATGTGGAGAAATAATGAAAAAATTCCTACGAAGCTGGGATCGAACTCGAATACCTTGGGCTAGAAGCACTGCGCCTTAAGCACCTCAGCCGTTCAAGACAGATATGAACCTCTACAAAGTTAACGATCTCACTTGTCAATGAAATGAATTCAACTTAGAAAAATTCCAATCACTTTTACATTGATTAGTTTCTAAGTCTAAGTTGAACTTAGAAAATAATATTTTCTATTTATGGGAATTCTTCTATTTTGAAAAAAGACGTCTTTTAGACATCTTAAAGACATCTAATGGCCAAGACATAGAACATGTATAGGACGTCTTTAAGACGTCTTAAAGACGTCTTTTTGTACAAGTCCAAAAGACGTCCGCAAAAAGACATCCTTAGGACGTCTTTTGAACAAGTGTGCCCACTGGGTAATAGCGAAGGCACAGAACTTTGTTAGGATGTCTTTTAAGTCGTCTTTTGTAAAAGTCCAAAAGAGATCCTTTGGACGTATTTTGAACATATATGCTTATTGGGCAATTATATTATTTATATACCAATATTTTTATCACGCTAGACTTTTATTTTTTTATAATAAATTTATGAGACATGACAAAAATATCAAAAAACGAAAAAGTGTCTTTTGCACGTTGAGCTTTTAGTGGTAAGGGCTAAACAAAGTCAATAAATTTTAGATGGCGGCTAACGGTAGTGCAAGATAAATTGATTCGAGAACCCGATATTTTGAGCTTCCAAGACAATTTGTTTTCCATGTCAAAATATATTTTAATTTGACACTTTTTCGCAAAACATCGTATTTTTTTGGAATAAAGTTGTTACACATTTGTTGGGGTAAATTGGAAACAAAATTTAACTTCAGAATCTGACAAAGCGATAAATTTTACTTAAGAAATGGTGTTTAAAATTTTTTAAACTATATGTTTTCAAACAAAATAAGAACCGAGAAATCAGTGTCAATTTTGCGTTCCAGTGGACGTTGATGCTAAGGAAGCATAAAGTAAATATTCCATTTCCAATTTTATATTACAATTTTAAATATATTTAAAATATAGTATGTCTTGTTATTAGTATGTCTTGTGCCTTGATTCTAGATATCTATTTCTAATACTTCAACATTTTAATTCTATTTTTTATACTAAATCAAAATTAAAGTAGTTGTAAATGATTATTATTATATCTAACAATACAAATTCAAATAAAGAGATGTTGAATGAAATCGAAGTAACAACGAATTAAACCTCCAAGCTATCAACGAGGCTCTAATATATATTAAAACATGCTTGTCTAAGTTTATTTTTCTAAACTTTAAATTCTATGTTGATTTCAGAAAACAATAAAGGGGATGTGAACTAAATCAACTTCCGTTTATAATTGTATTCATTGTGAAGAATTTGAATTCAAATAAAAAACAATTATTATCAAAATTAAAACAAATATTATTTAAGATAGTGCCTCTTTCTCTTAAAAATAAATGAACTGCTTACGGTCGAACTTTTTAACAAGTTGTATGAGTCAATGTGTCGATGCAGATTAGATTGAACACCCCTCAGCCTTGGAGTAACCAGATAATTTATTTGATGTTGATGATTTTAGATAAGAATTGTAGACCCTAGGTTGTACGCAGTGAGAAAATTTCAGCAACAAGGCGGTTATATATATATACATAGTTCATTTTATTATTAAATATAGATTAGATTTATTAATACTATTGACCTCAACTGGCCCATACAACGGAGTAATCTTGGCTTACATAAATTTTAAATATAATAAGGAATTTCATTTAAAACAAGTTTAATAAAAGACAAATATGAAACAAAGCATAAAAATAAAACAATACAAAATTTTAAAAAATCAGTCTCATATTTTTAGATTCTTTTTCTTTCTTTACATCCTGGCACACAAGACATTTTTTAAATAAAATAGGGGAGACTGGGGTAAACCCGCTCACTTTTTTTCAGATCGGCTAAAATCTAGGAAATTATTTTCTAAATCCAAGTTAATTTATATCATTTGAAAGCTTATGATTTCTACTAAAAAAATAAAAAAGAGTTTTTGATTTATCTTTATTAGTTTTACTTAGAGAAACTTTTTAATAAACATATACCAAATTTCGAAATCACAATTTTCCAGGGTAAACCCGCTCACTTTATCTTTTCAAGACGGGACAGTTTTATTTTTTAAATATTAAAGTTCGTCTTATTCCCGTCTTAAGTATGATTTATTATTGATAATTTATGAGTTATATAAACAATTCTATAAACAACAAATTGGTTTAATAAATAATGAACATAGATTTCATGAATTACAATTATGGATTTAAATAGTGTTATATTTTATTAAGAGAAAGTGAAATGTAGTTACAATTTTGGTTTTAATAAGTCATAAATTGTGTTATTGTTGAAATATAATACGTAAAATTATTTTATTCTAAATTTTAAATTTAAAACTAAGTGAGCGGCTTTACCCCGACTTCACGTGAGCGACTTTACCCCGAGTGTATTCCTCACATTTCAGAATAAATTTAATTAAATCTTTTTGAAATAAGACAAAACTATATATGTACTTCGATGAAGGACATCCAATAGCAACAAAAAAAATTTGCCAGATAAATTAAGACTCAAAAATAATGAGCGAAAAACTTAAAAATCCAAAATACGTTTTTTTTCTGACACCTCTAAAAACATTTGATCGTCTCTGATTCTATGTTGAATTCATGAAACTAAACGAAAGTTCGTTAATATAAGTTGAATGTTAAGTACTATTCACTGTACCAATATCTCCATTTTTAGTTGAGTTCATAGCGTAAAATCGCTAGTGAGCGGGTTTACCCCAGTCTCCCCTAAATAAATTATTATTAAAACGTAATGTATGGTATATGTTTCTAAGACCGGCTAAATGTAAACATTAGATCTTACATCTCACTCGCACAATTTCTACGAGAAACAGAGACAGAACACAGCTTATGCGCATGATCAACTTAATTGGTGTAGACTGGAACACAGTCCTTCCAACAGTTCTTGGGCTGCTCCGTTGAATATGGTTCTTAAGAAGAATGGAGATTGGCGTCCTTGTGGTGACTTCCTTCGTCTCAATTCAGTCACTGAGACGGATCGATACCCGGTTCCTCATCTTCACGATTTTTCCGCTCAACTTTCAGGTAAAACGATTTTCAGTAAAGTCGATTTGCACATGGCCTACAATCAGATTCCTGTCGCTCCTGATGACATCGAGAAAACAGCTATTATTACGCCTTTCGGCCTTTTTGAATTTCCAATGATGACATTCGGTCTTCGCAACGCAACTCAGACCTTTCAGAGGTACATTTCTCAAGCACTTGGCGATTTGGAGTAGGTCTTTGTCTATATCGATGACATTCCCAGTAAAAACCGTATTGGGACGTTTGACTCAATCTTTTTTTCATCCGCCGAATACGGTCTTATTTTAGCATTAAAATTAAAATCACATGAGCAGAGTACACATTATAAATTGAAATCACAATTGTCCTGGAATGTAAAAATGCCGATTTAGATAAGAAACTGTGAATATTTTTTATTTTTTGTTAAAAATTGGTAAAAGCAAAGTTTGACAAGCGCAACTGAATTTACCATGTGAATAAATGAAGTGGTAAGTTTAAATGGACGAAATGGACTAAAAGAAATCTACTTTTACCGACAGAAAGTTCCTAGAGAATTGTGGTAAATTCAACAAAACAATGAAATTTCATTGTTTTCTAGGAACTTTTTGTCGGTAACAGAAGATTTCTTTTAGTCCATTTAAACTTGCCACTTCATTTATTCACATGGTAAAATCAGTCGCGCTTGTCAAAATTTGCTTTTACCAATTTTTAACAAAAAATAAAAAATATTCACAGTTTCTTATCTAAATCGGCATTTTTACATTCCAGGACAATTGTGCTTTCAATTTATAATGTGTACTCTGCTCATGTGATTTTAATTTTAATGCTAAAATAAGACCGTATTCGGCGGATGAAAAAAAGATTGAGTCAAACGTCCCAATACGGTTTTTACTCGAATCCGTATTGGCTCAGAGCTTCACTCAATTCCTAAACGCCTCACTCAATACTTCTTTTTTTACTGGGTTCTTATTCCTTCGTCTAACTTGGACGAACATAAGTGTCATCTTGATGAGGTTTTCTCCCGTCTTAAACGGTTCGGTTTGCGAATTAATTTCGATAAGTGTCAATTCGGAAGGTCGGAGTTGGAGTTTCTCGGTTTTTTTTATTGATCATCAGGGTTCGCGACCTACAACTGAAAAGGTTCAAGCCACATTGTCTTATCCTAAGCCTGATAACGTTACAAAATTGCGTAGATTCTTGGGAATTCCCAACTTTTATCGACGTAGTATCCGGGGTGCTGCTGCAATTCTTGCTCTATTGAATGCTTACTTGACCAGCTCTAAGAAAAATGACAAGACTTCGATTTTCTGGAATCCTGACGCTGACTTCGCTTTTGAGAAAATTAAAACTGAGATTGACAACGTAGCTCTCCTTTTTCATCCTGAACATGACACTGAGACAAGACACATTACCAATGCCTCCGACTTCGGAATGGGAGCTGCTCTCGAGCAATTCAATTCAGGTGCTTGAAGACCTTTGGCTTTTTTTCTAGAAAATTTACATCTGCTCAAAATATAGCACGCTCTTTTTTATAAATAGTTTCTTTCTTTTCCGTGGTTAATTCAATTGTTATTTTTCGCGTGTTCTAATTAAATCCTAAGTATTTGACATTTTTTGACGGAATAATATTAGATTTCTCAAAGTTTACAATAAATCCTAGGTTTTTTAATAATTCTCGAGTCACTTCAATATTTTTGAGGCATTCTTCTTTTGTTTTACCGATTAACAAGTCGTCTGAATAAACGACTGATAAAAGGAAACACGATCTTAAATTGTCTACCACCGGTTTCATAAGTTTTGTGAATATCAAAGGGGCCGTGCATAGCCCGAAAGGCACGCAATTAAATTCATAATAGTTGCCTTTCAACATAAATCTGAAATATTTTTTATACGAGGTGACTTCCGGAATTAATAAAAAGGCATCTGTTAGATCCAGAGTTACCAAGAAAGCTCCTTCAAATAAGACTCTCGCAACAATTTTTCTATCCACTAGCTTAAAGTGAAGAGGTTCGAGAAATTTGTTAAAATTTTTTTAATTTTAGAATAAATCTTTTTTCTCCGCTAGACTTTTCAGCTAAAAAATATCTGGATAAAAATTGATTTTTGACAGGTAAACATATTGACACCGCCCCTTTTTTAATTAATTTTTCAATTGCTTTATTGTACTCTATTTCCTCTTGTGCCGAATACGATTGCTCCTTGGGAGCATCGACTTGTTGAGGTTTGGATATGAAAGGAATTTCATATCCTGTAACATATTGCAAAATTAGGGGGTCAGATGCCAGCTTTACCCAATTTGAGACGAACAGTCTTAAGGTACTCTCTCACCTCTACTGCCTGCCGGAACAATGAGAGTGAGAGAGAAAAAACATTTAATATGAATTTTCTGACTCTCTTACTCTTATTTGTTACCATGACAACCTGCAGGCAGGCAGTAGAGCTGTGCGAGCGCCTTTAGTCTCCCTGCGATAATACTTACTTGATTTAATGACGAGATTTCTCGTATGGGCGATTCCGTTGATATCTCTGGTGTTCTCCCTGGCGATTCTTCTTGGTACTTTTTGAAATGCCCTTTTCCTGTAATTGTCACTAGTTGTTTTCGTTGGCTGCTTTACAAGTTCCTTACTGGACTTTTCTGCAGATTTAGCCGCCATAAGTTTTTCTGTAAATTTTTCACCATAAAGCAGAGTATCTACTTCGCAATCTTCCGCGTCTTGTTTCACAAGCATGCTCATTCCAGGAGTGATGAATTATCGGCGAGTCATTGACTTCCCGTAGTGTAAGTCGGTAAATAATCTACGCCTGCATCTGCCATGAGACTAATCAGAAGAGATCCATCAATTGAGCCACAGCGTGAAAAAACAACAGCTACGCGCGGGCTGTCTTTCGGAAGCGAAATATCTACTTTGAAATCCGCGGTGGGGACTAGATCTGGCCAATAAGAAGACTACATTCGAAGTAGATATTGCGATTGAGGAAGACAGCCCGAGCGAAGCTGTTATTATTGCACGCTGTGGCTCAATTTTAATTAAAAATTTGGAAAATAATTAAATTAAACAAAGAATTTTTTCAATTTTTTAAAATAATCTTGTTCGTTCATAATTATAATTGAAAATTTGATTAATTCAATTTTATTAAAATGTATTGATACTAATTGAATTTCTGCAAAGAATTTTAGGTACTATTTATGAAAGTAATGGAATCCTTCCAAAGAATGTTATTATTTATGAAAATAATTAAATGTTCGCGTAGAATTTTATTAAAATTTTTGAAAATAATTGAATTGTGGAGAACAATTTGATTATTTATAAAAATAATTGAAATTTTAAAAAGAATTTCAAAAATTTTAAACATAATTGAATTTCTGCGCAAAGAATTTTATGGAAATTTGTAACACTAATTGAATTCTTGTGTAGAATTTTTCTTTAACCACTTGAAACATTTTGAAACAATAGAATTGAAAAATTTCAAAAATCTTATTTTTCAGAATTTTCAAAAAAACTGCGAAAATTCAATTTTATTAAAAAATTTTAAGTGTGTATCTTTTTTTAATTTAACTAATAAAAATTTTATTTATTAATCTTCGCACTAAGAAACATGAATACATTAGAATATGACTCTTTGTAAAATTCAATTATTTATCAATTATTAAATTAAAATACTTTGAAAATTCGATTTGTTAAAAAGTTTTTAATGAAATTCTTTAACAAATTTAATTATTTTCAGTTGAATTTCACAAAATTTCTATTAATTCGATAATTTTTTTTAAATTTATTTACTAACTATATTTGAATCAGTGACTGATTTTTTACTATTTTATAAATTTTATAAAGTTATATAAAAAATTAATTTTATTATTATAGATTTAAAATCTGAATGAATCTCTATACATACCATTTTTTTTTAAGTTTCTCAAGATGAACAAGTTGGTTTAAGTCCGATTTACCGGTGAGAATGCTGAAAAAAATGATAATTTTAATTAAGTTATTTGTAAAGACAAAAATTGTTATTATTATTTTTAAAAGCAAAAAATTAAAATTTACCTCTGATCTCTATTGATGAATTTTTTCTTGAAATGATATTTCGAATGAAAAGGAAAATTAAATAGCAATAATATGGGAATAATGGAGAAATAGTATACATTTTTATTTTTGTATTTCGAATCAAATAAATATGCGTAAAGTTTTAAATAAACTTTAGTATAGATGCAAACTTTAACAGAGCTATTTACAATTAATTAATATTAATGTACGTATTATACAGCCTCAGGGCACTAATCTTTATATTACAAAATACAATGTAAATTGGAACGATTTGTTGGACTTTAGACTCTTGAACAGAAAGATAATTTATTAAATTGCATTTAATTTTCTTCCTTTTTATCAACAAAGTGATACTTGATAAATCGGAACCCTTGCGTTAATTGAGCACATTCGTTGACAAAATGGCAGGAGAACAATAGCATATTACGTGGTTGCACCATTATTGCAAATCGCATGAACATTGCCGAGTACAAACACAGAGCTAGAAAATAAAAACAATTTATAAACACATAAATATTCACAAATATATGAAATAGTTTTAGTTGTATTATTCGCAAGTTAAGATTTCTTTAAATGTTGATAATTATTATATTTGAAGTCAGTGGCCGTTTATTAATTATATATTTCAAGTAAAAGGCTTATCGGTCGTGTTTTTTTTAAAGTAAGAATTCACTTTTTAAAAAAATTATTTATTTATTAACAAAAGTTAATTGTAACTGTTTTGTAATAATTGGCTTAAATATTGTTATTTTGCTTTCACAATTTATATATTTATCAACTAGTTTTGAATTTTTACAATTTCTTTTCAAGGATATAATTATAATAATTGTACCTAGTTCTTCATGAATGTTTAAAATATTTAAGAAAGAAATAATTTTTAAAGATCTTGTAATGGCCTTTAAATTGTATATGTAATCTGTCCAAATTTTTTTAATAATATAATTTTAAATTATTTAAAAACATCAATATTGTTGTTTAAAATAAATATTTTTAAAAATTTCAAATTCAAACCTTTTTAATATTCAACAACTTATATAATAATTCAAGATGACCGAGTTATAAAATGATTATTTTATATTATAAGAATATTGTTACTCTAACTTTTTCAAAATTATTTTCATCATTTTAATTCTATTATTATTTTCTACAATTTTTAACTAAAATTCGCCTTTAAATCAATTATTTTTAATAATTTTTTAAAAAGTCCTTTGACAATTGACAAAACTATTTGTTTACAATTCAATTTTACGAAATTTCGATTATTCGGAAATTCTTCAATTAAATATATATTAGAATATATATTTATAATGGTTTTTATATTCAATTACTATCTAAAATTTTAACAGAAATTCACTTTAAAATTAATTTTTATTACAAAATTCTAAAAGAATGGAATTATTTAAATACAAAAATAAATATTTTATTGAATAATTGAATGTTTTTTAATATTGAATTTTTATAAAGAATTTTATCAACAAATTTTTAAATAATTGAATTCTTTCGACAAATAATTAAATACTTGCCTAGATTTTTCTTAAAAATTTTTTTAAAAAATTGTATTCTTTTCGAAAAACTTATTAAAATTGTAGTTATTGAAAATCATTGAATTTTTGAAATTTTTTAAAATAATTGAAATTTTGACAAGAATTTTATTAAAATTTTTGAAAATAATTTCTGCGAGGAATTTTATTACTTTTGAAAATAATTGAATTTCTGTAATAATTTGTAACTTCTTCAAAATTCAATTTTTTTAGTGACTAAAATTCTTATAGAAATCTATTATTTTTAATAATTAATTAAATATATATTAAAAAATTCAACTAATTTCAAAAGAATTTGAATGATTAAAATTTTTCAAAAAACAAGTTAGTTCTTTAAAATTTCTAATTTATTAAATTCATTTAAATTTGAAATTTTATAAAATCTTATAATTGAAACTTTTTGACGTTCTTCTACTTATGGAAATTGTAAATGCAATTCTTTTAAAACTCAATTAATTTTGAAATACTTAAGTAAAATTATTCATTAAAGAATTTATAAGCCTTTTATTACAATAAATTAGAAAATACTGGCCAATAGGCCACAAGAACAAAAAATCTTTTATCTATTGAATAATTAAAGATTGAAATTTAAATAAAAATGCAGAAAAATGCTTAGATAAAAATAAAAAACTAAAAGATAACCAATGATTGAAGTTTAATTTTCCATATACATCAAGTACTTAATGTTAATACTATTTTTGTAAATTTTAGTTTCTTGTTTTCTTTTCAAAATAAATGAATGCAGAAAATGATAAAATGACATAAAATTGATATGAATTTAGTTAGGAAAAAATCACGCAACATTTGACATTTTATATAAGAATTGTGATAGTAAGAGAATGGTTAATTTTTTAAAATTTCTTTTACATAATAACAAACATTTTTATTACATACCAGTTGTCATTTTGCCACTAATATATTTTGGATCTCTTCGTATGTCAGCGATAGCAGCTATGGGAATACCCCAGTTTGCCATTGGTCCCCAAAAATGTGTGCTAGAAATGTTAAAATAATAGTTTTATATTAAAATATAAAAAACTTATTTAATATGTAAACTAAGAAAGTCACCTCATCAGCCATTCTCGAGTCTCTTTACTTTTAAGTGATTTCAAAATTCGATTCATCCTGATTGGATAGGGATTTTCTATAGCAAAAGACAATAAATTATTAATTGGACTTTATTTGACAAAAATCGTAAAATATAAACAAAAATTATTACAAGTGAGCAGAGAAAGTCAATAAAAAATATTTAGTTCTAGAACTAAAGTAACATTCAGATGACTAGATTGTCAGCCACTGTCGTCTGCTACGCGTTAGTCATTGAATGTTCGACGTACAGATGGTGAGTGCAACGAAAACTTAAGGGCAATTCACAATAGTTCGTGAAAAATCTTTCTCGTTTGGTTCCGGCAACAAAATTTTGGTTATATACCAACAAAATCTTTTATTTGAAATATGTGCAACAAAACCGTTTGGTTGGGCGAACAAAATTCTTTTGTCGAACAAATCTACTTTTTCCAAAACAAATTTCAACACAAGTATTTTGGTATAAAGATGTAAATTTATAGATAAAGACTACACTGTAAAAAAATCTGGTGTAAAATAACACAAAACTTGTAATTTCACACATCAAAATTATAGGTTGTACGTAGTAAATTTATTTCGTTCCAAAAGTAGTTTTACTATTTTTAATAATTTTACATTATACGACTATGCAATTTAATAGTTTTGTGTAAATTTACTACGTCCGACGTAGGAAAATTTGATCACTATGTCCGACGTGGTATTTTTACATTGCGTGTATTTCTGAGACGCATGATTTTCCCCTAAACGACAAATGGTCGAATGTTCAAATGGTCGAATACCAAGTAGTCGAATCGTTAACTGGTCGAATGCTAAAAACATCGAATGCTAAAAACGTCGAATGTTCAAAATATCGAATCGTCAATTTGTCGAATGATCAAAACGTCGAATTCTCAAATGGTCGAATGCTAAAAACATCGAATCGTCAAATGGTCGAATGCTCAAAAGGTCGAATCGTCAAATGGTCGAATGCTAAAAACATCGAATTCTCAAATGGTCGAATGTTCAAAACGTCGAATCGTCATTTAGTCGAATGCTAAAAACGTCGAATCGTCAAATAGTCGAATGTTCAAAAGGTCGAATCGTCAAATGGTCGAATACTCAAAAGGTCGAATCGTCAAATAGTCGAATGCTAAAAGCGTCGAATTCTCAAATGGTCGAATGTTCAAAACGTCGAATTCTCAAATGGTCGAATGCTCAAAACGTCGAATCCTCAAATGGTCGAATGCTCAAAACGTCGAATTCTCAAATGGTCGAATGCTCAAAACGTCGAATCATCAAAAATTCGAAAAATTTGCTTGGTTTAAGTCAACATTAACTTAAACCAAGCAAATTTTTCGAATTTTTGACGATTCGACGTTTTGAGCATTCGACCATTTGACGATTCGACGTTTTTAGCATTCGACCATTTGAGCATTCGACCTTTTGAGCATTCGACCATTTGACGATTCGATGTTTTTAGCATTCGACCATTTGAAGATTCGACGTTTTTAGCATTCGACCAAATGACGATTCGACGTTTTGAACATTCGACCATTTGAGAATTCGATGTTTTTAGCATTCGACCATTTGACGATTCGACGTTTTGAACATTCGACTATTTGAGAATTCGATGTTTTTAGCATTCGACCATTTGAGCATTCGACCTTTTGAGCATTCGACCATTTGAGCATTCGACGTATTGAGCATTCGACCATTTGACGATTCGACCTTTTTAGCATTCGACCAAATGACGATTCGACGTTTTGAACATTCGATCAATTGATGAGTCGATGTTTTGAACATTCGACGTTTTGACTATTCGATGTTTCTAGCATTCGACCAGTTAACGATTCGACTACTTGGTATTCGACCATTTGAACATTCGACCACTTGGCGTTTAGGGGAAAATCATGCGTCTCGTATTTCTACACTTTGACGTAATATTACGTTGTACAATTACACGGCGAATGTAATTTTCTTATTCCTTTAAGATTTTCGAAAAATTTTCAAGTTTTTATAAATAACTCTAAAAAAGTGTATATAATGTACATTTATAGAAAGTATATTCTAATTTATAAGTAAATAATAATATAACAAAAAGTTTTGGGCTATATTTCATAAATACAAAAAGTTACGACTGAAAATATTATTTCAAAAAATATTTGCAGGTTATGTAGATTACAGTCGGCGTGTAAAAATACCACGTCGGGCATAGTGACCAAACTTTCCAACGTCGGACATAGTAAATTTACAGCAGATTTTTTTACAGTGTATAAATATCATTTTTAATTGACTTCAATAAAATATTGTTGATCTTACTGTTTTTGTTAAATTATGAAAAGAAAGAAAAAAACAACGTCAACTGTCAAAGTGTGTATGGTTTCACGAGCAGCCATTTAATCGCATTCTGTAGATTATTCAGTAGGTTTAGTAGGGAGAAGCAAATTTTAGTAATGTCAACAAAAAGTGCTCAACAAAGTGATTTAGTTAATATTACAATATTATTTTTCTCAATTCGAACAAATAAACAATCGAGCTTTTAATAAATGGAAGAAAAAATTTTTGTAACTTTTTTCAATGTTATTATTTTTTCACTTTCTATCTATCTACATATATGGAATTGAAACGAATTCTGTAAAATAATTGTAGTGGAATTAACACTTTTCACTTCACAGGAACTTCAAAATATGCTAAAATGTATATGTTTTTGAGGTTAAGAAAGTTTGCTTACAACTATTTATTTTTAATTAAATTTTACAGGAATTGCTCAAAAAAATGTAATTATTCTTAAAAATTTAATTTCAATTCCTCGAAAAAAAACAATAATTTAAAAAAAAAGTTTTATTAAAATTCTTTGGAAGAATCCAATTATTTACAAAAATATTAGAATTTTTTACAGGAATTCAATTATTTTCAAATATTTTAATAAAATTGTTCGAAAAAAATTAATTATTTTAAATACAATTTAAATAAAAATTTTTTTGAAATAATTCAATTATTCTATTAGATTTTAATAAAATTCTTCCCAAGAATTCCATTATTTACATAAATAATTCTTCAGAAGAATTCAATTACTATATGTCGATAAATAACAAAATTATTCTGTAAAATTCATTTATTTTGAGATATTTAAATAAAATTCTTTGCAAAATTCAATTATTATTGTCAAAAATAACAATATTCATCACAAGAATTCAATTACTTTTAAAAGTAATACATTTTTTCTTGGAAATTCAATTATTTTAAACAATTCCAATAAAATCGTTCGCAAAAATTCAATTATTTTCAAAAAAACAAAATTTTTCACAGAAATTCAATTCTTTTTAAACATTTTAATAAAATTGTTCTCAATACATAATTCAATTTTTTTTTTAAAATAACAAAATTCTTTACAGAAATTCGCAATTCTTTTTAAACATTTTAATAAAATTCCTTGCAACTGTAGGCAATTATTGTCATAAATATTAAAATTGATCGCAGGATTTCAATTATTATTTTCAATACAATTTTACAGGAATTGCTCAAGAAATGTAATTATTCTTATAAATTTCATTTCATTTTCTCAAGAAAATCAATTATTTAAAAAAATGTTTTTTTTAATTCTATGGAAAAATTCAATTATTGTTTACAAAAATATTAGAATTTTTTAAGAATTCAATTAGGTATTTTGAAATAATTCAATTATTTTTTAAAATTTTAATTAAATTCTTTCCAAGAATTCAATTATTTACATAAATAATTCGACGAAAGAATTTAATTTTGTCGATAAATAAGAAAATTATTCCGGAAAATTAAATTATTTTGAGGCATTTAAATAAAATTCTTTGCAAAATTCAATTATTATTTTCAAAAATAACAATATTCATCACAAGAATTCAATTATTTTGAAAAATTCTAAAAAAATCGTTCGGAAGAATTCAATTATTTTCATAAATAATAAAATGCTTTTTAGGAATTCAATTATTTAAAAAAAATTAATAAAATGCCACACAGACATTCAATTATTGTCAAAAATTTTAATGGAATTCTTTGTAAAATTTAATTACTTAAAATTTTAAATTAACGTTTTACGGTTTCTGTTGCTCGTTCCCGTGTGGAAGCAGCTTAAACTACTAGCGCCTCTACCGTTAATGGTAAGAAGTCTACTTCGTTTACTTTATTGACCGAGCTGTTCCGGAGAAATTGAAGGGATTGAAGTCTCTTTGTACACATTACTTTATGCTTTTGAAACATTTAAATTATAAGGGTATAGATTTTTGATACAAAAAATATATTATTTAAGAAGAAAGAAGTTGTCTGTGTAATTATTTTTTCGTAATGTAATTAGTAAATTTGTCGTTTTTTATTTGGAACATATAAACGCTTACTGAAGGGAAATTTGTGTCCAATATGTCTGGTATATTTAATTTGTTTGTAGATTCGACTCAAGTCGCAAGAGCTCCAACGGTTTTTGGTAAGTTGAATGTTTTGTTTTATTATTTAATATATTAAATATTTTTATTTGCCGAAACATTAAATTTAATTTTTATTACATCAACAATAAATGATGTTCCATTATTCTGTATTTATATATGTAAATAAGTTTTCAAACATCGAAAAAGCCGCATTCTTTGTCATTGTAACGATCTTTGATAAACGGTTATAACCTTTTGTTTGCTTGAGTTTCATGAGTTTTCTGTATTCTTGTAATAAAATCAAAGGATTTTTTTTAATTATATATATTTCAGGTAAAAATTTATTCACTTAATATAAGGGCATATTTTTAAAACCTTTAACTTTTCAATAAGAACACAATTTTTTATTCTTTTTTTTAGCACAGTGTTGAAACTCTGTCCACATAAACTTTAAGAACCAATCTTTCAAATTCTCCAAGTGGACAGATAAAACGAATCGCCTTCAAAAAGTTATAAATTATTGGAAATTGCGAATTATTTTTAACCTGTAACAAAAAGCGATTCAACAAGTGTTGTTTTTTAGAATTGAAAACAGTTGAAAGTAATTAACTGAGGGGTTATAATTTATTAATAACAAAAATTATATTATTAAATATATTATTATATTATTATTTTATTAATTATATTATTAATACTTATCAAAATCTGTATTATTTTCAACTAAAGCATGGTCTGGAGTATCATTAACATTTCTTTTCGTTTCGATTGAAATTGAATTACTAAAAAATTAAATTGTTTACTTTGAAAATAGATTTTAATTGAATTGAATTGTAAAAATATAAAATTGTAATTTTTAGTTTATCTTTTAAATTTAACACTCGTAAATTTTTCAATTTTTTCTCCCTTTTTTCTTTTCTCTTGCATCTTATCTTTTTTCAGAATTAATTTGTTTGAATCCATTTTTGTGTGTAAAAAAATCTTGAAGTAAACATTGAAATATTTTTATATTAACTTTGTAATAAAGTATCTTGTTGACAGTCTTAATTAATTGTAATAATTGATATTATATTTTTTATTAAATTAATTCACTTCTATGAAATTTAATTTAAATTTTTTTTAAACTTTAAAAAATTTTTAAATTTAATTTTTAATTTATGAAGTTTTTTTAAATAAATTTCAATTTTGTTTTCATCAAATTTCCGTCGATTTGATGAACGTCAAAATTTGTCAATTTAATGATAAAATGTATAATATAATAGAAAAGTGGATAAATTAGTAATATACATATTTTAATATATTCGTTAGAATAAACAATTTTTACTTAGAATTAAAAATGACAAAAGTTTATAAAAAAAATTTTTTTGTATAAATTTATTCCCTATTTAAAATAATCACGTGTAATTTCTAGGTTTTTTTGTGTTTCAACCAAAAACTTTTTATTTAATTCTGAAAAACCCAAGGTGGATGACTCCTTCCTCCTCCAAATAAAAGCAGAAAAAAATTTACAAATATTTTTAAACATAAAAAATTATGGAGAAGGAAGGAGTCAACCACCTTGGGTTTTTCAGAATTAAATAGAAAACAAAAAATATCACAATTATCTCTTCAATCAATTAAATTTTAATAATAAAAAATTTCCAATCCAAGGTGAATGACTCCTTTCTCCTCCATATAAAAGCAGAGAAAAATTCACAAATGTTTTTAAACACGAAAAATTATGATTAATCCAATCCAACGAGTTAAACGCAAAAAACCACAATTTTATGGTGTTTTTTATGGTTTTTACCATGAAGATGACCTAGTCGCCAATTTTCATTATGATTTTCGTAATCAGGGCACAAAATTACGTAAGGAAACTAAATTTCAAGTCGATTGGCGGTTCGAGCGATTCGGAAGTATATCCCAAAATTCTTCGCCGAAATGCAATTCTATTCAGAAATTTTTATAAATTTCACTGGGACGTTCCATGGCTCCATGCACTGACGAAATTTTGATTTAACTTATACTTTGTAATTTGATAGTGTTTAGAGTTCTAAATGAGTGTGCCAGAAAGTTTAAATTTTTTTAAATATCTTCAGGCATCACAGTTGGTCTCCTTTTGTCCCCTTTTTTGCTGATTTTAGCATGTTTTATTTTTGGTTCAGACTATTGAGACCACAACACATTATAAATTTTTTTGTGTTACTGTTTGCGACTTAAATAATACACTCGGATCGCAAAGTTTCAGTACATTTGGACTATATTTGCTATTAAATGCTTGCTTCACTTCAAATTCAAATATTTATGTAAAAATTGATTTAAAAGCTATTAAACTCGAATCATTTTGAGGTTTATTGAATTCAGAATCAAATGGGCCAAAGTATAACCAATTTAATAATTTAAATATGAAAATATAGTTAATTAAATTTATAAAACAAATGAATAGATACGATGAACTTGCAATTTATATTCTTTAAAAAATTTAGAGCAGGAGAAGTTAATTTTATAGATTTCGTTGGAACTCAAGATTTAAAAATCGCTGTTTTCACAAAAAAAATCTCTATCTTTAAAAAATTATATTTTCATATAGATTGGTTATATCTTGGCCCATTCGATCTAAATGCATTAAACTTCAAAATAATCCTAGTTTGATTATATTATATTAAAATTAAATCATTTTTTTAAAAACTCTGTAGAAGCGATATGATAAAAAATTTAAATTATATTTGCAAATTGTATAAACAAATAAATTTTTGTAGGTGTTAAATATTCTTTCTTAAAAATTAATATTTGTTTTTTCCGAAAATTTTATTAATAATAAAATTTAAAGTTTTTAAATGTTATAAATTATTATTTTAAAAAAATTTTTTTCTTTGAATGAACTTTCTTAAATGGCTATAATATTCCGATATAATAGAAATGTTTATAAAAAAGATATATCGAAAACACTTAAATATAATTATTGTATTTTCTTATTGTTTATGTGATGTAAATATTTAAAAATTTTCTTTATAAGTATTAAAGTTACTTTCTACCAAAGAATCCAAAACTGTAAGAAATTTGAGTATTAATACATTGTTAATATAAATTTTAACACATTTTTATTTGTTGTTTGGTATATTTTTTGTCCCCTTTTTTAAGGAAAAAATTCCCCTTTTTGAGGATAAAAGGTACTGTGATGCCTGTATCTTGCAAGATATTTGCAATCATATAGTTTCGACCCTTTTTTTAGGAATTTTTAGCTCCTAAACTATTGAACGTAGGAACAAATTTTGTTATTCAAAATTATAGAAAAAAACATTGAACTTTAATAATATTATTTTTAAAAAGTACTTAACTTAATTTATTAACAATTTGATTAAGCAATATTATTTTTTAATGTTAATTTTTTGCAAGAAGATGGTGATGGATTTTTTTAATTTTTTAAAAATAAACTTCATTATGTGCTGAACGGACTGTATAAATATAAAAATGGTGTTTTTTGATATTTTTGAAAAATATTTTTTTAAATTTTTACTGACGCTCGTAAAAATAGTGCAGTAAAAATAATATTATTAAGATTCAATGTTTTCTCTATAATTTTCAATAACAAATTTGTTTTCCACGCTTAATTGGAGATAAAAATTCCTGAACAAGTGTCGAAATTATATGATTGCAATATCTTACAAAATATTAAAAATTTTGCAAAACTTTTTGGCACACTTATTGTTGTAACAATATTGTTACAATAATTTTGTCTAGACTTTGGGTTTTTATATGTCTAGACAATATACACTATAAATTTATCTACCTAAACCAAAGATTGTACACTTGCAAAATTCAAACCGTATATAGTGGATAGAAAATGTAAAAATTATAATTATTCATGAAAATATAAATAATTTTATTTAAAAACATTGTGTAGGTAATAAGGCAAAAATATTAATGATTGATTATTTAAATTAATGGTTTGTCTAATCTGTTGACGCTGTCGACGATAACGCGCGTAAAAATAGTGCAGTAAATATTTCAAAAAAATATTTCTCAAAAAATTCCAAAAAACACAATTTTATAATACAGTTGGTTTAGCACACAATGAAGTTTATTTTAAAAAAATTAAAAAAGTCCATCACCATCTTCATACTAAAAATTAACATTAAAAAAATAATTGTTTAATCAAACTGTTAAAAAATTAAGTTAAGTCCTTTTTAAAAATAATATTATTAAAGTTCAATGTTTTTTCTCTATAATTTTGAATAACAAAATTTTTTTCTACGATCAATAGTTTAGGAGCTAAAAAGTCCTGAATGAAGCGTCGAAATTATACGATTGCAAATATCTTGCAAAATATTGAAAATTTTTTAAAACTTTTTGTCACACTTATTTAGGACCCTAAACACTATCAAATTACAAAGTATAAGTAAAATCAAAATTTCGTCAGTGCATGGAGCCATGGAACGCCTCCACTGTAAAATTCAATTATTTTCATATATAACAATATTCATCACAAGAATACAATTATTTTTAAAATTAATAAAATTCTGCATGTACATGTGAAAAAGCAAACAGAAACTTAATGCGATTCACTAAAGAAAAAATACTGAAAAGCTTTTTTTGTTATTAATAGTATTTATTAATATTTCATGAAAAAATATATATTTAATATATTTAATATACATTTAATGATAAGCCCTTTTGTTACAAGATTTTAATGGTAATATATAATGTAACCAATCGTTATCTTAGTTTTAATTATTAAATAAATAACATTAAAATTAAAATTTTTAGGATCGAATGGCTTGAGTAATAATTCTGTGCAGAGAGCAAAAACTATTGGGGCACCAGGATCAACTCCTGCTAAAATTTTTGGACAAAAATCTAAAGGTCTTAGTATTCGATCTTCATCTGCATTGAATATCCATTCGCCATCTCCTCGATCGTTTGAGGTCAAAAAGAATATCTTAAAAACTGAAAATTGCACTTTAAAACCATTGGAAACTCTCGGCAAACCTAAATCTCCAATCAGGCAAAAATCTCCAATAAGGTTGTTATCTCCTCAGGTATGAAACATTTTCTATTATATACTCCATTAAAAGTTACATAAACTAGAATCTTCGCCTCCCTGCACATTAGTAACGCTTGCTAAGCAATGTAACAAGAATTTAGCAGCAGTTTCTACAATATTTTTTATATTTAAGAAATTATAAAGAATATCAATTTCAATTTATCACTCGGTGTTATTTAATAATAATGATGACTTTATCGATCACTCCGAGTCATTTAAAATAATGAAAAAAAATTAGGAGAAAAAAAATTTTTTTCTTAACGTTTCAACAGCATAGCCGTCCTCTTCAGAAACTGAAATTATTTAATATCCGAAATGATTCATATTAATTTGCAAAAGAATGCAATAAACAAAAAAGATGATACTCAAAATCTTAGTAATTGTTATCTCCATTTCCTTAATGAGAGAAAATATTTATAGTGTTTCTTTGTTTAGTAACACCTTGACATTTCGTCTATTTATTATTCGCATTATTGTAATAAGTTTATTGAACTTACTTTTCTCTCTTCATATTATTCTAATGACTTTATAATTGATCAGTGTCTATTAGCAATCGTGTCAAGCGAGACGTTTTAACAATCGACAAATTGTTTAATAATGTCCAAATTTTTATTTTTATTTATATTTTTTTCAATGGTAAATATTTTTATTTTTGTAAAATAATTTTTTTAATTGTAAAAGTATTTTATGTACGTGTATTTATAAATTATAATAAAATTTTAGTTTCTGAAGAGGACGGCTGTGCCGTTGAAACGTTAAGAAAAAAAATTGTTTTTCTCTTAATTTTTTTTCATTATTTTAAATGACTCGGAGTGATCGATAAAGTCATCATTATTATTAAATTATAAAGAATTTTACTAACTGTATTAATAAAAACAGATTTTGAAATTTTGAACAATTTTTGCTAAGTAATCAATGGAATTTCAACGTTTCTTTGATCGATGATAATAAAGCATTACGTACGAAGTGTATGTTCTTTGTATACAGGATCGGTTTTGCGTTTCTAGTATAGAACCATTGCACGTTTCTGTTCCATTTACTTCGATGGAAAAATAGTTAAATTAATCTTTATCATTTTTATTATTAACAGAAAAATCAGAAAACGTTAAGCCCTAAATTGGTCGTTTCTACAAACGAGAAAATACAGGTTTCAAAAGGGCCAGAGGAATTTGTTTTTAAAAAACCACTTACTCCTCGCAAGCTTAAAAAATCAGATATGGATTATCCAGAACCTGAGGTCTTGGCCCCAATTGGCGATATGGAATTTGAATTATGTAAGTATTAATTGGAATTTTTTATCTTTTATTAAAAGTATGAATCTATTTGATGTTTTATAAAAGTATTTTAAATAAAATTCAAGTTTTGTTGCTCAGAATTTTGCTCAGAACTTAAAAATTTAAGCATAACTTTTCTTTTCAAGTAATAAAAATTACAAAAACTCCATTCTTTTTGACACAAGTACAGTCCATTTTTACAATAAAATTCAAAAATTTTTAATCAGTCAAATCGTTTTCCTGTGATGCGCGCACAAAATATGGCGCAGACAGACAGAATTTGGTCGAATACAAAATAGATAACGAAGAATGTTTTATGTCTTATTGTAAACTTTGTTAGTTTAGATAAAATCAGCGGGAAATTAAGAGTATGCACGTAATGCAAATCGCTCTTTCCTTTGAAGGTCTGTCCCTCGCGGCCAAAAGATTTAAGCTTGGGTGGTTAATTTATTTTTATGTTAAAAAAGAATTAATTACATTTGTTCAAAACAACATTAGGAGAATGTCTTATCCTCATTTTATTATACATGATAATTTTATAATTCAAAACATAAAATATCAATTTTGCATTTAAAATGTGTAATAAATATAATACTTTATATTATATATAATTATAATAATTTTATGCGACTAAATTGCGCATGTCTGACTTGAATCCCAAATTCTTGCCTGAACCGTCTTTGCGCACTTTGAACCAAAATAATATTTAAGAAAGACAAATTTTGCTCTTCAATGATATTGACTGATAAACCTAAGTAATTTATTTTTTGATGAACTACTTTGTTTACGAGTGGCGTCTTAAATTTAAAAGCATTTTCATCATTAATTACTTTAGACTTTCCACAAGTAAACATTGAATAAGCCGGACTTTTTATGTCAGTGCTTCGAGCGTTAATGCTTATAACTAGCGACATATACCGCACTCGCTAACGCTCGTAGCAGTATAAATGGTAGCAGATAACCAGTCTCTTAAAGAATCGACATCTTTTTCTAAATCTGATTCTAAAATTCGTGCGTAATAGTTTTTTGAGTCTGAAAAGTGTGGTCATAATATGGTTTAAATATAACCGTCAAGACCAAAAACTATTGCTGGATTAACGAGATGTCGACTTTTGTGCATAGAAAAAGATTGTCGAAGCACACGGAAGTTTGGACTTTTTTGTATATATATGCATAAGTCGCGACAATAGGTTTACGTGCTTCTCGTTGAGGATTATATAAATGTTTAAGAAATTCTGGAACATGTGCTTCAATAAAATCTTGTCTATTTATAGATTTAAGCCCTATGTTTCGAGGAACGAAACTAAGCATTAAAGATATTCGTAAACATTTTACAATTAAACTCACAGTTTGCCTACTTGGATATCAAATACGATTTTAAAAAAGTCATCTGTCAAACCTTGTCTCATCTTACACAAAAAAGTTATTACATTATTTTTGGATATTTCTCTATGGTGACTATACTTGACAACTGGATCGCATTGATACAATCTATCTTTTTTTGTATCAGCAGCCATTCTTAATCATTGTAAGAAGGTTTCTAGTACGCGACCTTTACAAATGTAAGGTCTTTTTATATTATCTTAAATCTGGTAATAAATCGATTAAGAAAAAACCATTCTCATCAAAATGATGTACACAAGATCTTACATTATGAGAAACATAAATATCTCTTAATACAAAAACAGTGGAGTGATCTCTGACTTGTGACAAGGCGATTGGCATTTGTTTAAATGTTATGAAATAATATTTTTACATGTTCTAGGTTCTATTTTAAATTGTATCTAGGTTTTGTTTAACCTTTCTGGTTTTTTCTTTTGTTTTTCCTTATTTTGAGTTGGATTTTTCTCATCATGTTGTTTTTCAGTTGATTTTTGGTTCTTTATTTTTTCTTTTCACGCCAGTATAATTCTTTTTTCACATTTTGCCAACCTTCCTCCTGGGTGAACTGAGTAGCCTGGGCCTACGGTGGCGCTTTAACGTGGAATCGACTATACTGTGCGAATTATAATTCGTTATTTTTCGTTTTTATTTTTTTCTTCATTTTTTTACTTTACCATTATTTTGGTTTTTTGAAGATTTTTTGTTTATTTTGTTGTGCATCTATATTCCTATGAATTATTATTAATTCTCTGGTTCATAATATATGAACGCTGTTTAACGCTATAACTATATGTTAATCACACACAGATATGGCTGTATGTTCTGCAATAGGACACTAACAGGAATAGAAGAAGAAAAAGTTTCAAATAACATATTTAACATGAGAAAAAAATATTTCGTTAATAATCTAGATTGCAAATGTGTCCACTTTATAATGTAATGAATGGTTTCCCTTTAATAGTTGATTGTAACTATTAACACACCAGATGCAATCCAAATGTTTTAATATTTAATTATATAGCTTGTTAAGTACGTGGATTCACGAAAATGTGAAATGTTCGCCTTAATCATTTAATGGTTGTTTTCTGAGTAATAATAGCAACCGTAAATGTCATGAATATACTGTAGGTTAGTTTCACTTTGATATTACCGTTTAGTTTTATTTTAAGGATTTTTCCTTTTGCAGGACCCATGAATGCGTATTCGGAATTTGCACTTGTTCGATGTTTTCATGAAACTACGATGGTTCTACCAAGGAAATGTTTTTTAACATTCTTCTGCTTTGTTAGATCTGATAATTCTTTACCCAAGACGTAAGAGATCGTACAAGTTTGATATTAACCTATTGATTCATAAGTCATTAATTTTCTGCACTGTCAAATGGGTGTTTTAAAAATTTTGTTTGTTTGTCCTTTTGATTTTTGATTATTTTCCCTAGATTGAGGGTGAAGTTTAATTTTATATAGGTACATTAAAGCTTCTTCTTGATGTTTTACGCAATTTTCATTGCTTTCGTCAAACGATTCAGGGCAATGAGTTTTTGTGAATCCAATTCCTTCTTTAGATAAATCTTTTAAAATCTGCAGAGAGCAGTTCTTAAAGTTTCTGGTGAAAGCCAAAAATGAATTGCAATTATTTTGCTGAAAGAAACTTTAGCCCTGGTAAGCTTCTTTACTCTATCTTTAAATTCACTTTTGTTAGCATATTCAGGAAGATAATGATAGTATTCACTCTTGTCTAGAGGTTCATTTTCTTCTCTGATCAAAAATTGTTCACAATTTTCACATGAATTGTATTTTCTGAGAACATGTCGAGCAATAAGTCCCGTAAAGTAGTTGATGGCGTTATTTTCGTAAACTCTTAAATTGTTATTTTGGATTTCATCAATATGATTCATCTCAGCTGTATTAGATTTGCTCATTAATGTTTAATTCAGCAGTTTAATTGGGATTCGTGAAGTTTCCATTTCATCTTCACAATTTTTGAAAAGGCTGACAAGCTGGTCGATTTGATCTTTGTTACCCAAGCCATCAATGTCTGCTGTGATTTCTTCATTGTCGACGAGATCTTTTTCGTTTAGCTCAAGCTCCACTCGAGCAGCTGCTAACTACTTTGATACAATAGTCACTGGAGAATCTAACGATAGTGCAGATTCACATCGAACATTCTCTTTATCACTTGCTTGTATGATTCCACAAATTGCTGCAAATTTAATTTAAACATCCTAGCAGATGGATTTATATTAAATTCACCACGTAGCCGAACTTTTGAAAGAAGGTGTTCAACAGAATCCTGATTAGCCACACCACAAGCGAATACGAAGTCTAGGAATTCTAGTTTTGTTTTTCGATTTTTAGCACGTTCAGGAGTTTCTTTAACTGACAGTTTTTTGTAAGGTTTAATGCTCCACTTTGAAAACCATTCCTCAAATGCAGTCAAAGTTTGTCCCACTTCTTTTTTTTAGGAAACAATAGCCTTTTTCGATATTCTCCATGCTTTAAGTGATAAGCGTTACAATAGTCGATTACCTCATCTAATTTTCCAGCAGAGTCACTCCATGTTGAGCTATTAATTCCATTTCACCATTGACTTCAAACAGTGGGTCATTTTCATTAATATTTAAAAGTTTACAGGAGTTTTGATTCTTCGTGCACTGATCAAACGTTAGTATTTTCACTTTAGCACCTACTTCTTTTAATTTTCTTAAGCACATAGCACATTTTAACAATTAGTTGCAGTTGTTCACCATTCATTTCACTTTTTCCTGGAAGAATATACGCAAAAACTTGACGCCATCTGTTATTAGCATTTAAGCTATCGAGACCATGAGGTAAACTGCAACCCGCCTTGCGAAGTTGTCTGTAACCAGAAGTTGAATGATACATCATATGCTTTGCTAATTCTTTTTCAGCATTAGAATAAGGCCTGGACTTTCCATGTATATGCAAATGAATCATAGTTCTTGCAACTTGACTGGTACAATTTTGTCTATTTAGAAATGTGTCTGCAGTTTCGTTTTAAATTTTCTGTTATTGGTGTCTGTATGAATTTCGTTGTTGTCTAGTTTGATCTAATGTTCGATTTACTGATTTCAAAGCTTGTTTTAAACGACAAACATCTTTCTGTAACATTTTGATTTTTTCTTTTTCAATGGTTTCATTTTTGTGTGACACTAATTCTTGATTAACCTAATAGCGCTTCTTCATAACTGTAATTTGGTGAAACTATTCTTGTGTTTAAAAGCAGAACCAGTATTTCTAGAATAGTTCATTTCTATTCCTCGCATTCCTGTTTTACACGCATACTCACGACTATCTTTGAATCATTTTCGAAATTGATTTAGCTTAGCCATTACGATTTACATATCTGTGTAACCTTGACGATTTAAACAATGTATATAGACAATCACCTAAGCTTAGATCTTTTGGTCACGAGAGGTCAGACTTTTAAAGGAAAGAACGATTTCCTTATACGTGCATACTTTCAGTTTCTCTCTAGTAAGGACGACGTAGAAGTCCACAACGTTTATCAACGAAAATTTTTTTTTAAAAATAGAAGATTTAACTTACAGAGATCAAAAGAAAAGTCACAAACACAACAGAAAGCAAATATCAAAA